TCTCTTCGCCCCGTCTCCCCCCCCTGCCGACAAGTGACAGACAGGAGCCGGTTGATACACAGGGGCACTTGGCTTGTGCGTGCGTGCTCCTCTCGGGCCAGGCCTGGGGTTCATCCCTTAAAAAATATACATACATGTATCGAAAGGGGACACGAGCTTCAGCGCGGAATGGTTTTTCCTAGCGGCTGAGAGATTGACAAGGCATGCCATCAAGTGCCAAGCAACACATGCGTCATGTGCTGTCGAGCAGCAGGCACGCACGTGTGCATTGTCCCTCCTCCTCCTCATGTGCTTCTCCTCTCCTCCCTCCTCCTCAATCCCACTGTCCTCCATTTGACCAGGCGGGCCAGTGGGGGTGGAGGGCGGGGGAGGAGGGGCTGTTTGAAGGGCTAGGAAAGGAGGCGAGCAGGCTGAGAGGGATGCTGGAGGGTTTCAACCGGGCAGCACGTAACAGGACAGCTACTACAAGGGCAGTAGATGAGGATGAGGCAGGTGGGTTGAAGGAAGAGGCAGCAGGACCAGTGGTGGTGGTGGAATAAGGGGCGGATTAATGTGATAGTGGAAATTTCGGGGGGTCAGTGAGAGCACTAATTATGAGAGGTGATGATGAGAACATTGAAGTTACCGGTATAGGGCACAAAAGCTGGACCACGAGATTCATTCTTACCTACCACAAGGGCCCTTGTACGTTACAAACAACAATCGATCACCTGTTGAAATGAGGCAACCGCATACAAGGGGCACACAAATACCCGTCATACCCCGGATATAAGCGCCACCCGCGGATAAGCGCCTGGCGCTTTTAATCGGCGCCCGGCGCTTATATCCGGTGCTCGATTATAAGCGCACCCCCCTGAAAAAACTTGTTTTATTATAAGCGCACGTAAACTTTAAATTTTGAATTGTGTTCGAAACACTGTAACGATTTCTACTTCAGCAGGGGGATGTGTTGCAGATTCGCTTCCCTTCACATTCGGACCCTGCACTGGATGCGGGACCAGTCAGCAGGAGCAGTCAGGAGCTGTCAGAAGCTGTCAGAAGCTGTCAGGAGCTGTCAGAGTAGGTGTATCTCCAGCGCGCGCGAGAAATTTCACAGAACTTCGACTCGATTGAAAAAGGCTAGCACGAGATCTACAGCTTGGTGTTAAAACATATATAAAATATATATGTCGTTTTATAAACGCCGGCGCTTATAAATTTACCCGATTATAAGCCCACCCCCCCTAAAAAAACCTGTTTTATTATTGCCCCCCATGGGGGTATATCCGGGGTATGACGGTATGGTACTTCAGTTGTTCCGAAAGTGTAACTGCCTGGCATGGCACCATCCATCACATGTATAATCCTAGTGAAATGCATGTGAAGTCTCACATGCAACTAGTTCTTTTCTGGTGCAAGTGACGCATGCTGAGACTCTTGAGTTTATATGTAAATTTTTGAAAGTGACACACTTTTCAAAATTGTGTATTGTGAATAGCGAAGCGAATTGTACCGAAGCAAAGGCTTCGGCGAAACACTACTTCCCTCTTTTTCGGTATAAAAGAGGGGGCGAAGGCCATTTGGCCTTCACTTCACCCACGTTTTCATTCCGAACTTTCAATTTCGAGTTTCCCTCCCCCCCACCCTAGCATGAGATGCACGTTAGCCATTCTGATGTACAATGCTTGGACGATAAAATCTTGTACTACCCAGTTGAAATGAGACGTTGCATTTGCAAGGCAAATCGCAAGCTTTCACAATTCAAAAGTAAACCGCACTGAGGGGGAGGTGTAGACGACTGATAAACTGCTTAGACGGGAGAATGGTGGGAAGCTGCTACTTCTACTCTTCCTGCTCCTCGCCGCTGCCGCCGCCGCCGCCGCCGCCGCCGCCGCTGCTGCTGCTGCTGCTGCAATGGAGACCAGGATAGCGGTGATGATAACAATGTTAGTAACGACGAGGTTGATGGTGCTGCACGCGTTTTGAGGTGCTCAACGTTGCTGCACCCTTCACATCTGGCAGCTACAAAGGCGGAGGACTGCTACTGCAAACACCGCTGCTGACGCTCCTGTTACTCCAGCTGCTCCCTCTGCTGCTGCCACTGCTGCTAACGCTGCTATCGCTGCTGCTGCTGCTGCCTAAGCTACTTCTGCTGCTGCTGCCTAAGCTACTTCTGCTCTGCTGCTGCTCCATATGCTACTACTGTTGCTGCCAGCGCTCCGACTCACAGTGCACGCTTCTGGACGAAGGGAGCGCTGCTGCAGCATTGCGAGGCGAGCCCACCATGACCACCTCCGCACTCCTGACAGGCCCCAGCTGGCTGTTCATAATGCTCACTGACACTGGACTGCTGCCCATGCCCATGCCCATGCCCATGCCCATGCCCAAGTACATGCCCATGCCCATGCCCATGCCCATGCCTATGCTGCTGCTGCCTTTGCTACTGCCGCCAATGCTTCTGCTGCCGCCCATGCTATTGCCGCGGCTGCCAGCGCTCTGACTCGCCCTGCACGCTTCTGGAGGAAGGAAGCACGGTCTGGGCGTTGCGAGGCGAGCCCACCATGCCCACCTCCGCACTCCTGACAGGCCCCAGCTGGTTGCTCATAATGCTCACTGACACTGGACTGCTGCCCATGCCAGCGCGCCCATTCAGCTTGGTCATCACCTTGTTGACAAACGCCCTGCTGCGCGCTTTCAGCCCGCGCAGCCCCACCTGACCCCCCTCCTGCTGCTGCTGCTCCTGCCGCTGCTGCTGCTGCTGGCGGTGGGGGATGGGGGGGATGTGCAGCTGAAGCTGCCACCCGCTCGTCCGTGCCTCATCGCCATCCATGCTTCGCCCAGCCCTGCTGCCCTGCTCTGACTTAGGCCGAGCCTGCTGCAACGGTGACAGTGGGTGCCGCTGCTGCTGCTGCTGCTGCTGCTGCTGCTGCTGCTGGTGCTGGAGGTGGTGCTCTGGGCTGGGAGACTCACTCCCTTCCAATAGCTGCTCGAACGGTGACTGCAGGCTAGCCTGATGGAAGCAGCGTGTATGGCAAAAGGGGATGTCAAGAGCATGAACTGATTGCACCAGGGGAAACCAAGTGGGCAAGCAGAGAGCATGTGGGATTGGCTCGTCTATCGTTTCAAAGCATGAGCAGCTCTTACAGAAAGCATCAGCTCTACTAATCCATATCTTACCTGGGCAGCAGCTCTTACAGAAAGCATCAGCTCTACTAATCCATATCTTACCTGGGCAGCAGCCCTTGCTTAAGCCCCCAGCAGGCGGCCGGCATGGCGAGAAGGATGGCATCAAACGCCTCGTCCAGCAGCGAGCACATAGGTGTCGTGTCTGCGTGTCTAATGTTCCAGCCAGCTCATCAGCTCTACCAGTGCTTATCTCACCTGCGCCGTGGCTCGCGCGTCAGCGCCCAGCGGGCCGCTGTCCATGTTCTGAAGGATGGCGTCAAAGGCCTCGTCCAGCGAGCACGTGGGGTTGGACCGATCAATACTGGGTTCAACCTCGCCCTCACCATCACCACCCCGCCTCTACCCCACCACACAATCACCATCTCACCTGAGCCGTAGCTCGCGCGTCTGCCCCAAGCGGGCCGCTGTCCATGTTCTGCAGGATGGCGTCAAACGCCTCGTCCAGCGAGCACGTGGGGTTGGACATGAACTGCCGCCGCGGGTCCGCGTATGCGGGATCCACACACGCGTGCAACACGTCCTCGTCGATTTCCTCCGCCTGTGCCCCCTCCGCCCCCTCCGCCGCCTCCGCCCCCTCCGCCCCCTCCGCCCCCTCCGCCGCCTGCGCCGCCCCTACCCCCGTCGCCTGGGCTCCTTCAAGCGCCATACCGAGCGCCGTGCATTGAGGCGGGTGCGACGCTCTAAACGACGCCTCAAACTCGCCTTCTCCTCCTCCTCCTGCTCCCCTCTCTATCCCAGCTCCTTCCGCTGTACTTCCCACAGCATTCCCCTCACCGTCGCCTACATTCTTCCGTATCCTCTCTCCGAATTTTGCCGTCTTGGCGTTTTCCCCCGAGTCCGCTTCCTGCTGCCGCGACCAGAAGACTAGCGACACGTTCTCCCCCGCCGGTCCGGCTGCTGCGGCCGGCGAGCTAGACGGCCAGAGATCGACGGCCGGTTGGTCGGATTCGGGACGGTTGGGGCTCGCGAGAGCATGTATTGGCGAGGCGGGATACGCCTCGCCCTCTGCGGCTGGACCTGCTGCTGCTGCTGCTGCTGCTGCTGGTGCTGCTACGCCTGTTGCTCTTGATTCTACTGCTTGTGCTAGGACTTGTGCTCCTGTGCTCGCTTGAACTCTCATGTCACCTCCAGCTTCCTTCAATTCCCGCGCCTTCCCGCGCCTTGATTCTTGCCGCGCCTTGTGCCGCATATCCCGGAAAACTAGAGAAATCGCCGACGCGTCCGAGTCCACGTCAGACGGACCGCCTTGAAGCTGACGAGGATGCCACGTGGGAACTACCGCCGGAGTTTCCGGGTGCACGGCGTTCGAGCTTCCCGACCATGCGTTTCGCGGCGGGGACCGTTGAGCACCCTCAACAGATGACCGTTGAACCGTCTCAGCATGAGAAGATTGGGGCAGCAGCAGGAGCAGCAGCAGCAGAATCATCAACGGCGGTCAGCTCTCGCGTGGGAGAGAGAGCGAAACCCTTTTGCTGCTTCTCCTGCAGGATCTTCTTCTTCTTGTCGCGAAACACGGCGGATATCGTCGACGCGTCGCCTGCGGCGTAACTGTCGCTCAGGCTGAGCAGGGTCAGCGATTGCGCACCCGGTACAGCCCTCTCAGGTGAAGGCTCGGTTTTACTGTGAATGGCACCTGAAGGAGCACCTGAAGTCACACCTGAGGGCGCCTGAGGGGACGAGTCTTCGCGTGTGGGAGAGAGGAGCAGCAGTCCTTTCTGCTGCTGCTTCTCCTGCAGGATCTTCTTCTTCTTGTCGCGAAACACGGCGGATATCGTCGACGCGTCGCCGGCGGCGTAACTGTCGCTCAGGCTGAGCAGGTTGACGCTTCCCACGAGCGACGCGACGGTCGCTTTAATCGAAAACGCCGGAGGGCGCGGCGACGAGTGCGGAGAGCGAGCCGTCCCGGGGTACGATTCCAAGGTCGAAGTCTTAGAGGTATCGATGCGCGGGGGAGACGCGAGAGCGTGGCGAGGCGAAAGGCTGGGACTTGACTCGGATGCGGTGGGGTGGACTTGAGAGGTTGGCGAATGGGTGCCATTCTTGGGTCCTGCTTGAAGCGGTACTGACAGGACGAACGAGTTGGCCGCTGCGGAAGGGTATGGGTCTGTGGCAGGGTATGGTGTAGTGGAAGGGTGGGATACTACAGCGGGGTGGGAGGCGGAAGAGGAATGGGAATCGAAGCAAGGTTGCGTAGCAGCAGAGGATGATGATGAGGAGGAGGAGGAAGTAGAGAAAGTTCCGTTAACAGAGATCTTCTCGCTATCCTCGTGCGGTTCTAACGCCAGCTGCTGCTGCTGCTGCTTCGCCTGCTTGGCTTTTTTACGCGCCTCCCGAAACACCTCCGAGATTGATGACGCGTCTGTCTGGCCCTCGCTGCCGCCGGTTCGCCATAGGCCGAACGCTGGCACTATCGGCCGGCCCTTGGTGGTAAATCCCGACATAGCCGCGGACTCCGGACAGGTCACGAATAAGTAAGTAAGAACAAGAAGCTAAAGACCTAGCGGTACGAGACAATGCTTGGATTATGGACTAGCTAAACTCTTCTGGAGTGGGTCACAGAGAGCAAGGCAGAGAGGGCAGTCAGACAGCGACACGAAGCGAGTGTGGAGGGAACGAGCAGTTTGATTGGATGAAACCAGCTGTAAAATCCGTGGAGTGGGGCACACTGTAGGGGGAGGAGGGGAGGGGAGAGAGGGGCCAAATACGCGCGGAAAAGCGGGAGGGCCTGACGTGGGGGATTGGCGGAAAGTGATGAGCTGCAGTGTGGGGCGGGAAAGGGGGAGCAGAAGACAGCAGGGAAAAGGGGGAGAACGTGGGGGTGTGGGGGGGATCAAGAGCAAGCTTGGTGGGGAGGAAGGGGGGAAGCGACAGGCGAGGTGGAGGGAACCTGTTCGGTTGGTCGGTGGTCGAGCGCGAGGGAACGTTGGCGAAGAGCAATCCCGATGGGCGACCAAGCTGCTGCGTGACTCAAGTGCGCGAACAGGCTCGCGAGTCTATGCGACCGTCTGGTTACACTCAAGACAGTCGAGATGATCCTACCGTACAATACCACGACATTAATTTCATAAACCGCGTCGAACCAGAAGTAAGATTTGCTCATCCATCCACGTCAATTATCACACCCCCAAAGGATGCAGCTGGCAACATTGCTTTGGTGGGTGAGTGGCAGACTGTAGGATGCTTGGGGTGTGAATTGTATTTTTCGGAGTGTTTGTAGGCTGCTCCTAAATCAAAGTATGTCAGAAGTGAGTGGATTCGCAATCTTATGACAAATATCGAAGAGCTCAGCATCGCTTCCCCTGGTCAAATCCCCTCCCCTCACCATCTCTCCAGCTGGTCAGAAACTGATTACCCGCCGTGCTTCGCGCTTATCCACGGGCGTTCCTGCATATCATACCATCATTCATCTCTCGTCAATAACGCTCCTCGCAAGTCAGCGCGAATGGAAAATCGCTCGACGGACGGAGTGACACAGCAACGGCGACTCCCCGCTTTCGCGCAGAATGCCCAGAGCGCCGTGCAGAGCAACCTTCAAAGCGCCTTATCTCTCGCAGCGCCTCTGGCAGCATGGGTCCGCGACAGACGGCTCGAAGCTGATAGGTTCCGGGACTTCTGCGCCGGGGAGATCGAGAAGCACAAGCAGGGAGCGATTTGTCACGCTATGGCGGGAATCGAGAGATTTAAATCGTTTTCGTTGAACGGGGACGAGTTTAGGAGGCAGCAGCAGGGTTTTCGAGCTCCGTGCTTCGCGTCGATTGCTTCGTCGCTACGTGGATTCGACGTTGCATCTGCTACCGCAGCTGGCACTAACGCGTACGACGGGCAGGCGAGGCATCTGTTCGACGTCGCCATGTCCGCGCCGCAGGTGGCGAAGCGGCTGGAGGGCCTGGCGGTGTACACTGTGAGCAACGCGGCTAACGAGTTCGTTCTTATCGCGGACGCGGAGGGCAGCAAGTCCATCGGGCTGTTCTGCTTCCGCAAGGAGGACGCGGAAACGCTCCTGGCGCAGGTGGGTCGGCGCATGTGGTGGGTTGGCGCAGGTGGGATGGCGCAGGTGGGATGTGTTTCAGATGGTTGTGTCATAGACTTGGGGAGTGGGATGAAGATAAAGGGGTTTGAAGGAAAGGGGAGGGGGGAAGGAGAAGGAGACAGCGCAGGGGGCAGTGGGAGGAAGGGAAAGGGGAAAGGGGAAGGGGAAAGGGGAAGGGGAAAGTTGTTTTTTTCTCGAGAGGGGATAACGAGAAAGCACATGTAATGTAACTTGAACATTCACCAATCCCACAACTCTGAAAACAAGCTACTGTCGCCGCCCATGGCCATGCCCACACATTCCCATCGTTGACCATTTTCTCACCAACCCTCTCAGGCCATGCTAATCCATGCCATGTCAGGCCACATTATGCCACGTCATGCCACGTCACTATGTGGGCAGGTGAAGGATCGTGACGCCTCGCTGGGCAAGGGAGCGCGAGTGGTGCCGGTGGCCATGGATAAGGTGAGACAGGGGATGGGTCGTTAAGGTAAGGGGATGACTCGAGTCAGCCATCTCACTGCTTCCACCACCCCCCTCTCCCCATTGGTCCCCTTTTTCCCAATACAACCTTCGTTCCTCTCTCACTCTCTACTGGAAAGAAACTCATCCCCTTCTCTTTGTCCCTCATTTGATCACATTATTTTTTCTTATTTCCGCATGGTGGTGCAATCACAGGTGTATGCGTTGTCAGCCGAGGGAATCGCCTTCCGCTTCCTTCCGGACCCCCTTCAAGTCAAGCACGCCGTGCTGGTGAATAGCTCTGCCCCTCTTCCTCCCATCGCCCCTGCCTCCTTCTCACCCCCTCCGCTCCCCTCTCTTCCTCACTCCTCCCTTCCGCCTTTTCTCTCTCTCTCTCTCTCTCTCTCTCTCTCCTTCCTGCACTTGCCGCCCGACTTTCCGTCGCCCACACGAGCGCAGCCTTTGTATCACATTGAGTCAACACTTCATGACCCGCTTCTGCCAGTTCTAATGCCATTCCAAATCTCAATCCCAATCCCAATCCCATGCCCGACCCAGCTGAGGTCGCAAGCAGGCGACAACAGCAAGGCCTTCGATGGGGTACCTGTCTTCCAGGTATGGGAGGGGTACCTGTCTTTAGGTATGGGAGGGGTACCTGTCTTTAGGTATGGGAGGGGTACCTGTCTTTAGGTATGGGAGGGGTACCTGTCTTTAGGTATGGGAGGGGTACCTGTCTTTAGGTATGGGAGGGGTACCTGTCTTTAGGTATGGGAGGGGTACCTGTCTTTCGGTATGGGAGGGGTACCTGTCTTTTAGGTATGGGAGGGGTGCCTGTCTGCATGTGATGAGACAATCTCTTAGTACCTCCCTCCCACCCCCGAGTCCATGTGTAGAGAGACGATTTTTGAGACGTCTCAAAAATACCCTCTCTTCACGTGGCATCTCTTAGTACCTCCCTCCCACCCCCGAGTCCATGTGTAGCGAGACGATTTTTAGGTGCCGCAACGAATTTGTCTCCTCATTTTTCTTCCCCTGGCAGTCAGAGAGCTTGGTCCTTCGGTCCAAGAACCGCCGCTTCTGCCCAATCTTCTTCACCAAGGTATGACACTCACTCACTCACTCACTCACTCACCCTCTTCCCTCCATGCGTTTGACTCTGTTCTATTTTTTCCTGAACCTGTATTTAAATCAGTAGCGGGGGCATGGTTCATACCAACCAACAACCAATCTTCCTCCAATTACTCTTACCAGCACACCATATGCGTCTCTTCTGTTTTGAATCAACCACATCTTGTTTCGGTGCCTCCGAATGTAGCTGGTTATGGAGTGATCTTTACTCAACTCTATGTCCTCAAATGCACTAATGCTTGCACGTGCAGGAGGATTTAGAGGCGGCAATAAGGAAAGCAACTGGCGGCAAGCCAAAGAGCACAGGGAAGGGGCCTGCAAACATCAACGTGCAGGTGAGCCTCGTTGAAATATGCGCTAAATATGAATATGTTAAGATGAGCTAATCCAATTATGGACTATAGATGCTCTCTAGATGCTCTCTAAATGTTCTGTAGGAGAGCAGTGAAGGGCAAGCAGAGGAGTGCCGGGAAGGCGGCTGTCAGCGTGCGGATGAACATTAGCGGTGTGTGATAAGTCGATTTTTTAGTCGACTCAAAAATCGACTTATCACACAAGGCGCCTGTCAGCGTCAGCGTGCGGATGAACATTAGCGTGCCAGTGCTGCATGACTTTCCTCACCTCTAGGCTTCCTCCCATCCACAATACCTCACACCCTCCCATGTTCGATGCCTCACTCGTCCCCATGCCCCATCCCATGCCATGCCATGCCATGCCATACCATGTCATACCAAGCCATACCATGCCATACAATGCTATACCATGCCATACCATGCCATACCATGCCATACCATGCCATACCATGCCATACCATGCCATACCATGCCATACCATGCCATGCCATTGCACTGCCTTGCACCATCAGGTGGGGAGCTTTGAGGACGTGCTGAAGAAAATGGAGGTATGCACCCACTGTGCTATGAGGTTTCTCTGTTAGTCTTGTTTGGACTAGAGAAACGTTCCTTTATGGCTTTGAGTCACCGATCTTTCTTACTCTTCGATGCTCTCCCGCTCACTCTCCCACTCACTGGGTTGAGAGCCATTCCATTCCTCCGCATCTCCTCCTCGCCTTTTCTACTCCCCCACACGCCTCTCATCCCATCTCCCTCCGTGTGCAGAAGAACGACGAGGACTCCCCCTGGGGCGAGCTGCTCTTTGTACCGCCCGGCCGGGATGTGGACGGTGTGGTGGGCAAACAAACAGCTCATGCTGCTGGATCTTCTGACTCCGTTCTTTGCTGATGCTTCTCTGTTATTGGGCCTTTCAGCAAGGCAGGCCTGCCAGGCAGCCAGTCAGATGGCTCGTGCTGCGTTTGGAGTTGAGGCAGGCTTCGTTGTTTGCCGAACCATGAAAGTGCATTTGGGCCCTTTAGCAATAACTTGGCGCTTTGTGAAAATCATGAACAGCCTTGTCTTCAATTTTCACTGTTCAAGTGGGTACGAGTCATGTATCAAGACAAAATCAACGGTACTGTATCTCTCCAGACTGATTTACTCTTTGATGCACCGGCACAGCACATACCGTATCCCCAATGCGTTCATAGTATCTTTTACGTAAACAGAATCCACAAGTTGTTGTCCCTTGCTCCACCGCGCCCCCTCTACCCCTCTCCCTACTCCCCCCCTCCCCCCTCCCCCCTCCTCCCTCCCCCCTCCCCCCCCCCCTCCCCCCTCCCCCCTCCCCCCTCCCCCCTCCTCTCCCCATCCCCTCCTCTACACACACAGAGACCTCACTCAACCCCCCTGCTCCCTGTACGGCGTCCAAATGAGCTTCGACACATCAACTTCCAGCCCTGGCTTCCCCACAGCCTTCAAGTGCCGGTCCAATACTTTCGGATCCGCGCATATGACGTGCTGGCCGCGGCGGTACTGGATGAGGTGCAGCGACTGCAGCGAGGAGATCACGTCCTCCGTCTTGATGCCCGTCATGTCGCTCAGCTCCTTGATCGAGAGGTTGCCGCGGTGGTGCTTGAGAATGCGCAGAAGCACGCGCAGCCAGTACCCGCGGTAGCTCAGCAAGCCGAGATCGGACAGGGGGCGCTCGGGCGTGCCTACCTTGCCTTCCTTCTTTGAGAGTTCATAGGCTGGTGGGAGGGAGGGAAGGGTTGTAGAGGGAGGGGATGTGGGTGGGAGGAGAGGAGGGACGTGGAGTCAGTAAGCGAGGAGATCACGTCCTCCGTCTTGATGCCTGTCATGTCGCTCAGCTCCTTGATCGAGAGGTTGCCGCGGTGGTGCTTGAGAATGCGCAGCAGCACGCGCAGCCAGTACCCGCGGTAGCTTAACAATCCAAGGTCGGACAGGGGGCGTTCCGGTGTGCCTACTTTTCCTTCCTTCTTTGAGAGTTCATATGCTGATGGTGGAAAGAGAGGGGAGAGAGTGGAGGGGTTGCGAAAGAGGGCGAGGAGGGTTGTGAGAGAGAGGCGGGGGGAGAGGAGGGAAGTGGAGTCAGTAAGACCTCTTTAATCGACAAGTTGCCGCGGTGGTGCTTCAGGATGTGCCGAAGCACGCGCAGCCAGTACCCGCGGTACCTCAGCAGGCCCAGGTCGGAGAGTGGGCGCTCGGGCGTGCCTATTATGCCCTACTTCTTGGATAGCTCGTAGGCTGGGGTAAGAAGGGGGGTGAGGGGACATGGAGAGAGTGGGCTTGGGAGAACTAGGAGGGCCGAGGGGAATGCAATGCAGGACAATACCAGCCCAAGCTCACTTGGCCCTCCCTCAGATATCTGTTTCTCAAGATGCGATTGTATGGACACGGTTTTTGAGGCGCCTCAAGAAAATTCACCTGGCCCTCCCTCAGATATGTGTTTCTCAAGATGTGATTGTATGGACACGGGTGGTTGGGTTGGGTTGGCTTACAGAAGGCGATGAGGAATTTGCCGTATCCCTTGCGCTGGTAGGGCGGGAGCGTGAGGATGCAGGCGAGGTTGTACCCCTCCTCTGACTGCTTCTCCTGGAAAGGGATTGCCAATGAGGCAGAGAGGGGTAGAGAACAAGGGGGATGAGGAGTGAGTGCGGAGTACAATCATTACAATGCCCAACACCTAGGACGCCTTTTGAGGCGCCTCAAAAGTCATTACAGTGCCCAACACCTAGGAACGAATCTAAGACCTCTCTAGCACAAATGTGCCTACCTTGGAGAAGTAGCCGACAATATGGCAGCCGCGTTCATCGCATTCGCAGAGGATGTAGAAGAGGAAGAGGTCCACATCGTAGTAGAGGGTCTTGTGGTCCAGAAACAGCTTCGCGAGGTAGCAGAGGTTCTGACAGTACACCTTGTTGCGCTTGCCGTCCACCTGAGGTGAGATGCAGGACCATGCAGGTGCATGCAACACAGACAGACACGTGGGCACGTGGAGACTAACAGCTTCGCGAGGTAGCAGAGGTTCTGACAGTACACCTTGTTGCGCTTGCCGTCCACCTGCGGTGGGACGAGATGAGGGCAGAACCACGTGGCAATCAGACAGGCAACCACGTGGGTGCAACACAGACAGGCAATCAGAATAATTGGGCAAGTCCGAACACGGATGTTACCTACACACCAGGTAATAACCAGACTAAGTATTATCTACACCAAGTGTCGCCAAAACCAGGTATTTCCTGGACTAGGACAAGGGTTACCTCGAACATGGAGAGGGAGCCGTTGCGGTAGATCTCATCTCCCGGTGGGTGCTTGAGGTCGCACTTGCGCTGCACACACACACACACACACACACACACGGGACGTGAAGGGATGGTGGAAAGATCAACAGAACACAACACATACACACACAACGGAAGGCGGACGAAGAACAAGGAAACAAACAAACAAACAAGTAAACAAGCAATGACTAACAGAGTAGCGCAGAGCAAGCAACGACCATACCACTCACCATGTGCCTCTCGAGCTGCGAGGGGCGTTTGAGGAAGGCGAGGCAGAACTCGCAGAAGTAGAGCTTGGAGCAGTGCGCGTACTCGGGGGGGAAGGGCGAGAAGTACCACGTGTCCATCTCGTACCGCCCCAACTCTATCGATGCCACGTTCTTCACCTTGGTGAACTCCTCATGCTCCCTCAGGCTTGCTGCATCGAAATCCTCATGGCCCTGTGCGGGAGTGTGCGGGAGTGTGCGTGAGTGCGTGCGTGCGTGCGTGTGTGAACAATCAGTGGTAAATTGCCTCCCCAGACGGAGGCTAAGGTCGCAGGTGCCATGCCAGGTGGTCAGCAGCATCACAGAGAAACCGTGTTGCAGGTTGGTTACGCACCTCGAATGGCCAATTCAGGTTCGGATTGCTGTGGCATGGCATGGCATGGCATGGCATGACTACTTCCGTGCTGTGGCATGGCATGGCATGGCATGACTACTTCCGTGCTGTGGCATGGCATGGCATGGCATGACTACTTCCGTGCTGTGGCATGGCATGGCATGGCATGACTACTTCCGTGCTGTGGCATGGCATGACTACTCCCGTGCTGTGGCATGGCATGACTTACCATACTGGGGCATGACTTGCCATGCTGGGGCATGACTTGCCATGCTGGGGCACGACTTAATGACCATAGAGTAGTCATTTGGTCGGTACTCACCTCCTCGATGTGCAGCTCATCTATCTTCCTCTTCTGATGACGTGTCATCTTCACCCCGCTGCCATGCTGACGTGGCAGGGAGAGACGCAGTCCGGCAGACGAGGGAGGGGAGGGGGGATGAAGAGGAGGGACGGAGAGGGAACGGAGACGAGGGGGGGGGGGGGGGGGGGGGGGGGGGGGGGGGCGAGGAAGGGGAGAAAAGGGCCGCAACGAATGGAATGGGTATTGGGTGGGTGGGACGGCACAAGGTGTGTTTTGAGTCGACTCAAAACACACCTTTATTGGGTGGGTGGGAGGGCACCACAAGAGCAATGCAAAGCGGGAATGCAAAGCGGGAATGCAAAGCGGGATCACAAGAACAATTCCAAGATCACTCTGTAAAGCGGGTACACTGAAACATTCACTCAATCAAAAACTGGCGTGAAACTGGCATAGCAAGCAATCAACCTGTGCACCTTCCCCACCCACCTTCTCCTCCGCCTTCTCTTCACATGCGGTGTTGACAGACGATTGGTCGATACTGCTCACTGGGATCCACTCGTCCAATCGCCGGTTGACTGCTCCACAGTAGGGGGGAGAAACGGAAAACGGAGCGCGGAGCAGGAGGGGGAGGGGGAGCGGGAGAGGGTGGGGTGAGGAGGAGCGGGAGGGGGAGGGGGAGGTGGAGGGGGAGGGGGAGGTCTTAGGAGGTAGAGGAAGGAAATTCAAGCCCTTTTAAAACTGGGTTAAGAGGAAGGTTCATGCGCGGGAGAAGGGAGAAAGGGAACGCAAGGTTCAAGTGCAAGTGCAAGTGCAGAAGTGCTCGCGCTTCCAACCAAGAGTCACACCCGCTATTAGCACACTTGAACAGCCCACAGCGGCAAATCGCATCACTCACACTCGGTATAGTGCACGTAGTACTCGTATTCGTCCCCGCCCCCCGCCGCCTTCCGCCGTTCGATGATCTTCGCGGGGTGCATCTTCCCGTCACGCCACCGCGCGCTCACCCGCGCGCCCACCTCAAGCGGACCCGCCAATCCTCCCCCTTCCCCCGCCACCGCCGCTCCCCCTGCAGCCGGCCGCTCCGCGCCCGGCGCTGCCTCCGACGCTGCTGCGCCTCCGCCGACCGTTCCGCCAGCCATAGCAGTCGCGGGGCCATGTTCGCTCTTGACGGCGGGGGTTGCGGAGGCGGTGAGCGGAGATGCGGCGGAAGTGACCCGCGCGAGGTCTTGGGGCTGCGCGGAGTGCGCGTAGAGAGCTTTCTGCGGAGTTTGCGCCAACTGCTGATCTGACAGTTGCTGCTGCAGCTGCTGCTGCTCCCGCTTTGCCTGAATCGACGGTTGCTTGCTCGCCGATGCCCCGTGCCGGCCGCTGCGTTTTCCCCCCTTTCCTCCCTTTCCCCCTTTCCCTCCTTTCCCGCCCTTGCCGCCTTTGGCGGTAGTTGCTAGTGACTGCATGATTGCCTCGAACACGAGCTCAGCGCATTTGTCGGCAATAGAAATATTATACCTTTCTTATTGCTGGAGTCTCGGAAGTCATCCAATTGAGTGCCAGTGGTCTAGTGGTAGAATAGCACCCTGCCACATCAGCACGGTGCAGACCCGGGTTCGATTCCCGGCTGGCACAGATCGCTTTTGCCGCGTGGCCTTCTTGTGGTCCCTCCATACACAGATGGAACCCTCTCTGGTCAAATGCGCCCGTCATGCAGATTTTGCTAGTGTAGGCTTGCGATTGTATGCAATTGACGGTATCGGAAGAAAGATGTCGGCCCGCCGACAAAATTATGCGGTACCCGTGTTTAGGGTTGAGGCTTCCTTGATCACATGTCATCCATCTGGTCTGGGGTTTGTTTCTTAAAGATCGCGGGCAGATAACGACCCGTCAACTTTTTCCCCGCGGCCGTCAGCTGCATACACCCGTTTCCCTTGCGCGTGTTTGGGTTGGGCACAGCACTGAGCGGTTGCGTGCGTGCTCTTCTCGAGGGCACGCGAGGGGCACATGCACCACTCCAACTACAAGTACACTTTGTACTTCCAAAAAACAAAAAACCTCCTACAAAATTAAATGAGCAAGCACTCTGGCAAAATGATGCTGTCCTGCCAGTCACTTCTCTCTTTTGCCACTGGCCTTATGGTCTGCAGAAGATACACCCAAGGAAGAACTCCTCATGGGCGTGGTGACCGTGTCACACGAAAAAACCTAGATGCCATGCCACGTCACATGAAATGAGCACCAGCTCCCTTTGGTGCAGGGCTGTGTGACGCATAAGGAGCTGCACTAGTGAGTAGAGCCAAAGCACATGAACATGGAGAGTACAGCTCAAAACAGCACTTGAACTGCACGGTTTTCTGCACATGCTGTTCCCAAGTTCATGTTGCATGCATGCATATACAGTCAGGGTTTTCCACCTCCTTTGCTCCACCACACAAAACCATTCATCTATTCCCTATAATTTGAAGACAATCCACACAACCATTTGAAATATTGCCACCAGCTCTATTACAGTAACCCTGCACCACCATCAGCAGAGCCAGGAAAATCTCCGTGTGTGCATCCAAGTGAAAGCCCAGCTGTCCTTAAGGCCTACATAACGCACAGCCAAGGCAAAACTCCTGCGGTGCTTGGGGGTGCCAAGCCACACGCAGCGGGCACTCAGCCCCCCCCGTGCACGAGGGGGTGGGTGGCCTACCGCGATCGTGGCAACGCGCGCAGGAATGGGATGTGCCACCGCAGACGTAAGTGGCAACGGAGCAGCAGGAGCGGCACTTGTACTGTATGGCATCTGGCCCGTGGTTCCTGCTGCACGGCTTGCCTGCCTCCCACAGCCGCTCCCTCCTCTCCCTCTCCTCCGCCGCCGCTGCCGCTGCCGCCGCCGCCGCTGCCTCAACCGCCAAGCAGTCACCACACACCAGCCCATTGCCTCGCTGGCCCTGCCCACCCGCTTCCTCAGCTCGTTCTTCCTCCCCTCCCTCCCTCTCCCCTTCCTCCATCTCCTCTTCCCCCCCCTCCTCCCCAACCCCACTCTCAGCCTCGGCAGCAGCAGGTCCGGCACCGCACCTGCGGTCGCCACCGAAGTACGGGCGGTGGCAGCGCGAGCAGAGGAAGAACAGCAACCGACGCAACGCCCGTTCCAACACACCGTTACCTAAACCCTCATTCCCATTTCCTTCCTCCCCATCCCCATGCTCCTCCGCCCCATCCCCAAGCCCCTCCCCCGCTCTCACCCTCTCCTCTGCCAACCCCTCCACTTGTCCTTTCAGAGCCATAGGGCCGGCAAGCTCTGTCTGTAGTGCAGGATGATCCATAGTGGTACTGGGACAGAGCGGGCAGGAGAGGAATCCAAAGGAGATCTCGGGACCGGGATATGATTGGCGGATCTTCTCTCTTGCACATGCTGCATGCACCACGTGGCCACATGATGACAGGCGGATGGCCGGGGCGACAGCGATCGGCTCCACCCAGCAGATGGGACAAAAATCGTCGTTGGTCGGGAGGGGCGGGAGTGCCCGAGGGGCGGCAGAGGGCACACCACTGCTGCTGCTGCCAGCTGCCTCAGGAGCAGCAGCAGCAGCATCAGCAGCAGCAGCAGCAGCAGCAGCAGCAGCAGCAGCAGCAGCAGCAGCAGCAGCAGCAGCAGCAGCAGCAGCAGCATCAGGACCAGCAGCAGCAGCAGCAGCAGCATCAGGACCAGCAGCACCGGCAGCAGCACTACCAGAAGCACCAGCACCAGAACCAGAACCAGTGGCAGTAGTTGCAGCAGCAGAGGCAGAGGCAGCAGCAGGAGCTGCGTTGCTGTCCTCCACACAGGCATCATGCAGGCACGGCAAGCAGTCCATCTCCCCTCTGACCCCTCCACATGCGTGCCCACACTGACCAACACGCGTGCACGCGTCCTTCAGTCGCTCCCTGCACTGCTCCTCCCCGCACACACACACTGCCGCCGCTGCCACCACCGCCAGGTCGGCTTTGCTTGCGCACCAGCTCGTGTCTGCTCCTACTGCTGCAAGAAGCTCCCGCATCTCGCCCTCATTCCATTTCCAGTTGCTCGGGTCGTCACCACTGCTGCTGCCTCCACCGCCGCCACTGCTGCTGCTTGCAATCATTCCACCATCGTATGCAACCAGCTCTGCAAGCCGCCTAGCCTGCTCATCCCATTCTTCGCCATCCTTCTTCCTCCCGTCACCAACACCATCACCAACAGCATCACCAACACCATCACCAACACCATCACCAACACCATCACCAACAGCATCACCAACACCATCACCAACAGCATCACCAACACCATCACCAACACCATCACCAACACCATCACCAACACCATCACCAACAGCATCACCAACACCATCACCAACAGCATCACCAACACCATCACCAACAGCATCACCAACACCATCACCAACAGCATCACCAACACCATCACCAACAGCATCACCAACACCATCACCAACAGCATCACCAACAGCATCACCAACAGCATCACCAACACCATCACCAACAGCATCACCAACACCATCACCAACACCATCACCAACAGCATCACCAACACCATCACCAACAGCATCACCAACACCATCACCAACAGCATCACCAACACCATCACCAACAGCATCACCAACACCATCACCAACAGCATCACCAACACCATCACCAACAGCATCACCAACACCATCACCCTTCTCATCCTCTCCAACCTCCTCAGCCTCTCCAGCCTGCTCATCCCAGTCCTGGCCAGTCCCGCCCCACTCCACCCGCTCCCCACAGAAGCGGCACTTGGGGGCAGCGAGGCGCACAGCATGAGCTGCACAGGAGATCCCGAGGTGGTACGGGTGCTCACCACACGACCCACAGAACACCACACCACACTCCCCGCACCGGTATCTGTTGTTCAACTTATGGAGCACCATTTCCGGGGTTAACGGGCGCCCTTCCTCATCCTTTTCTTCAGCTTTAACTGCGGCTGCTGCTGCTGCAGCTGCCGCTTTTGCCGCCACTTCTGCTGCTGCTGCTGCCGCCGCCGCCGCTTCTGCTGCTGTTGCTTTTGCTGCGTGTGCTGCTGCTGCGGCTTCGGCCGCATCTGCTGCTTGTACTGCCGCTGCTGCTTGTGCCGCTTCTGCTGCAGCCTTTGCTGCTGCCGCTGCCTCTGCTGCCATTGCTGTATCTGCCGCAGCTGCTGCTTCAGCAGCGTCAGCTGCATCTGCTGCTGCTTCCGCTGCTTCTGCTGCCGATGCTGCCGCTGCGCCAGCTGCTTCTTCTTCTGCTGATGTTGCTGCTGCCTCTGCTGCTTCTGCCTCTGCTACTGCTGCTGCCGCATCTGCTGCTGCGGCTACAGCTGCTGCCTCTGCAGCCTCTGGGTCTGCAGCCTTTGCAGGCAATTTCTCCACGAGAACGTGGCATCCTGGGCAGATAACAAATTCATCTGCCCGGGAAAAAGCCGCAAGTGCAACCGAAGTTGCAGCTTCCTCCCACTGCCAAAACTCTTCGGGCAAAAGAGTCTGCACGTGAAGAGCAGGGACTGGCTGCACACAGCACGGGCAGGCCATGAAATCTTCCCCAGGAGATCTCTCAGGAGAATAAGCGGAGAGGGGTTGGGGACGATGTCCGCTCAACAGCTGCGCTTTCAGATGCTCCAGCTGGGGGCGGAAGGAACCGCGCGCGCAGGGGAGGCAGAGCAGGCAGGCGCAGTGGGGGAGGTCGAGGCAGCGCGCGAGGGGAGTGAGCACGGCGCACAGCCCGCACTCCACGTGGACGCTTGAAAGAACGCCACGTGGATCGACGTCCATCGCTAGCAGGAGCAGCAGCAGCAGCAGCAGCAACACCGTCATTATTGTTGCCACCAGCGTTGTCAGTAAAAGGAACTGATTCCGGTCTCGAGCTTGCTCGGGCCGTTCCCGTTCCCAGGCTCCCCATCAACGTCAAATTCTAGAATCCAAAATCTCCAACTCGGATTCTCGCTCGTAGGAGTTCCCCAGAATCAGTAACTCAAAAGCCTTCCATCCGAGCCGACCGTATCAGCTTAGAACCTCGATCTCCAGCCTATACTGGATCTGCCAATTCCGACTTCGCTGGCACTACCGATTCCGCACTGCCGATTCCACACACCCCCAGCAGCGTCGAATGAATAATTAAGGCCGTCAGTCGAGCGGGATGGATCTATTCCGTGAGAGCGAGCGACATGAGGTTGTGATGACAATGCTTCCCCAGTACGACGGCTGAGCTTACGAAGAGGAGTCTGCCACGCCGTGACTGAACGCTGAGACTGCGGGATTGGCTGACTGAACGCTGAGACTGCGGGATTGGCTGACTGAACGCTGAGGAATTGGCTCGAGGTTGGAACATCTGCGACGAATTTGCTGCACGCTGCGACGCTATCTCGTGCACGCTGGGACCCGCCTGCGACGCATCGGTGCGCATCGCACAGGAATCCCGTGGTTTTGTAAACGCATCCGCGACCCTCAGCGCCTGCAGCCGCCGCAGTGTCGCCAGCAGCAGCAGCCAGTCAGCCGTCGCACGTGCCGGTGCGACGATGCGCGTCGCAGGATCCGACATAGGGGAGTCGATGATAGAGGCGACAGCGGCGATTCAACCGACATTGGAGCCCGTGTTGTGTCTGCATGCTTCTGGACTGGAGAAATGCATGCAGCAGAAGGCGTGAATGCGAGCAACTGAACTGCGCGCCAACCTGACAGCGCAAAATAACAAACATGCCAGTCTCCAACGTTTACTACCGATGTGTACCGTAGTCGAGGAGGAACTACAACTTACCGTTCGGTTCCGAACGAGAGCTTGCAACGGGTAACCCGAATCTCAGCATTCGCAGGACGAACCAGTTCGATCCATTTTGGTAACTGGTTTCTCCTGACCCCAGTTCCCCTCGACTGAATCGCAACTAGGTGGACCCAGTCGTTCACTTTCGCCAAGTAAATTTCTGTCGCGAAAACTTTCTTGGAATTCTGTTACGACATATTCCGCGTACCTCACGGTCACAAATCTCGACAGGGGGTTTACAGGCGGCAGACGCAATGAACCAGCCGCGCGCTCGTTCCGCCGCCACCTCTCCGCAAGCCGCTTCCTCCACCTCCCCTCACGCCGCTTCCGCCACCCCGCTCGACCTCCGCCGCGAGTTTCTCCGCCGAGCCGCCGAGTCGCTCGCGGTCAGTGCGCCGCCCGTTGCCGCCCACCTCGGGCGGTGCGTGCAGCTGCTGACGCCAGCGCCGGAACTGCCGCAGCGGCGACAGCAAGGGGAGGCGGACAGGAAAAGAGGAGGGGGTGGTGGTGGTGGTGGTGGAAGCGCGGGCGACGGTGGTGGTGGGCAGTCTGTTTCCAAGGCAATGGCGGTTGACGGGAGCGTGCTGTGCGCGGGGTGAGTGCTGCTCTCTCGCTCTTTCTCCGCCTCCATTTTCCCCTCCTTCCCCCGTGGCAAAACCCCCCTGCATCAGCTGCGGCCTCCCCCAAAACACCCCTCCTTTTGTCTGCTCTGCTGCCTCCCTTACTCCCGCCCCGTGCCAACGCCCCCGCATCAGCTGCGGCCTTCCCCAGGTCCTCCCTTCCACCTGCACCCTCACCATCGCATCCTACCCACGCACGGGAAACCGAAAGCGAAGGGCAAAGAAATCAAAGACATCACAAAGCACCAAGTCAAGGAGCAGCGACAAAGCCACCAGGCCGGCAGCTTCCCCAGCTGCGGGTACCTGTGGGAATGCCAGAGGAAGTGCCGTAGATGCTTCCTCTGCAGGCGCAGATTCCTCAGATGCTGCCGCTGCCGCCCCTGTAGCGTCTGAGGCGACCCGGAGAAGCGCCACGTGCAACCACGTGGCAGGTGAAGGTGCTTCCACTGCTGCTGCTGCTGCTTCAGTTGCTGCTACGGCTGCCGCTACAGCCGCTGGTGGAGGTGCTACAGCTGGTGGATGGGCTACAAAAGAAGCAGGAGAGAGAAGGAAGGGGGACAGAAAGAGGCGAAGGAAGGCGAGAGGTGGAGGACAAGCTATGAACGGAGGAGAGGAGCATGGGAAGAGGAGCATGGGAAGAGGAGCATGGGAAGAGGAGCATGGGAAGAGGAGACGGGTGGCGCAGGAGGGAGTGCAGAGAGCAGAGGGGAAGCAAGGGGAGGCAGGAGGGCGAGGGGAGGCGGTGAGTGGGGCTCTGCACAGGAACAGGGTGATCAGTGCATGTAGGTTTTGTGGGAGAGAGAGGCGGTGCAACGGCAGCAGGCAGGGGTATGTGAAGGGCAAGGCTGCTCAAATCAAGTTGGTTCCATCTTGACGCCTATGCTGTTGCTGTTTTGGTAGCGCACATATACTGCAATAGAGCAGAGACTCTTTCAGCGAAGCTTCTGGAATAGAGAAGCATTTATCCTTGACCTGCAACTAATGCATGAAATTAGTGTACAACTCAAAAGCAGTGCGTACTTCTGATGCTTATACTTGTGCATGGTGTACTGTATGCTGTGAAGGATGCTGTTTCCACTCCACCTTGCAATCAATCCACTCGTGCAGTGTTAACTTCTAAGGTTTCCTTTGCATTTGCTGACACAAAAATTCCTTCGGAACCAGCTGCGCCTGTTTCACCATTGCAGCTGCCCGCGATTTGCAGAGCTCCATAAATACAGCAAGAATGACCGCCGCTTCCCTTTAAGGTGACATGTAGATGAGCCATGACATGTAGTTGCTGCCGCTGCTTTGCAGAGTGGGGTGCTGCTGCTGCTGCTGCCCTTCCAACCATGAATGACAACGAGACGACCGCTGCGGACCACCTTGCAGTCACACCCACCGCGCGCGCACACACACACACAGCGCTGCAGTCTGTTTTAAACCATCTGTCGGTTGTCGTGAAGTGAATTCTCCACTCATTTCCAACACAGCTTACCCTGCTCCACAGCTTCCCCTGCGCCACAGCTTCACAGCTTCCCCTCCCCACCAGCTGATTATCTGGGTGGGCCGAAGTGCAGTCCTTTGAGCAGCGCCGAGGCCATCTGCCTCACCAGCACCTGCTGCCCGCCTGCAATGCGCCGCTCCTCTGTCAGCCGCTGCAGCTTCCCCGGCAGCTCGTCTGGAACGCACAGCCCCTTGGGGTATGGGTGCTGCTCGTATACCGCCTGGGATTGGAAGGAGAGGGGATGGGGAGGGGGAGTTGAGGGAGGAGAATTGTGTCTTTTTTCCCCTGACCGGAACAACAAGGAACGCACAGCCCCTTGGGGTACGGGTGCTGGTCGTACAACGCCTGGGGCTAGGATGGAGAGGGGAGGGGGAGTGGGAGGAGCATGGTGACCGTGTCGGACCCATGTGACGGCACAAGCACAGCCCCTTGGGGTATGGGTTGCTGCTCGTACACCGCCTGGGAGAAGTGGGGGTGGAGTGGAGGGAGAAGCATGGAAACATGACAGTGAGGGACTCATTTGGCGGCACACACATGCCCTTGGCATGGCATACGGGTGCGGCTCAGCAGCACGACTCACTCCTCCATTTACCACGAGCTCACCTTGAGCAGCTTGGGCGCAGGTTGAGCAGGTTGAGCAGGTTGAGCAGGTTGAGCAGGTTGAGCAGGTTGAGCAGCACGGCGGGCTCCAGCTGTGGGTCGTCCAGTCCTTGCATCAACAGGCCAACAAGGCACAAGACACACCTGCCTATACTCCATACCCACTCTCCTTTAACCCCCGCGTCAGTCACCCCACCTTGAGCAGCTTGAGCAGGTTGAGTCGCACGGCAGGCTCCAGCTGGGCGTCGTCCAATTGATCAATGGGCAGGCCATACAAGGCACAAGGCACCTGCCTATACTCCACATCCAAGCTCGGTCTAACCTCCCACGTCAGTCACCCCACCTTGAGCAGCTTGAGCAGGTTGAGTCGCACGGCGGGCTCCAGCTGGGGGTCGTCCAGGCGAGCCACGAGCAGGTCGCCCAGCCCTCCCACTGACAGCGCCGCGTTCAGTGTTGGCGACTTGCTGTTGTGGGTGGGGGAATGGGGAAAAGGGAGAAAAGGAAGGGTGGTGGCCATGGGGGGAGGAAAAGGGAGTGTCAACGCAACTAACAGGCGATCCACGAGCAGGCGCCCAGCCCTCCCACTGACAGCACTGCGTTCAGTGTTGGCGACTTGCTGTTGGGGCGGGTGAATGGGGGCCGAGAGAAAAAGAGGAGGGGTAAATGTGGGGGGGATCAAAATTGGGTGGGTGGAAGGGGAGGTGGGAAAGGGAGGACGTGATTCAAAGAAAAGGCATGGCTGGGTGTATGTATGGCTCACGCATGTGACAAGTCGACTTTTGAGACGTCTCAAAAGGCTGGGCGTATGGCTCACTCACGTGACAAGTCAACTTTTGAGACATCTCAAAAGGCTGGGCGTATGGCTCACTCACGTGACAAGTCGACTTTTGAGATGTCTCAAAAGGCTGGGCGTATGGCTCACTCACGCGACAAGTCGACTTTTGAGACGTCTCAAAAGGCTGGGCGTATGGCTCACTCACGTGACAAGTCGACTTTTGAGACGTCTCAAAAGGCTGGGCGTATGGCTCACTCACGTGACAAGTCGCAGCAGAGGCTCAAAGAGGGCGGTGAAGGAGGGAGTCTTGGCAGCCCCGCGCACAAACCACACGAGCGCTTCAAGAGAATCACGGCGCAGCAGCGTCTGCTCCACATGCCGCCCCTCCCCATCGTTCACCACACACGCCACCACCGCCTCAAACGCCGCCGCCCCCCACATCCTCTCCGCCCCTTCCCCACTCCCCATCCCCCCCGTCCCCCCTGCCCCCCCCGCTCCTCCTGAGCTTCCTGCAACAACCCCCCCTCCGCCTGCCCCTTTTCCCCCAGCGCCGTCCTTCCTGCCATCCGCAAGCCGGGCAGCAATGGCCGCGTGGGGCGTGAGAGGGGAGGCGAGGAGGGAGAGCAGCAGCGGCAGCGCGTTGTGGTGCAGCAGCGTGTCGCAGGCGGCGCGCGAGGCCGTGGCGAGCAGGCAGAGGAGTGGCAGCGCGAAGGGGAGAAGAGGCGAGCGCGAGGAGATGAGAGCCATGAGCGGTGGCACGATGGCCGCCTCTGCTGCCAGCTCCTGCCTGCGCTTGCTGCCCCTGCACAGATTGTACAGCGCCATCAGCGCCTGGTGGGGAAGGGGGGAGAGGGAGGGGGGGAGTGGGTGGGGAGGGATTGAGTAGCGATGGGGTGTTCATTATACTTGCTGCCCCGGCAGAGATCGTACAGCAACATCAGCGCCTGGTGCGGACCGAACCGGGAGGGAGAAAGCAAAGGGGGAGGAGGGCGGGGGTGCTTATTGCTGTAGATCAATCCAGGAAGCACTTGCTGCCCCTGCCCCTGCTGAGATTGTACAGCGCCTGCGCGGAAGCGCCAGAGGGTGTTGGAGGCACCTACCTCACAAGGTTTCCTGAAGCCTTTTGAGTCCACTCAAAAGACACCACCTACCTCACAAGGTTTCCTGAAGCCATTGCCAAGACAACACACATGACATGACATCTCATTTTCACAGTTAACCAGGCTTTTCTTGCATCCATTTTCATGGGGTTTGCCTCACGTGTCGTTTTATTAACCACACGAGTTGATGGACGGAAGACCTGTCTCCGCAGCCCACCTGTGTTGTACTGACAGCACCTCACAAGGTTTCCTGAAGCCATTCCCAAGACAACACACGACACAATATCTAAAGGACCTGAGGTCTTTTGAGACTTCTCATTAGGTCGAATCACATCACATCTGCCTAAATCTCCCATCTCTCACCTCTGCTTGAATGTCGCAGAACAGTGAAGCGGGATACGCCACCGCTCCCCCACCACCCCCTGTCCGGCCCTCCCCTTTCTCCCCCCTCTCCCCCACCTCGAACCGCTCTCTGAACCCTGCATCAATATACGGCACGAGCGCAAGGACAGCATCGGCCCTCTGTAATGAATCATGCGAGGCGGCGTCAGCAGACAGCTGGCGGAGGACCCTTAGCAGCAGCAGCAGCACGGGCGGGGGGAGGGCGTCGCGCGCGTCAAGCAGGCGTTTGAGGAAGGAGGGCGCGAGCATGTGCGCTCGCACTGCCTCGTCCGCCTGGCAGAGCTGCAGCAGGAGGAGGGCCGTGCGCGTGAGGTAGAGCGTGTCCTGTGCTGCCAGCGCTGCCGGGTCCAGCTGCTGCTGCTTCACGGCTGCTGTTGCTCCTGTTGCTGAGGAGGAGGAGGAGGAGGAGGAGGAGAAACCACTGCTTCCACCACTATCACCAGCAGCACCACCAACAGCAGCACTGCTCCCATACCCTCCTGAACCTGTACCCATTCCATTCCCACCACTGGAAGAGCCGCCAGCACCGCCTGGCACTCCTCCTGATCCTCCTCCCGCTCCCCCTGCTCCTGCTGATGCTGATGATGATGTTGCCCCTCCCTGTGCCTGCGAGTCTCCCCCGCTCTGCCCAGCCTTGGCTGCTTTGCTTCGGAACTGTGCTAGGCCAAAGATGCGACGCTGGGAGCGCCGAGCAGGAGTGGCAGCGGCAGGAGCAGCAGCAGACGACGCGGACGAGGAGGAGGTTGCAGGGGAAGCAGCAGCTGATGCTGCCCCTCCTCCTCCTGCTCCTACTGCTGCTCCACCTGCGTTGCCCGAGCTAAAAGGATCCCCTGATCCGTAGGCCAAGCCACCACCAGAGCCAGCAGCACCGCCATCCCAGCTGCTCCTACCAGCTCCCTCACCCCCACCATCACCACCAAAACCAGCAGCACCAGCACCGGCAGCAGCAGAAGAGGCGGAAGCGGGGTGGTTGCGGGCGGAGGAGATGGAGTGCAGGAGGGAGAGCAGGCGGTGCAGCAGGCCCATGCGCGCCAGCTGCCTCGCAATGTCCGTGCGCGGGGTGGGGCGCCCCGCTGCCAGCACTGCCAGCAGGCAGTCCAACCCTATGTGCACAAACGCCCTGAGGGAGTGGGTTTGGGGCAGGGAGCGGGAGAGAGAGGGAGGTAGAGAGAGAAAGGCTTTAAGCGTGACCCTCACCACTGCCACCAGCATCTGCGACAGCATAAGCACCAGCAACTAAGCAGAGCAGTGCAGAACCCACCGGTGGGTTGTTGCAGTAGACTGATACAAGAAACGCCATGTGCGTGGGAAGAGATGACTTTTGAGTCGACTCAAAAGTCACTGATACAGGAAACGCCATGTGCGTGGGAAGAGAGATTGAAGAGACAACTCAGCTCAAGGACTCAGGCGCAGCTTACAGAGCAGAGCAGCGCAGAACCCAGGTAGAACCCGCCCAAAAGCCACCCAGAAGAACCCACCGGTTGTTGCAGTAGTCGGTTTCAAGAAACGCCATGAGCGTGGGCAGGCCTCGACATGCAAGCAGCGCTCTCACCGCGTCCGGACTGGTCCGGGGGGAAGGAATGTTAAGGGGGACGGGAGAAAGACGATGCAGGGAAGGGATATTGGTGGGGGGTAACAACGAGAAACGGTGCAAGGAAGGAATGATTTGGGGGAGGGGCGGATAACGAGAAAGGGAAAGGGGAATGTGGGGGTAGCAGCAAAGCAGGGAATTAGAGGGGAGGGACGGATAGGGAAAGGTGCGGTGGTGGAGAAAGAGAGGAGAGGGCGGAAAGCGGAACGAGATATAAGAGGGTGTGGTGCGGTGGAGAGAGAGAGACAGGAGTGAGAGGGTGCACAGACGAGCGACTCAGCGCAACTGGCACAGGTGGCTGGGTCGGAAACCGACTGGCAAATACCTGGAGTGGCACAGCAGAGGTACCACAGCACAGAATTTGAGGTGCCTCAAAAATCGTTCAGAGACATGTACCTGGAGTGGCAGAGGTGGCGCAGCACACAGCCCGCCTGATGGCGCATGTCTGGCGAGCAGCGACCCGGCGAAGAGAAGTTGAGCAGCGTAGGCACCTGTGATGGGGGCGAGGAAGGGCACGGGGCGAGAGAAGGGGAGAGGTAAGAGGAGGGGAAGTGAAGCAAAGGGACGGGAGGAAAAGGGAGGAGAGAGGAGAGCGCAGGAGGGGAGAGGGGAAGTCAGGAAAGGAAGCGGGAGGGAGGGAGTGATGGAAGGGACTCACACCACCACATGTGTACATACAACCCGGCACATCCTAAGATTAGAAAAGCTTCAGAAATATCACATGAAATACGTCTCCTTCAGAAGAAAAAGAAATCACACCACATTCGTAAGAAGTATGTTGCAGCCCGGCCCGGCACGGGACAGGGTACTCACGAGGCCAGCATTGCAGAGCAGGCTCTGGATGGCAGGACCGTCTGTGATGTTTTGGGACGTCTCAAAATATTCACTTTTATCACGTGGCTCCTCAAATCAAACTAGGTTACTCACGAGGCCAGCATTGCAGAGCAGGCTCTGGATGGCAGGACCGTCTGTGATGTTTTGGGACGTCTCAAAATATTCACTTTTATCACGTGGCTCCTCAAATCAAACTAGGTTACTCACGAGGCCAGCATTGCAGAGCAGGCTCTGGATGGCAGGACCGTCTGTGATGTTTTGGGACGTCTCAAAATATTCACTTTTATCACGTGGCTCCTCAAATCAAACTAGGTTACTCACGAGGCCAGCATTGCAGAGCAGGCTATGGATGGCAGGACCGTCTGTGATGTTTTGGGACGTCTCAAAATATTCACTTTTATCACGTGGCTCCTCAAATCAAACTAGGTTACTCACGAGGCCAGCATTGCAGAGCAGGCTCTGGATGGCAGGACCGTCTGTGATGTTTTGGGACGTCTCAAAATATTCACTTTTATCACGTGGCTCCTCAAATCAAACTAGGTTACTCACGAGGCCAGCATTGCAGAGCAGGCTCTGGATGGCAGGACCGTCTGTGATGTTTTGGGACGTCTCAAAATATTCACTTTTATCACGTGGCTCTTCAAATCAAACTAGGTTACTCACGAGGCCAGCATTGCAGAGCAGGCTCTGGATGGCAGGGCTGTCAGTGATGAGCTGCTGCAGCAGTCTCAGCACTGCCAACACTATCTGCAGTCAGGGAGGGCGGGAGGTTAGGGGAGAAACAACATGTGATGCGATGTGATGTGATGTGATGTGATGTGATGTGATGTGATGTGATGTGATGTGATGTGATGTGATGTGAGCAGCCGTGTTCACTCACACGCACCCACCCACCCACCCTGCTCACCCACATGCCCACACAACTCCCTCACCTACCCTATCCCCACCCGCACCCACCCACTCACCCAGGGGCTGTCAGCATCGAACACATCGAGCAGCGGCAACAACGCATAGGAGGCCACGAGCTCGCCCTTGACCTCGGGGTACTCCCCCACCAGCCCCGCCAGCCTGCTGACTTCGCGCCTCCCCAATCTACCCTGCTCACTTACCTCGCCCCACCAAACCTGCTCCCTCACCTGCCCACGCTCCCTCTCACCTGCCCACACCCACACTCCACTCACCCGGGGGCTGTCAGCATCAAACACATCGAGCAGCAGCAGCACCGCATGGGTGGCAACCAGCTCGCCCTTGACCTCGGGGTACTCCCCCACCAGCCCCGCCAGCCTACTCCCTCACAGCCTGCCCTCCACCCACACCCACACTCCACTCACCCGGGGGCTGTCAGCATCAAACACATCTAGCAGCGGCAGCACCGCATGGGTGGCAACCAGCTCGCCCTTGACCTCGGGGTACTCCCCCACCAGCCCCGCCAGCCTACTCCCTCACAGCCTGCCCTCCACCCACCCACACTCCACTCACCCGGGGGCTGTCAGCATCAAACACATCGAGCAGCGGCAGCACGGCATGGGAGGCCACGAGCTCCCCCTTGACCTCGGGGTACTCCCCCACCAGCCCCGCCAGCCTGCTGCTCGCCACCTCTATCGCCTCCTCTCCCTGCGACGGCTTCAGTTGGCTCAGCAACCCCGCTGCCTCCGATACCTGCCCCGGAAGGAAGAGAGTGGGCAAAAAGAAACAAGGGGGAGGGAGAATCGTTAGGCAGAGTTGACACCTGCCACGGCTTCAGCTGGCTCAGCAGGCCCGCTGCCTCCGACACCTGGCAACAGGGGGGAGAAAAGGGGACAGAGAAGGGGATTGGAGGGAGAACGGAGAACTCTTCAGCAACGCTTCCAGCAGGAGTGGCTTCACTTCACGCTGGCTCAACAGCCTCGCTGCCTCTGACGCCTGGCGAAATATGAGGTGAGATGGCAGCACAGCAGCATACCTTCTGGTTAAGCAACTCTGGCCGCAGGCTTGATTTGCGTTCCGCCCCTCCACCTGCTGCCCCTCCATAGACCGCAGAATCAAACTCCCCAACCACCCCAACTCCACCAACAACACCCACAGCCCCACCATCCTCCTCTCCCCTTTCCGCACCGCTCCCAACCGCATCCAGCCCCTCAACCCCAGCAAACGGGTCACTCCCCTCGCGCTCCGCCTTCACAGCCACACGGTGCATCCCTCTCACAAGCCTCTCCCTCAGCACTCCTGCCAGGCTCCTGCTGCCCCCCGCCACCTGTGGTGACCCTGCCAGAGGCGCGAACATGGCTGTGAGGGAGGAGAGAGACCGCTCCTCCTCTGACTCGATGAATGTGGAGAGAGGTCGGGGAATGAGCTGTGGAGGCGTGCGCGGCGCGATAAGGCTGCTGCTGCTGCCGGGGTCAATATTGCCACTGTTGTCGTTGTTGCTGTCATCGTCTTGCTGTGCCTGCTGCTGTTGCTGTGAGCCTCGCTTCTTCCCTGCTCCCTTTGCTGATTTGCCCGTAGGGGCTGACAGAGGGCCGCTGCGCCGCTGCTCCTTCTTCTTCCCCGCGCCCTTCTTCCCCGCTCCTCCTCCCTCCGCCCCGGTTCCCCCCACCCGATCCGTCCCGTCCCCGTCTTGCGATCTCCGCCTCGCCTTCCTCCCAGCAGGCGTGCCATTTCTCTCATCCTCCTGATCCGCCCCACCCTCCTCCCCTGAAGACCCGACCAGAAAGTTCTCCCCACCAGACCTCCCCCCACTCGCCCTCCCGTGTGCTCCCTCCGGTGACTGCTGCTGGGAGCGCGAGACCTTCTGAGGCGCCTCAAAACTCGACCTCCCATGTGCTCCCTCTGGAGACTGCTGCTGCGAGCGTGACCCCCGGTGAGATCGCGGGGGAGATGGCAGACTGGCACTCATAGACCGCCCACTGCTCGCCCCACTCCCTCCCCCCCCACCCAGACCTGCTCCACCAGTGCTGCTCGACTGCCCCAGCTTCGGCTGCTCGAGCCTCTCCCGAACCTATCTCCCCACTGCTATCCTCCTCCTCCGCTCTCTCCCTCACCGCTCCTCTTCTCCCTCCCTTAACTTTCCCCAGCCCATCCTCCTCATCTGAGACCTCCCACACGCCCCCCTCCCCCTGCATGCTGATAAACTCCCTGCTGCCCTCCTCGTCCATCCCCTGCCCGCTCTTCCACCTCTGCCTCCTCGCCCCGTCCTTGCCGCCCGCTCCCCCTGCCCCCCCCTCCGCGTGCCCCTCGCTGTCTCGCGCATTCAGCTCCTTGTCGCTCTTGGACCGAATAATCTTACGCCGCCCGCTGCCACTCAGCGGGATACCGCTGCTGCTGATCCCACTGCCTCCACCCCCACCGCCACCACTGCCAACGCCACCACTACCAGCGTCTTCTGCAGTCCCGGGTCGGTCAGAGGGGGCGCCAGAGTCAATGCTGCCGCCCATGGAGTGTCGCTGCGCCCGTGACTTGCGCGCCGCCTTGGCTGCCTCCCTCAGGTCCTTCACAGCGTCCTGGTGGTGTAGATGTGTGGGGTGGGGTGGGGAAAGCGAGAAAATGAATGAGTGCGATTTTAAGAGGTATTCTCACAGAGATTTGTGCGCCGCCTTGGCTGCCTCCCTCGGGTCCTTCGCAACGTCCTGGTGGTGTGGACGGGTGGGGTCAGGTGGTGTGAGGTGGGGTGGGGGAGCAAGAGACTGGTTAAAGCCTTCAAAATCTTCAAGAGTTGTGCGCCGCCTTGGCTGCCTCCCTCGGAATTTTCACCGCGTCCTGGAGGGTAGGTTAGGGGACACGTGTAGCGAGGGTGTTTTTGAGACGTTTCACACGTGTTTTTGAGACACCCTCGCTACACGTGAATTTTCACCGCGTCCTGGAGGGTAGGTTAGGGGACATGTGGGAACGTGGATTGGGATTAGGAAAAGTTGAAGGAGAGGAGAGAGGAGGTGGAGAGGCGGACAGGCGAGGGGGACCTGTGAGCCTCTCCACCTCCTCTCCTCTCCTTCAAAAGTCGTCTTTTGAGATGTCTCACACTCTTCATCTTCAGCGTAAGTAAAAGCAACTCACCGCTTGCAGGTGGATTTTCCGGTCACGTCGCTCGCTGTCCGGAGAGGACGCGGAGAGGGTGACAGGTGGGGAGGAGGAGGAGGAGGCGTGGGAGGTAGCGTGCACACGCCTGGCGGCATCGATTGAGTCGTCTATGGCTGCTGCCTCGTCGCTGCCCCTGCCTGCCCCCGCTTGAGATGGAGCCTCAGGGTACCTGCGTGGGGGAGAAAAGATGGAAGGTGACTGTTGAGAGCTCTCACGCGCCTGGCTATTGATAGCTGCAGGGGGGTGGAGGGTGGAGGGGGGAAGGATGACAGAAGGGAGTGGACGAGAGGAAAGAGGCGTAATAATAGCAACAGAGTGCTAGTGAATACAGACGTCAGCAGCAGCAGCAGCAGCAGCAGCACGTACAGGGGGCGGGTGGAGGAGGAGGAGGAGCCGGCGCTAACAGGACGGGGGATGGCAGCAAGGCCGGAGGACACCGCCCGCTTCGCCTGCCACATGGATCCAAGGATGCCGCAGGAGAGTCTTGGCGTCCGGGCGGCTCTTGGTGTCCTGTAGTGGTTGGTGGAGGTGCAGGCAGTGTGAAGAACAAGAGGGGATGTGGTGGGAGAGGGGTAGACAGACAGGGACGACGGAGTAGGAGAAGCGGAAAGCAAAACGTGATGAGGATTCGAAGGAGCATAGGGATATCCTCTAGGAACCTGATGCTAGCTAGGATAATGTATACTTGTTTGTTCGTAGATTCTCAAAACAATCGCCACCGTTTGTTCAATGCTGAGCCCCTCAGAAACTCATCCCACCATTCCATCCCACCATGGACACACCCCACAACCCCTCTGTACTGCACCTTACGGAAGCAGGGGTGGAAAAATTTTTGTTTTTTAGTTGACTCAAAAATAGCCCCTTGGAAACTCATCCCACCATTCCATCTCACCATGGGCACCCCACGAACCCCGCTGTACCGCACCTTACGGAAGCAGAGGTGGAGGAAGTCCGACGTGGCAGCGGACACATTCTCTGGTAAGGGCGGCAGGTCGTCCTGCAAGACAAGTGGCGCGATGACACACCAAGGCAAAAATGCGAGATAGAGTTTGTGAACTGAACACGCCCTTGCTGCGGTTGAGCGGAATTCAAGACGCAGCCCTGATATCGTCCTCGAGATTCGAGAAAGAAGCAAGCATTTGAGAATTTCCAAGCACATAGACTGGCTGTGAAAATGCTCAGGAATGTTCATTCGCAGGCATGCATCCATCCAGCCCAGCCCCGTCAAAATGATCAATCAAAATCCCACCTGAACAATGCGGAAGAGCGCGGGCATGGGCTGGAGGTCGAAGTAGGGCGGCTTGGTGGTGAGGAGCTCAATGACAGTGCAGCCAACGCTCCAGATGTCGGAGGCGGGCGAGATGCCGGACATCTCGATGACCTCGGGCGCCATCCAGTAGGGCGTGCCCACCACGTTGGGGTTCTCCGCGTCCCCATGGCACGCCGCCGCCTCCTCCAACCGTATCGCCACCCCGAAATCCGCCAGCTTCACCAGGCCCTGCGGGGGTTGGTGGGGGTGGAGGGGGGGGGTTGGGGGGAAGGGACGGGGAAGCAGGGGGAGGAGGGAGGAGGGGGGAGAGGGGAGGACTAAGAAAGAGGGGGGGTGAGGGGGTTAAAGAGGAGAGACGCAGGTATTGACGCTCCAGATGTCGGAGGCGGGCGAGATGCCGGACATCTCGATGACCTCGGGCGCCATCCAGTAGGGCGTGCCCACCACGTTGGGGTTCTCCGCGTCCCCATGGCACGCCGCCGCCTCCTCCACCCGTATCGCCACCCCGAAATCCGCCAGCTTCACCAGGCCCTGCGGGGGTTGGTGGGGGTGGAGGGGGGGGGTTGGGGGGAAGGGACGGGGAAGCAGGGGGAGGAGGGAGGAGGGGGGAGAGGGGAGGACTAAGAAAGAGGGGGGGTGAGGGGGTTAAAGAGGAGAGACGCAGGTATTGACGCTCCAGATGTCGGAGGCGGGCGAGATGCCGGACATCTCGATGACCTCGGGCGCCATCCAGTAGGGCGTGCCCACCACGTTGGGGTTCTCCGCGTCCCCATGGCACGCCGCCGCCTCCTCCACCCGTATCGCCACCCCGAAATCCGCCAGCTTCACCAGGCCCTCTGCGGGTGGTGGGAGGGGTGTGAACCAGGGAGGAGGGAGGAAGAGGACTACATGACTAACTCTCGGAAAGAGGGCGAGGGGAGAGGGGAGGAAGGGGGGGAGGAGAGGGGGGAGGAGAGGGGGGGTTTGAGAGGAAGGGGAGGTTGGTGGTTGCGGACGATTGAGCAAGTTGAGCCATCCAGCATGGTCTGACCACGTCACTGGGGTTTGATGCATCCCTGTGGCACGCCCCTTTGGTGGTGAGTTTGCTTTGCTGGCTCCCTTGGTGTTGCTGCAGCGGATGATTTCGAGTTGAATCAGGAGGCGGGTGAGTGAGGTAAGGAGGGGGCGACAGGGAAGGGACTGGACTGACCTCTTTGGTGGTGAGGATGTTGGCGCCCTTGATGTCGCAGTGGATGATGCCCTGCTCGTGCAAGTACATCAGCCCCTCCAGCACCTGCCACAGAAGGAGGGATGGGGAAGGGGGGAGGATGGGGAACGCGATGGGGGAGAGAGGAACGAGTGGTGAGTGGAGTCACCAGTCGCAGTGAATAGTGCCCTGCTCGTGCAGATACATCAGCCCTTCCAACACCTGCCACAGGAGGAATGAAAAGATGGAGCAGGAAGAGGCAGAAGAGGATGAGGAAGAGGATGAGGCAACGGGAATGGAGCAGGAAGGAGCAGAGATGGGCAGGGAGGAGCAGGAAGGAGCAGAGAGGGGCAGGGAGGAGCAGGAAGGAGCAGAGAGGGGCAGGGAGGAGCAGGAAGGAGCAGAGATTGGCAGGGAGGAGCAGGAAGGAGCAGAGAGGGGCAGGGAGGAGCAGGAAGGAGCAATTGTGTACATTAGGCAAGCTGCAGCAGGAGGTACAAGGAAGGGAATAGAAGGGGGAGTATCTACACACAGGTCGCATAAGAGAGTGCGTTCATGATATATCCAGGGGGGTATAAATCTCGTCCCACCTGAGCAGTATAGACAGCAACAAGGCACTCGGGAAAAGGCCCGAATCTATTTGGCTTGATAATACCCGCCAGGGATCCGTTCTCTACAAACCTAACCACGCGCACGGGAATGGGATGGGTGGGATGGGGCGAGGGGATAGGGCGAGAGGCAGGGGAGCGACTTTTGAGACGTCTCAAAAATGATAATACCCACCAGAGATCCGTTCTCCACAAACCTAACCACGCCCCACGGGAATGGGATGGGTGGGATGGGGCGAGGGGATAGGGCGAGAGGCAGGGGAGTGGTGATAGGGTGAGAAGGGAATGCTGTAACCTGTTGCAGTGTCCAGCTGAGTTACGCAGATCAGATAAGGTAAAGAGCACGCGAGATGAAAATGTTATTTTCGATACATTTATCTCTTCTTTATCGTGTGGCAGAGCACGCGATCTAACGGCACAGCACGCAGCAGCGGGAAACGGTAAGAGGGGGCGAAGAAGCTGGAGGGATGGGTGATGTGGCGAGCATAGAGCAGAGAGCGGCAGGAGGCCAACAGGCAGGCAGGCAGACAGGCAGGCAGGCAGGCAGGCAGGCAGGCAGGCAGGCAGGCAGGCGTACTCGAGGAGAATGAAGAGGTGTGTCTTGGTCTTGATGGATCCCAGGTACTTGACTATGTTCTTGTGGTTAAACGTCTGTAGGGGGGGGGGGGGGGGGGGGGAGGGGGGGAGGGGTTGGAATGGCGGGGGCGGGGATAGCAGAGCAATTGATGTGAGGGAATATTTAGACACCAGCGTCTTGGTCTTGATGGATCCCAGGTACTTGACTATGTTCTTGTGGTTGAACATCTGTAGACGGGGGGGGGGGGGGACAGCAGAGCATTTACTGTTAGGGAATATTCAGAAAACAGCGTCTCGGTCTTGATAACACCAAGGTACTTGAGTGTTTCTTGTGGTTGAACGTCTGTAGACGGGTGTGTCGTGAGGGGGAAGGATAAGGGTGAGCAAAAGAACAGTTAGTATGTGCGGATTCTCATACACCAACCAACATGCTGGACTTCACGAGCGCACATACGGTACAGCATGTATGGTACAGCATGGTATGGTACAGCATTCAGTAGCATGGTACCGTACGGTACAGCACAACACAGCACAGAAGGGCCGGGAACAGCTCACCTTGAGTAGATCGATTTCTTGCTGCCGTGATTGCATTGCAAGTGACAGTAGCGGACGCCAGCCACCACAAACCACAGTCCCGAGCATAAGGAGCACAGGGCCACACAAGGGAAAGGCAGGGGGGGAAAAGAAAAAGAAAAATTCAGTACTGGTGGTGAAAAGCAGGTAGAGCAAGAGTGACATTGCGTGCAATACATGCTTTAGGGTTGACTTGACGCAATTAAAACGCCAAAGCCATCACAGCACTGCCATTGCAGCCAAAGTCAGTGTTTTCAACGCACAGCACCATAATCCAACACACGCGCCCATGCACCCCTTTTCCTAGCACACATCCCACAACTGGCAGCCCACCATGACGGAAACAAGGTCGTCCTGGTCGATGTTCTCGAGGGACACCTCCTTCCTTCACAGCACCTCCATGACCACACAAACACATCCTCGCAACCACCCTTTCGTTCCATCACATCACACCCATGCACTCCTACCTGCCCACCCCTGGCAGCCCAGTACTGACACCCCAACCACCCACCATGACGGATGCGAGGTCATCCTGGTCGATGTTCTCGAGGGACACCTCCTTGACGGCCACGAAGTCACCGTTCTGCAGGTCCAGCGCCTTGAACACGCGCCCGTTCGCCCCCTTCCCCAGCTCCTCGCCCAGCAGCTGCTCGCACACGCACGCAGGCACACACGCACACAGGCACACACACATGCAGGCACAAACCCACACACCCGCATGAACATGCACACGCACACGGACATGTGCGCGAACACCGTACGTGAAAAGGACGGCAAATGTTATCACGGTAGGTTAAAAAAAAAAAAGCAGGCGAAAATGGTGGCGATTACGCAAACCAAATAAGAGGTCGATAACATGTGAATTGAAGACTTGCTCTGCAGTACCATGCATGATGTAGCCCTTCAACAACAGAGAATAAAAATATTACTCTGCAAGCGAAGTAGGATAAGCTAGGAGCAGGTAACCCCACTCACGTATTTTTCGTTCAAGATTTTTGTGCGCGGAGCCCGCATTGGCGACGGTTGGCGAGACATCGTGCTTAAACAAGAACGAGGCGGGATACGACGCGAAGTGGATACGACGCGAAGCGGGATAAAGCGTAGGTCCTTAAAAGTCCAACTTTTCGGTCAACGCAGACAGCTAGCTCGACTATTGTTTGTGACGTATAGGTATCCCAAAAGCTTTTAACTAGTCGCGGTCAGTCGCGTCAATCGCAATCAGTCGCACGGAGCAGCCCAATTCAATGTGATAACTGCCTCACGATGCTAACAAGTGACCGATACCGCTCTCTTCATGCACGCAGCACCCTAATTCACAAACAGTTGCGTTTGTAATCGCGAGGCGTAAATGTGTAACCGTCACCTAGGGTATCTCCTCCGCTGCATTCGGCTGCTAACCGTGTCACAGAATAACCAATCCAGAGAAAGCTCAAGCACGTAGCCAAAGCACAGGCACTGATGGCAAATAAACAAGTCGACAACTCTCCGGATAGCCCGGGTTGAACTGACTTGTCTTTGAGTCGACTAAAAGTCTACTTCCAGGGTGCCAGGGAGTCTACTTGGGTCTTAGGAATGCCAGGGTGGTCGTCCATTCTAACCTAAAGCTTGAGCTCGCGGATGCTGCCTCGGCATTGGAGAATTCGTCGAGAGCCATATCATAAAAATATAAGAAAGCAAGCATCCATTCACCGCTCAATGCACCAACAGCATCGCACCGAACATCGTTTCTAAGGCTCCATGAACCAGCAGCACCGCATGACCCAGCCGGGCCTATTCTCAGCGCATTTCAATCTGCCTCGACTAAGCCTGGAGGACGGTACCGTTGCGAGCTACCCGCTAAGATAAATGATAATAGCGAGGAGTGAAGGCGAGCGGGTAGCTAGCAGGGTTGGTAAACAGGCAAGCGGGAAAAAAGAGGGAGAAACGACAGAAAATGGCAAAATAGGAGCATTTGATAGCTTGTGCTTGCGCGGATGTGTGACGACCAGCATGCGGTGTGCGAATGTGCAGTTGTGTTGCGTTGCGATGAAAGCGAACAGATGCAGTTGCGGGCGACCTGTTTCAGGTGTCCGTGCGTGTGACTTGCGTGTGCGACGCATGTTAGCCACCCTGAGCATGGCAAATTTGACATGACAGCTTTCAATGGAGGGCAATTTCGAAGAAAACTGAAAACGTTCATGTATACATCTGCAACCCCTACCTGCAAGTCGTGTCTGAATTGAGTGGACAGATTTCATCCTTTATATGCTTCTTTCTTGCACGAAACGTGAGAGTTCAAATAATTCTACCATTGCACAACACCGGAGGCAGACCAGCGCCAGCAGCAACGAGACCCATCATTTGATAGCATGTGATACATGGTGGAAGACCTTGCTAAGACACAGGGAGGCTGAGCGGCCCTAAAGAGCATCACAGCTGTCAAACTAGAGGTAAAGGCTGGGATCTGGAGAGAGAAGGTATTTGTTGCTCAGTCGAACAAGCTGAAGCCCATGTCGTCATCGCTCTCCTCCTTCTCCTCCTGTTGCATTCAAAAGACGTTTAGGGTGGATAGGTGTGGCAGAAGAGGAGCAGACATAATTAGCACAAAACACCAGACCAGCAATGATTGTGAAGCCAACACGACTGAATACTATTCTAACGCGAGCTATCCACGAACCTTTCGAGGGCATCAAAACAACAATAACTCATATTTAAATGCTCACCTCCTTCTTCTCTTCCTTCTTCTCCTCAGCTGCTGGTGCGGCAGCACCGCCCGCAGCAGCAGGAGCGGCAACGGCACCGCCGCCACCTGAACAAGGGAGAAAGATAAGGACGATGAGAAATCATTACCCCAGCTGAACACAGGGTAACGGAACAGTGGATATAAAATTCCCAGCTTTCTGTCCCCCCGGAACAAACGTAATATACGAAAGCGTTCGGTTTGCTAACAACTCTTCGCCTCCTCCCTGCCAGCATGTTCCAAACACCCTCCAGAAGCTATCCAAAACTCCTCAGTTCTCAGCTACGGCAGCAGATGCTTCTGAGCTGTACAGTTCTAATATCTTTAGGGGAGGGGGGGATTTTAAGTGCAATTGATTAAGGTCATTCAATTGCAGATTCAGCGCCGTCAGCAACTACAGATACCTGACGCATCATGCCACGGCCTACTTTGCAAGCTACGAACCGCCTGATACGATCACACCGCTATGGCCAAACTGCACCGTACCGCATGTGACCAGACTGCACCGTACCTGATCCGATGTTTGAGACGAGGTCCTCCACGCTACGCTTCTCGAGCAGCTTGGCGAAGAGCGTGGGCCAGTACGCCTCCACGTCCACATTCGCGGCCTTCACCAACGTCGAAATCTTGTCGGCCTGCCATGTGGGAACGAGGAAAACGGGATCGGCATTTCAGTAACGACATGAACAGAGGGCTAGTCAAACACAAATCCCCCCCAATGGAAGGACCAAACCCCTCGGTCCAATCACTCCAGCCCTGACTACTACCAGATTCGCCCTTGACTTAGTGAGCAAACATCGTACCGTCAGACCGAGGAGCTAAGAATCCGGCAGTTGTTGAAGACCTTAACGACTATCATTAGGGTTAACTTAATGGACAGACCTGTCCCGCCAATAACTGCAGGGTTCGTCCACGATCATTAATGCGCGAAGAACTCTACAATACTCGCAGTGACTGATTTTACGCATCGTCGAACTAAGCAACCGTCAGAAGTAGCACAGCTAGCAGCAGTGGCAGATCCTCAAGCTGCAAACACAACATGACACCCTTCTGATCAACTTCGTTTATCGACAAAATTGCGTTCCTCGCCTGTGAACTACGAAAATGCACGCGCGAATTGATTCAACTTGGAGATTGTTCCAAAGCGTCGCATGAGGGGAACCTGGTAAGAAGGGCAGCGTCGGCACGAAAGAATTTGTGCGGCAAAAATCAAAAGTGCTCACCGTGATGGGAATGCCATCATCGTGAAGGATAAGGGCAGCGTATGTGCAGGCGAGCTCGCTGGCCATGGCTGCGGATTAGGATACTAAGGCACGCGAGATTAGGGCTAGTTGGGTCGCGGGAATAAGGCGAGCGAAAAGAGGGAGGGAGAGGTGGCAGGTCTGGGACAAAGAGGGAAGGAAGAGGGGGAACGGGAGGAAGGGGAGGGCAAACAGTAATGTCGCAAAATGTTGATAATTATTCAGTAGCTACACTGCGTAGGAAATCCAAATTACATGCGTGGTAAGCCACCATTACTACTCGTTATTGAGGAATTCGATGGGAGAAACGTTATGTGGTCGAAGTCGATATTCTGTTTTACCGCTATATGTGTCACACTTTACGAGCATCTTTGCCATGTCAGCAGCATGTGACAGTCCCGCGCCAAAAAGGTATCGGAGCCTTACACGTGGATTCGTTTCAGGCCTTCACAACCCGCATTCCAGGAAGAGACTCTCCACAACCAGAATGTTTTGGCGGCGCGTTGTCAGCGGCCCTTGAGGGGCAGCCAGCTGCCCGAACCCACTCGGCAGGCCCGAAACCACCACAAGTCAACTTCCAGGACGCACGCTATTGGTGGATCCATCATACAGATTTGGTGAAACAACTCCCAATGCACAGCTTGACCAGCTCCAGAGTGTTTGTTCGACCCACATTTCTGGAGTCTCAACACAACCACCCTCTCACCCACAGCTGTATGCAGGTGAAGCTTTCTCTTCTCACTCTTGCTTGGAAAAAAAAGCTACCAGCAAGCAACATTCTGTTTAGATAGGCTCAGCAGACTACTTTTTCTCTCCCTTTCTCCGATCTCTCGATCTTGGATCTCTGATCTCGGATCAATACCTTTTGTGAGTTGAAGTCGCTTCCGCCTCCGCAACAAGTCCTAGCCCTTGAAGTCTGCATACTGCAAAGGTGTCATCCGAGAGCTGTTTCGTCACTCTAGTTCATAGGCAAGTTCGTTTCGTGTGTTGAAAAAGAGAGAAGCCAGCATGGCGCCGTCTGACGCCAAGAAGGAGAGAGCTGCAGCGAAGAAGGCCGCTGCGGCCGCGAAGAAAGCCGCCAAGAACAAATCGCCTTCTGTCAGTGCGAGCAACTCGGAGAAGGATCTTAAGTCCCTCGACGATCACGACAGAAGTTGCACCGGAGTTCTCGCCTCGCACGCTCTCTCACGAGATATACATGTGAGTGGTAACCCGTCTACTTCCTTTCCCTAAATTGTTTTCTGCTCTTCGTCTTTTCTATGTAAAACGTGTGTACGCACGTAGTCGTTCTTGCCTTACCCTTGTTGAATCCTGTCTGAACAGGTCATTGGATTCTCTCTCAACTTCCACGGGCACGAGCTTGTCTCAGACACAACTCTCGAGCTCAATTATGGAAGGTAAGCTGCCCGCCACATATCGTCCTCTTCCATCCACATCCCCGCGACCCGTCAAATTCGACATATCCCCGTCATAGTTCACCAAACAGCCACTTTTTTGTCACGTACAGCCTCTTCTTCACTTCTAAGTTCTTCTCTCGCGTTTCATGGCGTTTTCCTCTCTGGCGCACAGACGTTACGGTCTGCTGGGGCTGAACGGGTGCGGCAAGTCGACGCTGCTGAAGGCGATCGGGAACCGCGAGGTGCCGGTGCAGGATCACATGGACATCTACTTCCTGTCGCACGAGATCGAGGCCACCGACATGTCCGCGCTGCAGGCCGTCATCTGCGTCGACGAGGAGCGCCTCAAGCTCGAGAAGGAGGCAGAGGAACTCGCGGAAGTTGTAAGTGGATGTTAAGGGGAGGTGAATAATTGTTACCTGGTAACCCGTGAGGCCGTCATCTGCGTCGACGAGGAGCGCCTCAAACTCGAGAAGGAGGCGGAGGAGCTCGCGGAAGTTGTAAGTGGTTTGTTTGTGATTCTCGAACGTCAATTTCGTTCGTTTTCCCTTCCTTCGTCGCATCGCCCCTGTCCGTTGGATGATGTGCGTTTTTGTGGTTGCGGTCACCGCATCTCATCTGCGACCGGCTGGACGCGAAGGACTCGGTTTGGGTCTCGATAATGATCAAGGTTCAAACTCGCACGCCGTTTTAACTTCCTCTTCATCCTCACTTGCTTTCCCCCCGCTTCCTCCCTTTACAGGAGGGCGCGGCGGATCAGCTGGAGCGCATCTACGAGCGGCTGGACGCCATGGACTCGGCGACGGCGGAGGTGCGCGCGGCGCAGATCCTGCACGGGCTGGGCTTCACGAAGCAGATGCAGCAAAAGAAGACGCGCGACTTCTCCGGTGGCTGGCGCATGCGCATCGCGCTCGCGCGCGCGCTGTTCATGCAGCCCACCGTGCTGCTGCTGGATGAACCCACCAACCATCTAGGTGCGTACAGGCAGGCTGACGAACCAGGTAGGTGCGAGATTTGAGACTTCTCAGAATCGAGTATTGAAACTGAGACCGTCTCACTACTGGCGCGCGCGCTGTTCATGCAGCCCACCGTGCTGCTGCTGGACGAACCCACCAACCATCTAGGTGCGTACGGCCGGCTGACGAACCATGTAGGTACGTACGGCGGGTTAACGAACCGACTTGCTTCGTAAGACAGGCTGACGAACCATCTTGGTGTGGAAACCATGGCAAGTAGTGCAAGATGACGGACTGGCGAACCGACTACGTACGGAAGCCGTGGCGATTGTTTGATACAGCCGGAAAACAAACCATCTGGGTGTCGAAAACCATCTGGGTGTCGAAAACCATCTGGGTGTCGAAAACCATCTGGGTGTCGAAAACCATCTGGGTGTCGAAAACCATATGGGTGTCGAAAACCATCTGGGTGTCGAAAACCATCTGGGTGTCGAAAACCATCTGGGTGTCGAAAACCATCTGGGTGTCGAAAACCATCTGGGTGTCGAAAACCATCTGGGTGTCGAAAACCATCTGGGTGTCGAAAACATGTCAACCATGTAAGTACGGAGAGCGTGCCGACAATGTAGATGCGAGGTACAGAAAGTGTACTTAGGGAGGAGGCCCGGTGAGTATGGTTGCTGTGCTGATTAATCTCTCAAGTCCCACCCAGCACACCTTATCACGTGAGAGAGCCCTCACCACACGTGAGTTCGCACGTCCCCCGAAACCCCCCCCCCAAACCCCTCTCTGGATCGCTTTGTTCATGCATTGTTGATGAACAAATCCGGGCATGAACAAAGCGAGCCTTGTTCCTACTTCGTGATACTCATCCCACTACGCTCTCTCCTCCGTTCACATCACCCACACGCAGACCTGGAGGCGTGCGTGTGGCTGGAGGACACGCTGAAGAAGTTTGACCGCATTTTGGTGGTGGTGTCGCACTCACAGGACTTCCTCAACGGCGTCTGCACCAACATCATCCACATGCAGAACAAGAAGCTGAAATTCTACACGGGGAACTACGACCAGTACGTGCAGACGAGGAAAGAGCAGGAGGAGAATCAGATGAAGCAGTGGAAGTGGGAGCAGGAGCAGATTGCGAATATGAAGGAGTATATCGCCAGGTTCGGGCACGGCTCGGCGAAGCTGGCTCGGCAGGCGCAGAGCAAGGAGAAAACCCTAGCGAAGATGGAGAGGGGGGGTTTGACGGAGAAGGTTCAGAGAGATAACGTGCTGACTTTCCGGTTTACGGATGTTGGAAAGCTGCCGCCCCCGGTGCTGCAGTTTTCGGAGGTGTCGTTTGCGTACGATCCGGAGCATGTGATTTATGAGAAGGTGGATTTTGGGGTGGATTTGGACTCGCGGATTGCGCTGGTGGGGCCGAATGGTGCAGGAAAATCGACGCTGCTGAAGCTGATGACAGGCGATTTGCAGCCCACGGAGGGTGCGGTGAAGCGGCATAACCACCTGCGGATTGGACAGTACCACCAGGTGGGTGGGTGCGGATGGGTGTGGATGGGTTTCTGTGTGTGGGTGTGGGTGTGGGTGTGGGTGTGGGTGTGGGTGTGGGTGTGGGTGTGGGTGTGGGTGTGGGTGTGGGTGTGGGTGTGGATGGGTGTGAGTGTGGGAGAGTGTTGCAAAACACAGTTGACGTTTCCCCACGCCACCTATGCAACATCACTGGAACACAGTGTTGGATTGGTTGATGAGATTCGAGATGGCAGTATCAGCACCTGTGGATTACCGGGCACACTTCACACCCACACACCCACACCTCACCCCCACACTTATACACATATCCACACTTACACAGACATTCTCATTAACACACACATACGCACACACATACACCTACTCTTTCACACACACACACACACACACACATATACACACACATACACACACACACATCCTCCCACTTATACGCAAACCTGCACATTCACACGCACTCATCCACACACTCTCACACGCCCCGCTCTTTCAGAATCACCATGTGTTTCACCCACCACCACACCTTCCTGGCCCCTTCCCGTTCCTGCTCCTCCTGCTGCATCTGCATTAGTAACCTCACTTATGTTTATCAAGTATTTGTGCCGCTTATTGCTTTGCTTCCTTTCGCCCTCCCCTACTTCTCACAGCACTTGGGCGAGAAACTAGACCTGGAGAAGAGCGCACTCCAGTGGATGATGTCCGAGTACCCGGGATTGGAGGAGGAAAGAATGCGGGCAGCCATCGGAAGATTCGGGCTGACCGGAAAGTGCCAGATCATGCCTATGAAAAACCTTTCGGACGGGCAGCGGTCGCGGATTCTGTTTGCGTGGCTGGCATACCGGCAGCCGCAGATGCTGCTGCTGGATGAACCCACCAACCATCTGGACATTGAGACTATAGATTCTCTTGCCGAGGCACTGAATGAGTGGGATGGTGGCATGGTGCTTGTGTCTCATGACTTCAGACTTATTAATCAGGTGAGGGCATGGGGATGAGAAACGAGGGCTTAGGATTCCGCATATGAAGAGGGGATGGGGTCGGGTATGTTACATAGGTCAATGAATTCCAGACTTGAATGGGTTCTGACTTGCCTGTTATGTGTCATGTGCGTGTGATGCTGTGTGTGGTGCTGTGTGTGCATGGCGCATGGCAGGTGGCAAAGGAGATCTGGGTGTGTGAGAACCGCACGCTGACGCGGTGGGAGGGCGACATTGGGGCGTTCAAGGAGCACCTACGACGCAAGGCCAACATCGACTGAGTATCCTCGTCCACTTCAGCTGGAAGCTGGGAGGTGGGAGATGGGAGATGGGAAGAGGGAGGTGGGCGGAGGGCTACAGTGGAGTGGGCGCAGAACAACTGGCAGGAGATCAGACCTACACATTTTTTGGAGGGCGGTTTACGGTGCTTGAAGTGTCCTCCTCACCGCGCCTCTGTATGGAAGCACGGTTGGGACCGATGCTATCATCACCATACTGCTCGCAGGCATGGAAGCACATGGCTTCTCAGCAGTGACACCACATCCACAGTCCACTCCCCTCCTTCCCCCCTATGCTGCCGTCCCAGCTTGACCTCTCCTTTCAAAATTTTGTTTCCTGGAACGCATTGCCGTTGCCCTCCTACCTAGCCCTCCATGGAAAGTGCCTCCCTCCTTTTATTATACTGCCATGCTCCCTCTACTGTGGAAATCACTTGCCTACTCATGGGCTAGTTTGACCTGTTATGCAGCCTGGTTAGGATTCGTGGCCGCTGTGCTTTCCAGAGTACTTTTGTAGGCAGTGTGCAAATAAGCAGTAATGTAGGAGCATCATGCTGCCCAGCTACCTGTAAGCGCTTCTGTCATGCGAGATCTTCTTTAGCAGTGCAACATCAGTGTGAGCAAGACCAGAGCTCCCAAGGCTAGAGCAGGATGATGTTCCTTTGCCTCACTAGTCCCTTGAACCCACATGAGACACTTAGATGGGAATAATAAGACACATGAAACTGAAGATGTACCACTGATGTTGCACTGCTAAAGAGGATGATGCGGAGTTGCAGCCACACATACTCGGCATCCAGCATCACCACATGTGACCTATGCTGTGCTGCACCAATCCAATCCATCGGACAGGACACACCAAGGGCCATGCCCTCTCAGGTGCCTCAAATACGGTACCTCCCTGATGCGCAGCAGCCTGTCCAGCCCATGTGCCTTGAAAGTGGGGCACATGTGACGGCAGATGCACCGCTGCCACCAGGAGAGCTGCCTTCCAAGGAGCTTCAAAGGTCGTCTCGATTCACGGCAGCTTTGCCAGCCCAGGTGCCATGGAAATGGTACGGCACATGTGACTGCAGATGCATCACTGCCACCGGGGGTGCAGCCACGTCCCTCGCGTCCAGCACCACCACATGCGACCTGTGCCGTGATGCGTCATACACAAACGCCGCCAGATACCCGTCGTCCTCCTTACTGGCGTCCTCGTTATCAGAGTCACTGTCAGGAATGAAGCTGCACTCGTTGACGTAGCAGCCAGGTGGCGTGACATGAGTGGTCACTTGCTTTGTCTTTAAATCGTACTTCTGAATACAGTTCAAGTAACCATACTCAGCCATCTTCTCCCCTCCCTCCTCCCAACCCTCTCCCTCCCCACCCTCCTCCTCCTCCTCTCCCTCCACTCCCTCCTCTCCCTCCCCGTCCTCCCCCCCCTGCACTCCTGGTCCTCCATACCAGACGCCATCCCCCAAGCCTCCCTGCATCCACCGCTCCTCCCTCTCCCTCTCAGGCATGGACCCAAGCACATACAAGTACCTGCTCTTCCTGCTCGTGTACGCAGGGTTAACAACGGCGAACTCCATGCCTAGCACCGGACCTCGCGTGCCAGGTTCGGAATGCATGGCTCGGCGGCGGGAGAGGAGGTCCCAGGTGTTGGTGTCGAATACAAGCTCCCACACAGAGCACTGGTTACGGCGCTGCCATGATTCTCCATACATGTCCTTGAACACGGCTTCCAGCCCATCGCGAGGGCCGTCCTGGTGAGAAACGAGTAGGGGGAACGGGCGGTTAGAGACTGGTGGTGGGAGAGGAGGTCCCAGGTGTTGGAGTCAAAGACAAACTCCCACCACCACCCTTGTCAAGCTAGTGAACCTGCTGCCCAAGGACTGCTGCCCTGAGGTGCTCTCAGGTGCTCTCAGGTGCTCTGAAAAGCTCTGATACGAAAACGCACGAGTTACCAGCACGGTCAGCAGCACGTGCAGCTTGTCGCCGTCCTCATAGGCGTTGCAGAAGTGGTAGTTGGGGAAGGGCGGCCACACGTCCATGTGCACCTCCACTGCCCTGAGGTGCCCTGAGGTGCCCTGAGGTGCTCTGAGGTGCTCTGAGGTGCTATGAGGTGCTCTGAGGTGCTCTGAGGTGCTCTGAGGTGAAGCAACCCGACTTACCAGAACGGTCAAGAGAACGTGGAGCTTATCACCCTCCTCATAAGCGTTGCAGAAGTGGTAGTTGGAGAAGGGCGGCCGCACGTCCAGCTGCACCTCCACTGACAGGCTGTCCTTGCCCACCACCACCACCCACGTGGGCTTTGACTCGTCGTATGTGAACCTGCTGCCCAGTGACTGCTGCCCTGCTAGCATCTGCACATGACAGGGGACGAGGGGAGGGAGGCGCATGGAAAACTTGAGATGCACGAGTATGGTGGGCTGTTGGTGTGTTGAGATGCACTGAGACTTGTTGAAGGCGATAAAATGCAGCAAGGAGGGCGCACCAGTGGATATTCACCAGTGGATATTCACCAGTGGATATTCTTGAATAATAGGGCTTGCAATGCAAAGAGCACAGCAGGCATGCCTGGGCTGGCTAATTGTATGAAGCAGATCACGAGCAGAAAGAATACCGGTTTAGAGGAGTGGCAGAAATTTTATGGAACAGAGGGCAGGAGAGGGCAGGAGAAAACAGGAGGGAACAGGAGGGAACAGGAGGGAACAGGAGGGAACAGGAGGGAACAGGAGGGAACAGGAGGGAACAGGAGGGAACAGGAGGGAACAGGAGGGGACAGGAGAGAACAGGAGGGAACAGGAGAGGGCGGGAGAGGGCAGGAGGGAACAGGACAGGGCAGGAGCGGGCGGGAGAGAACAAGGGAGTGCACCAGAGCGACATCGGCAGCAGAGGCGGCGTAGGGAGGGATGGTGAAGACGAGGAAGCAAGACGACATGACACAGTCATGCACGAGAGCCACCTCGAGAGGAGCAGGTAACAGGGAAGTGCGCGCTCGTCTCGAGGACGAGGTGTACGAGAAGTCATGGAGCAGCGCAGAGGAGAGCAAAGGGAAAGGAAGGAAAGGGAGGAGCAGAGGGCGCACCGTGCAGTGAGGGTGTTTTTGAGACGTCTCAAAAACACCCTCACTGCACGAGAAGTCATGGAGCAGCGCAGAGGAGAGCAAAGGGAAAGGAAGGAAAGGGAAAGGAAGGAAAGGGAGGAGCAGAGGGCGCACCTGAGCAACGTCCCTGGCAGTTGCGGCGCAGGGAGGGATGGTGAAGATGAGGAAGCGGGACGAGATGGCACAGCCGTGCAGCAGGGGCAAGGGAAGGCAGGAGAGTGCGAGAGAGTGCAAGGGAGCGCACCTGAGCAACGTCCCTGGCAGTTGCGGCGCAGGGAGGGATGGTGAAGATGAGGAAGCGGGACGAGATGGCACAGCCGTGCAGCAGGGGCAAGGGAAGGCAGGAGAGTGCGAGAGAGTGCAAGGGAGCGCACCTGAGCAACGTCCCCAGCAGAGGCGGCGTAGGGAGGGATGGTGAAGATGAGGAAGCGGGAGGAGATGGCACAGCCGTGCAGCAGGGGCAAGGGAAGGCAGGAGAGTGCGAGAGAGTGCAAGGGAGCGCACCTGAGCAACGTCCCCAGCGGAGGCGGCGTAGGGAGGGATGGTGAAGATGAGGAAGCGGGAGGAGATGGCACAGCCGTGCAGCAGGGGCAAGGGAAGGCAGGAGAGTGCGAGAGAGTGCAAGGGAGCGCACCTGAGCAACGTCCCCAGCAGAGGCGGCGTAGGGAGGGATGGTGAAGACGAAGAAGCGCTGTGACATGGCACAGTCATGCACGAGAGCCACCTCTGGCGAGCCCTGTAGCGCGCCCATGCGTGTGTGCTGCCCGTCCGCTGCGATGGCGAATGGCTGCATGCCAAACAGCACACTGCCAAAGTTGTAAAGCTCTGAGGGGGGAAGAGGAAGCGGGGTGGGGGTGGGGGGTGGGGCAGTGGGTGGGTGGTTTGGCTTGGGACAGGTGGGGGTTGGGGTGAGCAGAGAAGAAGACGGCAAATGGCTGCATGCCGAACAGCACACTGCCAAAGTTGTAAAGCTCTGAGGGGGGAAGAGGAAGCGGGGTGGGGGCGGGGGGTGGGGCAGTGGGTGGGTGGTTTGGCAAGGGTCAGGCGGGGGTTGGGATGAGCAGAGAAGAAGAGGGCTGATGGCTGCATGCCGAACAGCAGCACTGCCAAAGTTGTACAGCTCCGGTGGGGAGAGTGGGCAGGGTGGGGCAAGGGGGTGGGGCAAGGGGGTGGGGCAAGGGGGTGGGGCAAGGGGGTGGGGCAAGGGGGTGGGGCAAGGGGTGGGGTGCAGTGGTTTTGCTCGGAGAGGGTGCGGATTGGAATGAGCAGGGTAGAAGGGCAAGTTGGGGAATGAGACTACTCGGATTCGTTACTTATTTTCTTTCTGGTACAGCTCTCATTCCACATCACACTTCCTGCTTGCCTGTTTTCATGCTTGCTTGCTCCTGCTTGCTCGCTTGCCTGCTTGCCACTCACCTCCAGTAGAAGGGTCGAGCTTGGGGTGGGCGGAGAAGAAGGGCAGAGGCAGGTTGGGGAAGGAGTAGGGGCCGAGCGTGCTCAGCGAGAGCGCATCCAGGAGGAATGGCGGGCCGCCCTCGCACAGCGCCAGCAGCTTTCCTGCGAAGTGGATGATGCTGGTTGGGGGAGGTGGGGGAGGTGGAAGGAGAAGAAAAGAGGGGGGAGAGTGTGCAGGGCGAGTGTGCAGGGCGAGTGTGCAGGGCGAGTGTGCAGGGAGAGTGGGTGAAGTGAGGAGGAATGATGCAGGTCCGCCTTGGCACAGAAAGCTGACTGTCTCTCACCATGGGAGGAGGGACATAGCATCATCACACCATCTTGCTAATTCACCATCTAACCATCCCATCATCTCACCATCTTGCTAATTCACCATCTAACCATCCCATCATCACACCATCTTGCTAATTCACCATCTAACCATCCCATCATCACACCATCTTGCTAATTCACCATCTAACCATCCCATCATCTCACCATCTTGCTAATTCACCATCTAACCATCCCATCATCTCATCATCTGGCCATCGCACCTGGTGTTGACGGGGTTAGCAGGCAGCCCAACGTTCAGTTTTGAGTGTTGACGGGGTTAGCTAAACCTTCTCCCTTAAGCTGCTGCTCGCTGGAATGTCTCTTAATTTCATCATCTAGCCATCGCACCTGGTGTTGACGGGGTTAGCAGGCAGCCCAACGTTCTTGAGCTGTCCTCCAGCAGTGGCCTGTGTCCATGCGCCCTTCACCCGTATCCCCGATTCCCCCCCTCCCCCTCCCCTGCTTCCACCTCTGGTCCGCCCCGCTGCTCCAGGGCTGATGTGCGCACCCACTTGCAGACAAACCTTGCCGTACCGGTGGGGCCGTCCAGATGCAGGGCGTAGACCTGGGAAGGAGCGCGAGGGACGAGTAGTTGGGAGAGGAGAGAGCATGGGAAGGACGAGGGGGAAGAGGTGTGAAGGGAATGGGGAGAGGGGAGAGGAGATAGAGAGGAGATGGGAGAGGAGAGAGGGTGGGAGTGAATGCGAGGGTGGGGTTCAACAGTGCTCGCATTTCACCACACTTGCCTTGTCAACCCCACCCCGCCATCACGCATGCTCCCCATGTCTTCCCCACATAGCACACACTCCACACGCTCCACACACTCCACACACTCCACACACCCACCATGCCATTGCCATCTTACCAGTAACCGAACTTTTGAGTCGACTCAAAAGTCACCTCCCTGCGTCATCCCCGCATCGCACGCACGCTACACACCCACCATGCCATCGCCGTCCAACCAGTGCCCAAACGAAACTTGCTCCCGCCCACGCGAATCCGCCCCGGCCCACAGCGGTACAGAGTGCCCTGCAGCGCCTCTCACAATGCACTGCCTACCCCTCTCTCGCACACTCACAGCACACGCACAGCCCACACGCACAGCCCACACGCACAGCCCACACGCACAGCCCACACGCACAGCCCACACGCACAGCCCACACGCACAGCCAACACGCACAGCCCACACTCACCATGCCATCACCATCGAACCAGTGGCCAAACTTGCTCCCCCCTACTCGAATCCGCCCCGGTCCGCAGCGGTACAGCGTGCCCTGCAGCGCCTCTGGTATCCGCCCGCTCACGTGCGCAGGGTTGGAGGGGGAGAGCGTGTAGTCGTGCTCCCCACACGGCTCCAATCCCCCCCTCCACGCCTGCTGCTCTATGGCCTGGGCGGTGAGAGAGAGAGGAGGGGGGGGGGGGGAGGCGAGGAGGGGAAGGCAGAGGTGGTTTTTGCGTCGAGCCAGGAGAGTAGTCGTGGTCCCCACACGGCTCCAGTCCCCCTCTCCATGGTTGCTGCTCTATGGCCTGGGCGGTGAGAGAGAGAGGGGGGGGGGGGGGGGTGGGGGGGGGGAGAAGAAGGAAGGGAGAGGTGGTTATTGCGTTGAGTCAGGAGAGAAGTTGTGCTGGCCACAGGGCTCCTCCAGTCCCCCCCCTCCACGCCTGCTGCTCTATACCTGGGCGGTGGGAGGGAGAGAGGCTCCAGGAACTACAGCGCAGGAAAATATGGGAATTCTAAAAAATGGGAGAGAGAGAGGCTCCAGGAACTACAGCGACCCAATATAGCTGAGAACCAGGCGGGATTATCACATCAGGGAGATTAATTCGTGGCAAGCTGTAGCTGCAGCCTCATTACCATGAAACCTTGAAACTGCACCAACGCTAGAGATTCTCCATGATACCGGGGCGGTCCCCCGCATGGTTAATGCGCAGCAGCGCACCTGTCGAGCCCATGCGGGGGGTTTCAGCGGGCCAGAGGGCGGCAGCGGAACGCGGATGGGTCGACGGGCGCGCCGCGCGGACGGGGGCTGCGGCGCGGGCTTTATTGCCGCCCTTCCGCTCCGTTTCCCGCCGCCGGTTCGGGTGCCGACGCGACCGCGCGAGGCAGCCACAACGCGAGATTTTGACCGGCTGCGACCGTCTGAACTATTACTTAAAGCCTGCTTTAACGAGAACGGATTGAGGCAGGCTGACCAGCTCAGGCTGACTCCGTTTATTCCGCTAAAAACCTCACCTTGACGTTTCGGGTGAGGGTACGGAACGGAGCACTGAAGACTTGCTTTCACTGAGGTCATCTTTGTTGGCTTCGTAATGCTGTACGAGATTTAAACGGCGCGTACAGCGGAGGGCCGCGAGGCACAAGGCGGAAGATTTACTACCATAAATAGGCGATTGTGGATGGATGGTTGCTAGAATGCTGGGAGGAGACAGTAACTGGTTACATGTGAAGCGGAGCTGGAATGAGAGGAGTTTATTCTGTGAATCCGCGCTTGTGGGAGAATCCCAGGGGCGAACATTGGGAGCTCCGTTTTCCGTTATTGCATTTGAGGAACATATACCGTAGGTGGAGTTGGTTCTGGAACGTCTCCACCTCATAAACAGCAAGCAGCCCACTAATTTCTTGAGAATTATTTTCTCCTTCATCGGTCTAACCAAGAATATCTCAGATCATAATTCAAAGGCACATTACTAACAACAAATTACATTTTGAATATTTATTCTGTCCACCAAAACATCCAAATTCCAACATACCCTTTGCCAATCAGCTGCACGTAGGATTGCCTCATGGTGTAGCGGAGGATGTATCGTTAACGAAGGGCTCTGCGGAGGGTACAGTTTTGGTGAGGTTGGGAGTCGTCCGTGTGTAACCAACAACCTCAATTCGTCGTGATGTCGCTAGTTACCAAGCTAGTTGTTAATTCGTTAGAATGCGTTCTAAACGTTGCATGGCCGGCCGTTGGTGGCGAGAAAGTTACGGGTCTGAACGAGTTTGCAGCTGTCGCTAAAATCCGTTCAGGCATCACGTCCCCCCCACCCTCCAGCCCGTGTACTATTTTAGGTTGCCCGAGCTAAAAGTCGGCAAAGTCCAGCCAGAGCGCAGGAACGAGTGCTTGAGATTCCGCCGCACTAGATGTACAGTAGTCTTCCGACCTGGCGCCGGGAGGCTGGCGCTGACTGCACAAGAACCAAGTCCTCGAATATTTGCGCGATGCTAGCCGTAGCGAAATTCATGAAGTTGGCGGAGTTGGGGAAGGAGACTGGGTGTACATAATTTGGCGTGCGAGAGCCACGTCATCATCGTCGGGGGTGGTGTCACGCAAGTCCTCCGAGTCGCAGTCGAACGGCGGCGAAGCAGCTGGCTGAGATTAACGGTGTGGAACGGTTTCTACAGTGAATAGGGCGGCGGAAAACGCGGGACGGGGAAAGCCAAACGTGCGGCTCAGGGTAAAGGAAAGTCGAGTCAGGCGCGCACATACTATTCGTAGGCAGACTCGAAAAGGTGTGGCTTGGAGAGTGACGACCACGCAATTTCTGCAGACAGGATAGGGAAGAAGTTTGCGGAGTGTAGGGATAGGCCGGGATAGAAGGTGCAGGTTATGTGGCGGTTCGTTCAGTGTGTTCGGCGTTGGAAAGGGAAGAAGTTTGCGATAAATGTTCGCTCAGAGAGCTGCTGCTTCAAACGGAAGGAGCAACGGAATGAAGCCGTTTCAAGCAGAAGCTAGCTGTGAAGTGTTGCCTCCAATATCAGCAGATTTATGACTGACAAGCACACTGGGCTGGCAACGGCAGCACTAGCCGGGCCAAACACTGCACTATGTACCAAGACGGGGTGACTTTTGATTCGACTAAAAAGTCACCTCTGCACTATGTACCAAGACAGCCACTGTTTCCATCATCATAACAGAGTGCCTCCATAACGCCGTGCGAGGCTTACTGACAGATTCGCGGCGCGGCGACCTCCGGTCGATCAATCTAGACTTAGAAGCACCCTCCAGATGCATGCGAGAGAGTAACAGATGGCGAATCAGTCTAGACTTCGCAGCCCAACAAGGCCAATCATGGATACGCACCGTCACCGTCACGGTGACGCCACAAACCTCTGGGGAAGAACCGCCAGCTCGCGGCATGCCAGGAGTGCGACGATGCTGTCCGACATGAGCCGTATCGATGAGATTGCAGAGGTCGAAAGCAGTCCCGTGAAAGTCACTGACAGTGTCCCCACGCCCGAGCGTCTTCTGCCTAGGCTGCAGCGCTGCTCACCCGCTCAAGAAGACCAGTTCAAAGGCTTCCACTGGCGGCGACTGCGTTTCTTGCATCATAGTAGCGGCAGGCTGCGTCGGCGGTTTTCTTGCCCAGACAATCTCGCGGCCCTTACCAATGAGCATCACCCGATGAGTCATGATAACGGAGACGGCGTTTACTCGAGTGAAGATGGGTTTTCCAAGAAGTCGACGTTCGAACATCTCGCGGATCATGGGCCGTCAACCAATGGTTTCGAGAACCGGCCTGCTTCCTCGGGTGGCACTCGCCGCCGTCGAAGCTGGTTATTCTCTCCCGCCCGAGGGGAGCGAGGGTGCTCGCCGTCACATTCTGTCTGGCCGCCCTCTTGCCCATCGAAGTTCTGCGCTCATCATCACACGCCAAAGCCTGAACCAAGTCAGGCGCTCAGAAAACCGTGCGACTCCTGGAGCAATAGCAGCAAAAGCTCTCCGTCCGTCTCGCCGCAGAACTTCGTCGTTTTTGCTGACAACGTGATGCCGCGGAAGCTTGATCTGAACCATCCCAACCGTCCGTCGTCTCCACTCTGCAAGCCGTCCTCGTACCTGTCAGGGACGGTTCCTCCCAATCCCTGGAGCTTGCCTGATGTCAGCCTTAACGGTGCGGACGTTTCACTTCTGCACTTGTTCCTGGCCAGCTTCCTTGGATGCATTGCTATTTTTCCGCCGAAGCACCTCATGGTGCTACCAGTCATGTGGAGATTCTTTGTGGGAGCGAGCCTCATCGTAGTGAGCTTGGCTTCTTCATTCTTGATTCACTCCAATGGGCAGCCAATAGATAAAGTTGGCAACACGGCTGAGAAAAAAAATCCACCACAGGTACCCCGCTTTCTGAACAAAAGCAAGGCTACTGAAGCCAACGAGATTCAAGCGTCTTCCAAAAATAATGTGGATGCTTTTGGAAAAGGGAGGCTGGAGTCTTGCAAAGGTCTGGATCTGTTTGCAATGCCTGTTTTTCTGGCGGTGATCGGGGTTTCCTTAACGGCCAACAGCGACCCAAGTCGAGTGGCCCTGATTCTCCTCCTGGGTGTCCTGCTAGTGAAAGGTGGGGTGCTATTCTTGACAGCTATAGCGGCTTTTAGCACAAGGAAGATAGGCACCAAGCCAGCCTGGTGGCTGTGGGTAGCAAAGATTTTAAAGTCTAGGGAAGAGTGGGAGAAGCTGAAGACACATTATTGATTGATGAAGTCAGCTCACTGGGTGCTCGGCTTCATCATGTGGAGAGAGTGGGGAGCTAGAAGCAAAATGTGTCGTAGTTTGCACTGAGATTTCCAGAAAGACTGGACGGAGTGCACTTGTTGAGCAAGCCTGCATTGCTAAAATGGAACCATCCAAAATATATGACCTCTGTCCGCTAACTCAGTTTAGTATTGTGCGGTACGGGTGATTGCTTCGTGGTGTAGCTTGGGAGATTGTCGATAAGGACGCCTTCTGCGGAGGAAAAGCTTTTCGCAGAACGAGTGCTGTGAGTGCGTCAGCATATATTCATCCCTTCTTCGTCGACGCTTCCCCCTAAACAGTTTCACATCTCGATGTCGTTTTGGACACGTGGGTTTCGATTGCCATTTGCTGAAAAGGAGCTTTCTTTTCGCTTAGGCATGCTCAACCAGTCACATTCGGTTACTATCGTCGCACAGCACACCCAACTTTTATCGCCAGGAACTGTCGTGCTCAATTGAGATTGGCGGGCGAACGTGCTAACCAGAAGATAAGCAGCTGCTGGGATAGTTCGGCAATGTGGCTGTGACGATATCCCTGAACTCGAGGGAGTCGGGGAAGGAGCACAGTCACGTCATCATTGGGAAGAGTGGTTCCAACTAAAGTCGTCCGAGTCGCAATCGAACGGCAGCGAAGCAGCTGGTTGAGATCACCGATGCGGAAAGATTCTTGGTGAATAGAGCTCGCGGGAGATGGAAAGGGGGGTGGGGATAGCTAGCCAACGCGCAGACTGGCTGGCGGTGTTCCGGACCTGACGTAAATTTGGGGGTAAGGTAACGCCAGTCAGGCGCGCAAATATCCGCAGCAGACGTGAGAAGTGTGGCTTGGGGAGTGAGGCGACCACGCAATCTCCACTGACAGGGCAGGTCAGGAAGAGGGGGGTCAGGGCCGCAGAACACGCTGGTTTGGTTCGGTGGGTTCGGCGCTTTGTTGGGAGAGATTTGGAAAATGGGGTTCACGCAGGGGGATGGAGATGCCAAGCTAAAAGCAAGCAACAGAACATCACTCTTCCGAACAAAACGCTAGCTGTGAAGCGAAGTCTCCTATCTCAGCAGATTTTCCACTAACAAGCACACTGACTGTGGCTAGGGCAGTAGATTCCTGGGCCAACACTAGACTACCAAGTCGGCCACTATTTCCATAGTTTCCGTCGGATATTTTGCTCCGGTGCATCGATATCTCTGCAACGGCCTGTGAAGCTTGCTGATTGCGTACGCTTACTATTTGAAAGCATTAAGAGTTTCGCGGCGGTCTCTAATCCTCATTCTAACCTTGCAACGTTTACCGGGTGTATGAGAAAGAGATGTCAAGTCCAACGAGGCCAGTGGAGACGCACGCCGCATCCTTTTGGCGAAGAATCAGCTCGCGGAAAGCCAGAAGTGCGACGATGGTGTCCGACGTGAGGCGTGAAAGGGAGACTGCAGAGGTCGAAAGCCATTTCGGGAAATCCAATGAGTGTCAGCTGCCTAGGCTGCAGCCGTGCTCGCCCGTTCAAGAAGATCATTCCAAAGGCTTCCACTGGCGACGACTGCATTTCTTGCATCATAGCGGCAGCCCGCGTCGGAGACTTTCTTGTCCAGACGATCTCGCAGCCCTCAATGAGCATCCTGGCGAAGACGACGTTTACTCGACGGAGAATGATTATTCGGTAAAATCAACGTCCGAAATTCTGGCGGATGGGACTACCGATGGATTCGAGAACCGGCCTGTTCCCTCCACTCGCCGCCGTCGGAAGCGGTCATGTCGAAGCTGGTTCCTCCCTCGCGCGCGATCTTTAACTGACCCCACGTCGCCAGGGGAGAGAGCGTGTCAATCGTCCCTTTCCGCGTGGCCGCCTTCTTGCCCATCGAAGTTCTGCTCTCGTCATCACACGCGACAGTCTGAACCAAGTCAAGCGCCCAGCAGAAGTCCGTGCGGCTCCTGGAGCACTAGCAGCAAGAGCTCTCCGTCCGTCTCGCCGCAGAACAGCGTCGTGTTTGCTGATAACGTGACGCCGCGGAAGCTTGATCTATGCCATCCCAACTGTCCGTCATCTCCACTCTGCAAGCCATCCTCAAACCCGTCTGCAACGGTTCCTCCCAACTCAGAGACCATTGGCGTTAAAAGGAGTTCGTCTGATTTCAGTCTTAACGGAGTTGACGTTTCACTACTGCACTTGCTGCTGGCCAGCTTCCTTGGATGCATTGCTATTTTCCCGCCGAAGCACCTCATGGTGCTACCTGTCATATGGAGGAGCTTCATTGGAGCGAGCCTCATCGTAGTGAGCTTGGCTTCTTTATTGTTGCTCCTCTCGAAGGGGCAAGCAGCAGGAGCTGCTGACAACACGGGCGAAAGAAAGAGCTCACCACAAAAGCCATGTTTCGTGGACGGGAGCAAGGCCATAGCAGTCAAAGAGATCCAGCCTGCTTCCACAAATGGAGTGGTGGTTTTTGGACTAAGCATGCTGGAATTCTGTGAAGGTCTGGATCTGTTTGCGGTGCCTGTTCTCCTGGCGGTGTTCGGAGTTTCTGTAATGGCCAACAGCGACCCAAGTCGAGTGGCCCTGATTCTCCTCCTATTAGGAATGCTAGTGAAAGCTGGAGGGTTGCTTTTCAAAAGTGTAGCAGCTTTCAGCACAAAGAAGATAGGAACTAAGCCAGCCTGGTGGCTGTGGGTAGCAAAATTTATAAAAGCCAGAGAAGAGTGGGATGTATAGTCATGGTATTTCCTCTGTATAGTTATCTCTCCATTTCTGGAGCTTATTTTGTGCTGTTGTGTTTAGACTGAGAACCGTTGAAAAGTAGCACAAGCTACAAGTTAAAGTTGATGAGACAAGGGGTACAATGGGAAAAACTACAAGTAGTTTAAGCTACAAAAGGTTTTGGTGATGAGACTGTAGTAGCAAAATAGCCAGGTGGCTGTAAGACAATCTGCTGTGCAACATAGATACCCAAGATCTCAAGTACCGGTACACTGAAAAAACTGAACAAGATTGATCAAATGCTGTGTCCACCTAGGGTATTGCAACCAACAGCAGCGTTTCCTGCACTATTACACACCCACAACGGAACTGGTGTGATGTCCCTTCTGTGAGAAACAGAGATAAACTTCTTCCTGGCTTACTGAGAGGCCTTCAAGGTCAACTTACTGAGGCACTAGTTAAAATGCGGAGCGAGGAATTCCTTCTGATACTGGACCCACACGGAAGTGAATATCTGAAGAGTTGGCTTCTCTGCTTTCAATGGAGTCGACGGACAGCCACAACATCAACCTTCTCACGTGAACTCCCTGCACGAAATAGGGTGTCAAACGTCAAAAAGTTACGACGGATTCGCAAGCAAAAATACAAAGGGTATCTTGCCTTGAGGTTTGTGATTTTTCCGCGACAGATGGTTCCTCGAACTTCAGAAGAATAGCGGACAAGGTTTCCGTGAATATTTCTTTCCACGCTGTGACTAAGTTTCACTTGAAAGGGCCCAGTCCTCGTGTCCGTGCTCTGCACAACCTCTTGAAGTGGCAAAAGCCCAGGAGGGAGTCCGTTTTCCTGCAAGAACAGCTCAAAGCTGCATCATTTACACTTATTACGCATAGAATGAGTGATGTTCATGTTTCCGACCTGAAGTGCCTGAGACGCTAGGGTTGCAGCGAGCTCAGAGGCCATACCAAACCCAGCAACGCCTGACATTGCAGCTCCGCAATCCACTATGTCGTCGATAACAATAGGCAAGATCACCTGATATGAAGCACCAACATCTTCATGGAATAAATGCCGGCATTTGATCCCCTCGAGCTCTGTCGAGACGTCGCTTTCAGGGACATCACACGGAAGATCACGAAGAACATATTCGGCACAGGAGCGAGAAATGCTGGACATGACAGCTCTCGAGAATGCCGATTTGTAACAAGAGTGGTAAGAGGTCTGCTTCTTTTGACCCCTGGCATGCGTCAAATTCCGTCCGAGGCGCAATTTCACCTGTTTGGAGGGGCGTGAAATTACAAGGACGCGACCCAGCTGTTGTGGATTGAGATTGTACAGTGGTTGTAATATAAATGTTTTCTGTTCTGGCCTTTCATCGCAATTGCTATACTGTTTGTATCGCGGACATGAAGCATCTACAACAAAATTCCAGTGTCACTCCCTCGTGAATGCCTCCTTGATCTATCATACCAACTACAGACAGCAGGAAACAGATCCAACACTCAGGTTCAACTCAGTATTGTCACGCTTTCCTATAATGGCTTCTTAGCAACCATGGTCATGGGTATACGGTGCGCGTGGACAGCCATTTTTGCCTTGCTGGCAGTCAAGGCAGGAGCTTCAAACTCCCAGTTTCCCGATGGCGACTCTTGGAGAAATTCCGCTACTACCGACCATTCCGTCATACGCCTAGTTCACGCAGAAGGTGTCAATTCGGATCGACGACGCCTTTCTTCTAACCCTCCGCAGGATCACGAGCGCTTCGAGCATACATCCCTGAATGCCACTAAGAACTGCACCGGCTGTACCAATGGAGACACGTCAGATACACGTATGTGCGCGTCCGTGCATCTTTTGCCGAGAAACACCACGTCAGCAGCTAGATGCGAGTATGTCCGACAGTACTGTACATCAGCAGGCTCCAAGTCCTTAGTTAATTACATCGAACTTCACTATTGTATCCTCGGTGCGCGCTCCTGGATCTCACTCCCGCTACTCCTCCTAGGGTTACTTTCGGCTCTTTTTCTACTCGCTGACACAGCTGACCGTTTTTTCTGCCCGACTGTGGAGACAATGTCCGCCATGCTCGGCCTCTCGCCCAGCACAGCTGGTGTGACGCTATTGGCGCTGGGTAACGGAGCGCCTGACGTGTTCTCGTCTCTAGCGGCGATCGTTGGGGGAAACCCAAAAGTGGGACTGGGAGCTGTTGTCAGGTGCGTCTGTGCATTGTGTTAAAGCAAAAAAGTACCGTTTAGCTAATGGAGGATCACCTGGAGTGGTTTTTGGGGGGGGGGGAGAGTAAGCTAGAATCGGCTGATTGGGGACAAGGCGGCATTGGATGAGATAACGATAGCATCAGCATGGGTTGAGTACGAGTAGAGATTGGAGTGATATTGTGGAACGAACTGGAGAGCAGGTAGTGGGTGTTTTTTTTTCTGAATTCAAGTTGCAGCATGTACAAGTGCACCTGACCATTCACTTGTTCCCAATCATCCCCATTTCCAGTGCAGGCGCATTTGTGACGTGTTTCGTGGTGGGCTGCGTGGCAGTCGCGGCTGCGCCCTTCCCTGTGCGGCCGTGTCCCTTCCTGCGTGACTCGTGCCTCTTCGCAACAGCCGTGCTGCTGCTGCTCCTCATATATCTCTCAGGCCACGTGTACCTCTGGCAAGCAGCCGGCCTCGTAGCCTTCTATGTCTGCTTCGTGGTCGTGGCTATTGTGTCGAACGCATGGGAACCGACAGATGCGCCCCATCCACATGCCCATGGTCATGGTCATGGTCATGCCCGTTCGCCTACGGAGGATCAGAAATCCGCTGCCATCACACATGACATCCCTGTGACGCGATACAAGAGTCATGTGGTGCAACAGCCGGGAGATGACACGGATGAGGAGACCCCTCATCAGCATGAGCATCATCATCACCAGCAGCAGGCGCAGCAGCAGCAGCCATTGCTGTCATTGTTCCGATCCTCGTCCCCTCTTGCTCACCACCACCATGGCATTCGCAAGCCACCTCAGCATGCCCTTGTGCATGTCTCTCGCCTCTGGCGTCTCGCGCTCTGGGCACTCACCACTTGGCCTGAGAAGGTATTTACCTCAACGGTCAAGCAAATCATTCTCTCGTGGTTTCCCTCATCAGAACTCATATCCTTAGCTCTCGACTGTCATTCTCCTCACCACTCCCTTTCCCCTACCCTAAAACCACCTGCCTCTCTCTCCTGTACCCCCTCCCTTTCCCCATTCCTCTTTCAGATGAATTCTCTCCTTCCCCTGTCCTTTCCCTCCCCACGCCCGCCCCTCGATCCCCTTTTTCCTTTTCCTCTCCCGCTGCGCACATGCCTGCACGTGGTCTTTCACCCACTGCGCCTGGCCAGCATTCCATGCATCGACCCGTCTACATGGGCCTGCTGGCATGTCATGAGGCAATTCTTGGAGCATCCCCGCCCCCCACTCCCTCCGCCCCCGCGCCTCTCCCTTCCCGCTTTCTTTCCTCCCCCCCTCCATCTGCGCTCGTGCCTGCACATCATCTTTGACCCGCTGCGCCTGGCCAGGCCACCATCCCATCCATCAACCCCTCCACATGGGACATCAGCTACGCCACCGCCAACGTTGCCCTCTGCCCTCTCATCGCCCTCTCCTCTTGTTCTCCCCCACTCTCCTGCAGCTGAGGGCGTTCCTACACGTCGCCTTTGACCCACTGCGCCTGGCCACCATCCCATCCATTGACCCCTCCGCATGGGACATTCGGTACGCCACTGCCAACGTCGCCCTCTGCCCTCTCATCGCCATCCACACCATCCCGCCCCTCGCCTCTCCTCCACCTCCCTCTCCTTTGATTCCTCCTCCACATCCCCCGCCTCCTCCCTCTCTCCTCCTCCTCCACCCTCTCCACCTCCTCTCTCGCTGTCCGATCATTTGTGCTCATTCAAAGCTCCCTCTGTGCGGCAGCCTATCTCCTCGCCACCCGGGCCTCAAGCCCAATTGGTGCCCCTCGTTCTCTCATAGTCCCGGTTTCCTTCGCCATGTCTGTCTTTTGGATAGCTCTAACAGCGTCTGAGCTTCTAGGCCTGCTCTCCGCCCTTGGGATTATCCTGCACGTGTCGCCGTCCATCCTTGGGATTACCGTGCTCGCCTGGGGGAACTCTGTGGGCGATCTTGTAGCAGATGTGACTATAGCAAAGGCTGGGCACCCCACGATGGCGATTGCAGGGTGCTTTGCGGGCCCGATGTTCAACCTAATGGTCGGGGTTGGGTCGGCGTTGTCTGTCCGTAGCTGGGACTTGTACCCTGAGCCGTTGGTGTTGTACCACCATCCTAATGTGCTGCTGGCTCTGTGTTTTCTGCTGGGAGGGGTGCTTTCGTCGATTGCATTTGTGGCGTGGTCCGGGTTTAGGGTAACCAGAACGTGGGGTGTCTGCCTGATCTGCATGTACTTGACGTTTGTGGTTGCTGCTGTCACGATAGAATCGTCGATGCACTGAGCTAAACGTATAATCACCTTATCCTAAACACCACTCCGATGGACCGGGCGCACGATAGGGCTACCAAAAGTACAGGCAATAACAGTCATAGACAGCTTTGGTGCAGTGCAAGCTTCTATATTAGCACCTACCGGTCAGTCACCCACCAGGCCATCCTACCCCACCCTGCTGCCGTTCCTACGATCTCCACTACCCCAGGCAACCACAGGTTAACTATGACACCCATAGTGCACCACCAAGGCATGCACAGCCGATTTTCAAACCTACTGACAGCAGGAGCATGCTGGTAGAGGACTCAGACCATGATGACAAGCGTCCTTCATCCAGCAGCTTGCACTCATGCCCATCCTCCTCCTCGCCCTCCCCATCAACATCTTTAAGCCTCGTGCTGTCTCATCACACTACCCTTTGGGCGAGGACTCAAACCACAGTGGTGAGCGTCCCGTCTTCGTCCAGCAGCTGGCACTCATGCCCATCCTCCTCGCCTTTTGGGACATTGCAACACTACACACGAGGAAGTCATTGAGGTGGAATATCACACTGTTGACAGCAGATGAGTGCGAGTAAATGACTCACACCACGATGGTGAGCGTCCCATCTTCGTCCAGCAGCTGGCACTCATGCCCATCCTCCTCGCCTTTTGGGACATTGCAACACTACACACGAGGAAGTCATTGAGGTGGAATATCACACCGTTGACAGCAGATGAGTGCGAGTAAATGACTCACACCACGATGGTGAGCGTCCCATCTTCGTCCAGCAGCTGGCACTCATGCCCATCCTCCTCGCCTTTTGGGACATTGCAACACTACACACGAGGAAGTCATTGAGGTGGAATATCACACTGTTGACAGCAGATGAGTGCGAGTAAATGACTCACACCACGATGGTGAGCGTCCCATCTTCGTCCAGCAGCTGGCACTCATGCCCATCCTCCTCCTCGCCCTCCCCATCCCCACTCCCAACCCTGTCTACTGCTACTCCTCTCCAGGTCCCTTCTGCACGCCCACAAGACGTGTGACGGTAGGGGAATCCTCTTTCGGCGGATGCTGCTCCTCCTGCCAGCTGCACCGTCAGCACGTATGCCACCTGTGGCGTCTCGCCACGTGTCACGCTCACACGGAGATTGATCCTGACAGCAGCTGCTGACATGTCACGATCAGGGCCACCTTGGGAGCTCCTGTGATCATGGCTGCACCAGTGCCTATGGTACAGCCCTACAGCAGGAAGTGAATCTCTCGAGTCAGCAAATCTCTGCAGCACTTCTTGTCGCATGAAGTCCACATCCCCATCAACACTCTCAATCAAATCTGATAGCGGGAGCTCGGATTCACACAGGGCAGCAGGTGGCTGACTTAAGGATGATGAAGTTGCTCCAGTTCCGGAGGGGTGGGGGCCCATGGCTTGGTCTGGAACCCCAAAGAGGCTCCGTGCAGCGCGATTGATGCAGGAGAGCCGGCCGGACGGCGCTACAGACAGCACCGCCTGGTAGGTACCTTCCAGCACCGCATTCAACCGCTCCTCGCGCTCCCACCGCTGGCGCCGCTGCTGTATCCCTGCCACAACCTGCCCCACTGTCTTGGTTAGCGCGTGCAGCTCTGTGACCAGGGACTTGCTGTAGCCCCCCTCACGATTGGTCACTGCGAACATTCCGACGAGATGAGAGCCTGTGATCGGAGGAGAGGGGGGGTGGTGGGAGAGAGGGGATTTGCTTATGAGTGGAGTGAACGGAAGATGAGTATGTGATAGGTAAGAGCATTGGCGAAGAGTGAAGCACAAAACAGGGAGATGAAGCACGGCTATGTTATGATGTGAGATGCCACAAATTACATTACCACCATGTAATCCAAAACATTTTCAATGCAATATCATATCAAGCGATACTGGTCCATGCAATGCAATGGCAAATACGATATTGTGTGACTAGATCATAAACACCAACCAGCCTCACCTGAAAAGAGCGGCACCCCAAGAAACGTCGTCATGGGCGGATGTCCGGGCGGCACTCCCGCTGACCGCGGATCTGACGCCACGTCATTGCTCACGATGACATCAGCGGTGGTAACCACCTGGCCCATGAGCGTGTTCATGTTGCCAAAGACCAATCCCGAGGCCGCGTTTTCCGCGTACCACGCCTTGAGGTATGGCGTCCACGCGAAGTTGGTTATACTGTGCGTTCTCAGAAACAACGACTCCTCCTCACTGCCGCCGCCGCCGCCCCCGCCCCCGCCGCTGCTGCTGTTGCTGTTTTTGCTGCTGTTGTTGGTGGTGCTGCTGCAGGTGCGGGGGCGGCGGAGGGCGCTAGAGATGCAGCCAGCGGAGGAGCGCGTGAGGTGCAGCAGCTGCGACAACAGGTAGTCCGCCACCTGATGGCCGTTGGGGGACTGGGTGGGGGGGAGGGGGGGAACGGGAGGAAGGGGAGCAGGAGGAGGGGCAGGTCGGGGAACAAGGGAGTGAGAGCAGGAATGTGTGTGTGTGTGTGTGTGTGTGTGTGAGAGAGAGAGAGAGAGAGAGAGAGAGAGAGAGAGAGAGAGAGAGAGAGAGAGAGAGAGAGAGAGAGAGAGAGAGAGAGAGAGAGAGAGAGAGAGAGAGAGAGAGAGAGAGAGAGAGAGAGAGAGAGAGAGAGAGAGAGAGAGAGAGAGAGAGAGAGAGAGAGATCTAGAGAGAGAGAGAGAGAGTCCGCCCGTATCTTCCGCGTATCACGGCACACCGTGACGTGGGTACATGCGTTTAGGCTCGAGTCAGTGCGACTCACCATGTCGCGTGCGAAAATGTCGTGCGCTGTAACAATCGTCGACAGCAGCTCGCGACTGCATATTCCCGCGCCCGCTTCCGCCACCCCGGAGAACGACGCGCCGCTTCCGCCCGCGCCGTGGCCCCCGCGTAGTGCCGAGGTCCCCGAGCTCGTTCTCTCCAACGGAGCTTTAGCGGGGCGAGCGGGAAAGGACGCGGGCGGTGACATGTTGACGCCCCCGTTGACCCTCGAGTTGACCGTTCCGTTGACCCCCGACGCGGAGAAGGGCGCGTAGGCGGAGAGCAGGCTGGCCTGGAAGGGGCACGCGGAGGGGCCGAGGTCCTCCCCGTCCTCCCCGTACGACACGGAGGGATGCGATGACGACGACGACGGGAAGGAGGAGGTGGCGGAAGACGCGGAAGGGGACCTCGAAGCGAGTGACGCGGGGAGCGCGGCGACGGGGCCGCACAGCGACGAGGAAGCGTGCGACGCGGTGTAGGACGCGTATGTGGGTAGCGATAACGACGGAGAGAGCGAAGCAGGCGGCGGCGGCGCCAGATACGCGGATTCAGGAGCCTGCGACTGAGAGTTTCCAGGCGAAGCTGAAGCGGGCGACGTCGCATGGCGACGAAAGTGCGACGCTCCTTCGGCATAACCGTTGTGCAACGGCGACGTCACGCCAGCGTCAACGTTACCTGCGGCGTAACAGTAGTACTCTGCTAGACTGTCGTAACGAGTGGCTGACGAGGAGCATTGCATAGACGACGCGCAGCCATGGAAAGGCGGGGAACATTGCGCGGGCGACTGTGACGACGACGATGCGCGACAGTTCCCGTCGCCCGGCGACGGCCCGTTCATCGCCGGACCATGATGATCCACGGTCGTTGGGGACCATGATGGAACAGATAGCCTGGGAGGTAACGCGGCGCGGTTGGTTTCGGCCTCTTTAATCTCCTCAAGACAATGCAGGAACCTCTGCTGAGCTGGCGGCTTGCGGCATTCTGGGTGCGCGCCGCGGTTCGGCGGAGGATTCGGTGGGTGATCTTGTAACGGAAGCTTGCAGGATAGGGCAACCACAGACGAAGGGTTCAATGAGGGTTTAGTAGCGCCGAAGTGCTTAATGACTGGAGGCGATTCATGGCTGGGATTAGCTGCGCGTTGCGACATTTCCGCTGCGAATCAGGGGACGATAGGATACCAGAAAAGCGTCAATCTCGTTTCGCTGACGTCCAAAGGGGGAACTACGTGTGATTTGTTCGCGTTTGGGTAGAATGAATGAAAGCAAACTGTAAGCGGCGACTGACGGCTGTCTTACCCCTCCTGAAGAAATCGCGACCTACCCACACTCGATCGAAGCGAGAAACTCGATCAGTGAGGTGAGGAAATGCAGGCGACAGACAGCACGAGCGAGGTGGAAGGCGAGGAGACAAGGCAGGATGTGAGGTGGATAGGACATAGGAAGGATGCAGCGGTCGAGTTGGCGCAGCACAGAAGCAGCCTGTAGCCTGTTGTTGCCTCCGATTGGCATTGCTTTTGGCTGTTCCATTTCCAGTGCACAAAAAAAGAACTGCATGCGACAGCCGCAACCATCGTTGGCGCAACGTCACGCGGATGGCGGCGAGATAAATGGGGCGAATGTCAATGGGTGTTTGTTTCCTCGAGGTCCCTCACGAATGCGACGCGGATTTGGGAATTGATGCGATGCGATTTTTGATGTGTACAAGGTGATGTCAGCTAAAACGGCCCTGCCCAGGGTCCTCTTCAGCTTTCACGTGATTTACTGTACTGATGTGTCTATTTGTTTTTTTCTGAGCATAGTGAGTGTTATTTACACCAATTCGCCACCGCAAATAGTCAAGCTTGTATCGTTGTTCCACCAGTTTCTTTGATACTTACCATAAACTGTCGTCTCCGCTGTTCATGTCTGGGGTCAGGAAGAGCAGCTTAGAAATAAACGTGTCACGTAAGGCAGCCAAGTTTTGTCTTGTAGTTCATGAGCTGGATGAGAAGAGATTCTCTCTCATACAGTCATAGCCACATCTTTAATATCTGCCATGAACAACGCTATTGGTGCAGAAGGTCCACACGTCCAACAAATAGATTAATCGTGCTATTGACATCCTTTATTCAAATGTGAAGGTGAGATTTGCATTTGCTGTGTATTGTGTACGTTATGATGTGCACCTAGTGATCAGTTTGATCAGTTTCATCCATTCCTGCAAAAATAAAGCTCATACAAAACAAAATCTACTAATTTTGTTGTATTTAAATTCATGTAATTTATAGTACATCTTAAAGGAACTATACACACAAGTTCAGGAATTTGTATTGATGTAAACCAGGTTCAGATTAGTTGTTTCTGTTGTGCGTTGTGCGGATGAGTGAGCTTCCCCCAAACAGCTCATAATGCGGATATCGCTGCTGCCCCCTGCATTCCCATCAGATGCTACGAAGTTATACCCTCCTCCGTCTCCTCCGCTTTCCTTGGCAGTCGCATCCTTCCGTCTGCTCCAGGTTTCCCGCTCTTTCCTCCTTCGTACTTCAGTTTCCTAAGTCGGGAGATTTTCATCAAAACAAAGATTTGGCGGATTAAAGACGTGCAGTCATGGCCGAACAAGGAGCAGGTAGTGACAATTCACGTTTTACCTCAATCCACTGCAACATCATATATCATCAGGCACTCACTATTCTGATGCTAGTTTTCCGTGTGCGAGCCATTGCTGTCGATAAGTATTTTCCGGCGCGCATCTCTCTGTTACCTGTTTCGCAGCTCCGGTGAGGTCTTTCGCACAAGCAGCTGCGACAGAGGAGGTCGCACAACCGCTGCGATCCGTGCAGATCGACGGCCTCGTGAGTGTCGCATCGTCGCCTGCTTCGTCCTTAATTACCATCATCCCACCCGTTGAAGCCTTAGGCCTGCCCCCCTTCTCGCGTTGTCTACTCCCTGACTGCCCTAAACCCTAACCGTAGTGTGGTTTATATTTCGCCTCCTCTTCATTCGTAACGAATTCCTAGGTTGCGATGAAGATCGACAAGCACTGTAGCGACTGGGCTCCTCAGCTTGTAACGGGTCTGCTGCTCGGTCTCGATATTGGCAGCACTCTTGAAGTCACCAATTGCTTTCCATTCCCCGTGAGTGATCTTCATTCCTTACCTCATGTTTGCATCGTCCTTGCTTCCATTGCTCCCCTGTGCGCACAACGGTCAGGAGAGTCTGTCAGGTTTACAACTTCTTCTCTATGCTTGAAAATCTGTCAGGAGAGAGTCTGGCCTGGAATGGGTGTCTGGCCCTTCGATTGCGGATACGTCGTCGCGGAATCGCGAATGTGTTGTTGTTTTCAGTTGCGCGTTTGAACTGTGCGCGCGTGTGTGTGTGTGTGCTCATTTGGGTGTGTGCTTGGGGAATGGGATTGGTGCCTGTGTGCGTGTGATACATATGTGTAAGGCCGTATGCGCAATGCCACATGGCAACATGCATGGCATTCCGCATGGCCTCATGGACGGCACGATACGTGCCACGATGCATACTGTGACGTGGCATGATGTATGGCATGGCATATGGTATGGCGTGTGGCATGACATGTGGCATGACATGTGGCATGACATTTGGCATGGGGTGTGGCGTGGCGTGGCGTGGCGTGGCGTGGCGAGGCGTGGATTCCGTCACTTGCCGCCATCTCAGAGTCGGGGAGGCGAGGAGGAAGAGGAGGAAGAGGCGGACGGTGCCATGTATCAGCTGGAGATGATGCGCTGCCTGCGCGAGGTCAACGTTGACAACAACACCGTTGGCTGGTATGATGGTCGGATAGGTGCTCTTGGGTGTGGTGTAGTGTAGTGCGATCCAGTGCGGTGTTAAACCCAGCTCCCTTTCTCCTCCCTCTGCTTTCTCTTCACTTCTCCCTGCCCCTCTCTCAGTTTCTTGCTTCTTCTTGTTTTCCCCATGCTCCCCACCTCCTCCCTTCCCATCCCATCCCCTCGCTCCCCTCCCCCGCAGGTACCAGTCAACGACCCTGGGCTCATTCCAGACGGCGGACATGATAGAGACGTTCGCCAGCTACCGTGAGAACATCAAGCGCTGCGTGTGCCTCGTCTACGACCCAGATAGGGCTGCTGCGCGCGGCACCGTGGCGCTCAAGGCGCTCACGCTCAAGGCGCCCTTCCTCGAGATGTTCAAAGCGGGCGCTTTGACGGGTGACAAGTGAGTGGGTTGGGTAGGATGGTGGGTGGGTGGGTGGGTGGGTGGGTGGGTGGGGAGTCGGGTGGCGCTCAAGGCGCTCAAGGCGCCCGTCCTCGAGATGTTCAAAGCGGGGGCACTGACAGGGGACAAGTGAGTGGGGAAGATGGGGTTGTCTCCACCCTCATGGGGCGGCAACATCGCCTCCCTCCAGCCCCCTGCTGCCAGCTGCCGCCAATGTCGGTGCTGCTGCTGCTGCTGCTGCTGCTGCTGCTGCTCTGTCACCGCCCAACTCGTTTCCCCCCTCTTTCCCCCTGCTCTCTATCACTGCAGGTTGAGGGAGAGTGAGACGTCATGGGCGGGGATATTCGAGGAGATCCCAGTGAAGATGGCCAACTCCACGCTCGTCTCCACGCTCATCGCCACTCTGCACCCCCCCGCTGCCGACGCCGCTCCCTCGCGCACCGACTTTGACCGCCTTCTTCTCGGCACCAACCCCTTCCTCGAGACCAACCTGGGATGCCTGGCGGACTGCATGGATGATCTGAGCGCGGAGCAGCAGAGGGTACGTGGGAGGATAGGCCTGGTCACATTAGAGCGTTTGTTGTATGTGGACCCACATGCCCGACTTTGACCGCCTTCTTCTGGACACCAACCCCTTCCTCGAGACCAACCGGGTGTGCCTAGCCGACTTCATGGATCACCTCAGTGCGAAGCAGCAGCAAAGGGTACTTCCTTTAGCATGCAGTACTTCCCTCCATTCTTTAGCATGAGGATCCCTCTTGCCTGCCGCCATATGGCTTTTCCATGCATCCGCCCTTATTCCCACATTTACCCTGCTAGACTCTGCTTACATTTACCCTGCTAGACTCTGCTTACAAGGTGACTTTTGAGTCGACTCAAAAGTCACCCTGCTAGACTCTGCTTTCATGTACCCCCTCCCTCACCTCCCCTCCCGACATTCGAGTTCCGGTTTGCTTGTTATGATGAGGACCTTCACAATCTCTCTTCCTCTTTCCCTCCCCCCCTCCTCTTCCCCCCACTCTCCGTGCATCCCGTTCGCCCCTGCAGTTCCAGTACCACTATCGCAGTGTGCAGCGCCAGCAGCAGCAGCAGCTAGCATGGGTGCAGAAGAGAAGGTGGGTGTAGGAGAGAAGGTGGGTGCAGCAGAGAAGGTGGGTGCAGCAGAGAAGGTGGGTGCAGCAGAGAAGGTGGGTGCAGCAGAGAAGGTGGGTGCAGCAGCGGGTTGGCTCGCATTGCTGTTAGACCGGCTGTTTTGGGTGGGGATAGGAATGAAATCATTTCCCAAGGAGGATCCCACAACCCCAAGGTCTGTCCCATTTATGAGCCCCGTGACGCTCGTACTCATGCGCACTCGCTCACTCTCACACTCGTACTCATGCACACTCACTCACTACTCATGCACACTCACTCACTACTCATGCACGCTCACTCACTCTCACACTCGTACTCATGCTCACTCACTCACACTCACACTCGCACTCATGCTCACACGAGACTCACACTCACACTGTACTCATGCACACACACTCACACTCTTGCACTCATGCTCACACTGTACTGATGCACGCACACTCACACTCGTGCTCATCCACACGCAACCATGCGCACTCACACTCACTCTGATAAATTCACTCGCACTCTGCCTACCTTATATGTCCATCCGTTCCCACATCATTGGCAGATAGGACAAGGTACTGAGGAGGGCAGCAGGGGAGGAGCCGCTACCAGAGGAGGACCCTACCAACCCCATCTTCAAGCCCATCCCTTGACCCACTTGTACATGCATTCCCACTCCCTCTCACACTCCCTCATCCCCTCGCTCTTTGGCAGATCGGACAATGCGTTGAGGAGGGCAGCAGGGGAGGAGCCGCTACCAGAGGAGGACCCCACCAACCCCATCTTCAAGCCCATCCCTGAGCCCTCGCGCATTGACATGCTGCTCACCACCAACCAGATCGCCAATTACTGTGCGCAGATCAACGAGTAAGCACTTTTTTTATCCGTTGAGCTTTATACAACTTATGTGTGTTTTTTGTTGTGGTGATTATGGAGCGCTGTTATGCAATTCCATTGCCAAGTCGTGCTAATTCATTCAAAGCTGTTTCCTAAATTGTTGTGTTTTTCTGTGTGCAGGTTTAGCGGCCCGGCTCTTAGCAAGCTGTACCTCATGGATGCTCTCAATGGAGCATCTTGAATGCTGCTGCTGCTTTCTCAGAACATATGGTATTCTAGTCAAATAAAAAAATATATTTTGAAGAGTGCTAGTATTGAGGTCTAATAAGAATTGGGCCTTGAGTGATTTTGTGGCAGGAAATGCAAGAAATAATTGTCGTTATGCAAGAAATGCAGGAAATGCTAGAATATAGGCACGCTAACGTCGTAGAAGATGCAATTGGTAACGCGTAAACTATTTTCAGCATCTTGCGAGGCGCACTATTTTCCAATCCTAGTTCGTAGTTACGTGCCAGATATTCGATCATATTTTACTGCTGCCGACTCTTTTTGAGAATTCTCACTTCACTACCGCTGTTAACTGCTTCCGATGCCATAGCCATGAACGAAAGATTCTCCGAGAAGCTTGTTTGAAAACGAGTGGTGGGTTGAACACGCGTCTAGTCCCTCTCGCCGAAAGCTGGTCGCAATAGCCGGAAATTGCGCAAGCTTCTTTGTGTAACTCACTGAATCCGCTATTCCGCAAGGACCGTCGAAGTTTTATTTGTGCTAATATCGAGGGATGGACGCGTCGGAGAGCGCACAAGAGCTGCAGGTGCAGACGCAGGAGGTGACAATGGAGGGGGAAACACCGTCGCGGCAGGTGCGCGCGACGGTGGTTCAGGCGGCTACAGTGATGTACAACACGCCTGCCACGCTGGACAAAGGTAGCTACGCTGGACAAAGGTAGCTACAGCGGACAAAGGTGATAACTGCCACGTTGGACAAAGGTGATTATTTATTTTTTAATATTATTTAAAGGGAACGTGCTTGTCTAGGAGCCTCGGGGAACACCACGAGCCTAGCAGAATAGGCAGTCAGCTGGTGGTGTTTTCGGCCCGGAGGCGTTACTAGGCGGCTACCCAGGGGGGGAAGCTTCGGTGTGCTCAGTGGTTCAATGCGTTCTTCCCCCTTCTTCCCTCTCTCTCCTCCTCTTCTCTCACTCTCCCTTTTCCCCTTCACAGCCGAGAAACTGTTGGCAGAAGCGGCACAGTTGGGCAGTCAGCTGGTGGTGTTCCCAGAAGCCTTTATAGGCTGTTACCACAGGGGGCCAGTTTCAGTGTGCTGGTGGCGAGGTGCTCTCCATGGCACAATGCGTTCTTCCCCTCCTTCCCTCTTCCCAGCGGAGCGACTGTTGGCAGAAGCGGCACAGTTGGGCAGTCAGCTGGTGGTGTTCCCAGAAGCCTTTATAGGCTGTTACCACAGGGGGCCAGCTTCAGTGTGCTGGTGGCGAGGTGCTCTCCATGGCACAATGCGTTCTTCCCCTCCTTCCCTCTTCCCAGCGGAGCGACTGTTGGCAGAAGCGGCACAGTTGGGCAGTCAGCTGGTGGTGTTCCCAGAGGCGTTCATAGGCGGCTACCCCAGGGGGGCCAGCTTCGAAGTGCTGGTGGGGTGGTGCTCTCCCTAAAACAATGCGATTCTCCCCCCTCCGTCTATCCTCTTCCCTCTCCCTGACTCTCCTCTCTCCTCCTCCCTGCTCCCAGCCGAGCGGCTGTTAGCGGAGGCAGCGCAGCTGGGCAGTCAGCTGGTGGTGTTCCCAGAGGCGTTCATAGGCGGCTACCCCAGGGGCGCCAGCTTTGGAGTGCTGGTGGGGTCCCGCACGGACCGAGGCCGGGACGAGTTCAGGCGCTACCATGCCTCCGCCATTGATGTGCCGGGTGGGTGGGGAAATGTGGGAGGGAGGGAGGGGAGGGTTATGGGGGATTTGAGGCATGAGTGGGTTTGTGGGGAGGGGTGCCAAGAGGCACTAGCTTCGGAGTGCTGGTGGGGTCCCGCACCGACCGAGGGCGAGACGAGTTCAGGCGCTACCATGCCTCTGCCATTGATGTGCCGGGTGGGTGATGCGTGAGTGGTGGGGGAATAAAGGGGTGGGGCGTTGCTATCAAGGTGCCTCAGAAGTCGTCTTGGTGTGCTGGTGGGGTCGCGCACGGACCGAGGCCAGGACGAGTTCAGGCGCTACCACGCCTCCGCCATGGATGTGCCGGGTGGGTGAGAATGAAGGGTGGAAAGGGGGAGGGGAAGGGGGAAAGCGGGCGGAAGGGGGTGGTGGGAGGAGGGAGGGGAAAGGTTGGGTGGGGAGTGAAGAAGAGCCGGAGACGTCGGGGTGGTGGGAGGAGAATCAGTGTCCTGGTGGGGTGTTTGAGTTCGGGTGTCTCTGATCAGAGTTCTGGTGTGGCCTGTGCGCACAGGCCAATGGCACATCAAGTTCAAGTGCTACCATTCAAGTCCAGGACTCGTCAGAACCATTGATGTGCTATGCCACTGATGCGTCCTGCCCTTCCCTCTCTCCTTCCCCTGCACACCCCCCCAGGGCCCGAGGTGGCGCGCCTAGCAGCAGCAGCAGCCAAGTTCGGAGTGTTTGTCGTGATGGGAGCAATCGAGCGGGCGGGCGGCACGCTCTACTGTTCAGTACTGTTCATCGACCCGCGCCTGGGGCTGGTCGGGCGGCACAGGAAGACAGTGCCGACCGCTTTGGAGCGCGTGATATGGGGGTGCGGTGACGGCAGCACGGCGGCTACGGTGGTGGACGCGGGGGGGGTGGGGCTGGTGGGCGCTGCCGTGTGCTGGGAGAATCGCATGCCTATGGTTCGCATGGCACTGTATGGGAAAGGTGAGACTGGGTGAGGGTGAGACTAGGGAGGGCATGACCGCCTCCCTCCCTCCACCTCTCGTGTCTCCTCTCCATCCTGCCCCTTGTTATTCCTTCCCCATGTCTCCTATCCCCTTCAGGAGTCGATTTTTGAGTCGACTCAAAAGCCTTCCCCATGTCTCCTATCCCCTTCAGGAGTCGATTTTTGAGTCGACTCAAAAGCCTTCCCCATGTCTCCTATCCCCTTCAGGAGTCGATTTTTGAGTCGACTCAAAAGCCTTCCCCATGTCTCCTATCCCCTTCAGGAGTCGATTTTTGAGTCGACTCAAAAGCCTTCCCCATGTCTCCTATCCCCTTCAGGAGTCGATTTTTGAGTCGACTCAAAAGCCTTCCCCATGTCTCCTATCCCCTTCAGGAGTCGATTTTTGAGTCGACTCAAAAGCCTTCCCCATGTCTCCTATCCCCTTCAGGAGTCGATTTTTGAGTCGACTCAAAAGCCTTCCCCATGTCTCCTATCCCCTTCAGGAGTCGATTTTTGAGTCGACTCAAAAGCCTTCCCCATGTCTCCTATCCCCTTCAGGAGTCGATTTTTGAGTCGACTCAAAAGCCTACCCCATGTCTCCTATCCCCTTCAGGAGTCGATTTTTGAGTCGACTCAAAAGCCTACCCCATGTCTCCTATCCCCTGCAGGAGTGGAGCTCTACTGTGCGCCCACAGCAGACTCTTGTGATTCCTGGCAGGCCACCGTGCAGCACATGCTTCTCCTCTCCCTTTCCATTTACCATGCCCCCTCTCCCTCATTTGCTCCCCATGTTTCATTTCCTTTCCATATTTCACTCCATGTCTCCTATCCCCTGCAGGAGTGGAGCTTTACTGTGCGCCAACAGCAGACTCACGGGACTCCTGGCAGGCCACGGTGCAGCACATCGCGCTCGAGGGCGGCTGCTTCGTCCTCTCTGCCAACCAGTTCTGCGTGCGCTCCGACTACCCACCGCCCCCCGATTTCGTCTTTTCCGCGTCCGGGCGGCTGGATGCAGACGAGCCGCCGCCATCCGCCGTGGTGTGTCGGGGCGGCAGCGTGATCGTGTCTCCACTGGGGCGGGTGCTGGCCGGCCCAAACTACGACGGACAGGCACTGCTGACCGCTGACCTGGGTGAGTGAGTAGCATGGTTCATGGGAACTTAACAGCTGAAGATAGGGCTTTGAAGAGTGTACTCTGAACTCGTGGCATGCTGGCCGCGGGGCCAAACTACGACGGGCAGGCACTGCTCACGGCTGACCTGGGTGAGTCATGCAGTTGATGGGAGGTTCACTTCATGGGAGGTTCACTTGATGGGAGCTTCACTGGCTCACACTGCACCCCATGAGTTGAGTTGAGACAGAGCTTTCAAGTGTCTCAACTTCACTCACGGGGTGCTGGCCGGCCCAAACTACGACGGGCAGGCGCTGCTCACTGCCGGTCTGGGTGAGTCCGCCTAAGCATCCTCAGCTTCCTAATAGATGTATCAATGTGTCAATACCGTACCTGTTCCTAGGCATCCTCCTGCCCTTCTTCTCCCTCCCCCCGCTTCCTCTCCAGACATGGGTGACATTGTACGGGCCAAGTTTGACTTTGATGTCACGGGGCACTACGCTCGGCCGGATATATTCTCCCTGCGCGTCAAAGAGGTTTCTACAGTGCCTGTACAGTACGATAGCGAGTCTGCGCCTTGCCACATGCTTCATTATAAGCACCATCACCACCACCAACAGCAGCAGCAACAGCAACAGCAGCAGCAGCAACAACAAGAAGAGCAAAGGATGTGATGTGATTCAGTGCAATTGTTGTGACATAACCACCACAGACATATTACTCAACTGCACACGCCCTCAACTTGACTGCGGTGTGCACTTACTCGGGTGGGTTGAATTGACAAGACGAGAGATTACCCTCAAATTTGCATGCCATTAACCACTGACATTTCACTGGAATATTAAACCCATTTCAAGCTACAGAACAGGTCCTGCACGCTATCAGACCAACAATAAGTCGGCTGAAGATCACATCCATAACAGTTCTGGTCTGATCTGAAGCAGCCTGAAAATCAGCATTCATACATTCTTTTTCTTGGTCAAATCCAGTGAGCACAAAACCTGTAACTTGAGTGGGAAATAAATGTAGCCACTAAAAACTGACAAATGGGCCACTTGTGAGTAGAAAAAGAAGAAACGAAAAAAAGACCTAAACATGTTGTATGAACCACTAAGGTGAGGAGGTACACTAATGTGGCCCAACAACGAGCTCTGCAGTATCAAGCCAGTCACCTGCCTGTGGGAGCAAAACGGGAACAGTAGAAAGGAACCTGATACCCCAAAGCAAGAAAGGCAGCAGCAGCAGCAGCAGCAGCAGCAGCAGCAGCAGCAGGAGCAGCAGCAGCAGCCCGAGCAAGGAGCAAGCAACTCATCATCGAGAGATCCGTCTCGAACGTAGCTGCAGTTTTCAAAACCCAAAACGAAGGCACAGGGATGATCAATCCACCGCCCCTCCTTGCCTCCTCCCTCCACCCACCAACCCCATCCCTCCTCACTCCTCTCTTCGCCCTCTTCCCTTCCTGCCCCTCCTCCCTCCTCTCTCTCTGTGCCTTCATCTTTCCACCCTCCTCCACCTGCTCCCCTCTCCTCTCCACCACGTGACAAGGACACCACCACCCCACAGCCACCACTCCACCTTCTCCCACACGTGCCCCACGCAATCATCCACCTCCCACCTCCCCCCTCCCCCCTCGCCCTGCCCTACCACCCGCCAACCCTCTGCGCTAGCCTGGTTCATTCCTTGGCCCTGGACCATCACAAGCCCATTCATCAGCCCTCCTCTGCACCAACCTGCCACTCGCCCCGCCTGTAAACCACTTTTTCACCGAATGCCCTGCCCCCCTCCCCGCCATATTCCTCTTCACGCCCCTTCCACGTACCACCCGCCTCTCCGCCCTACCACCCGCCCGTCCGCTGCGCGGGCCTGCCTTGCGCCTCCCCAGCATCCCTGCCCGGCCCCGCCGTGCTCCTGCTGCCGCCGCGCCACGCGTCCCCCCTGCCCGCGCCCGCGCCCTCCCCACTCGCAACAGTGTTGCTCCGCCACGCGTCCCCCCCTCTCCTCGCGCCCCCGCCCCACGCATTCCCATTGGCCAACGGCGCACCACCAGCACCCGCACCCGCAGCAGCAGCCCCGCGCCCCGCCCCTTCCGCTCCTCCTCCTCCCCCTCCGCCTGCGCCTTCTCTTACAGCCCCTTCCGCTCCCGCCGCGCCAGCCTCCTTATCTCGCGCCTGCTTCTCCCTAGCCTGCTTCTGGGCGTACTTAACTTTAGCATCAAGATCTAGCACCAGCTGTTCCAGCTGCCGCCGCTTCTCCGCAACTTCCTTCTCCAAGGCCGCAACTTCCTCAGGTGAAAGCTCAGGTGCCTGCTGCTGCTCGGCCGCGGCGCTGCTCTCCGCCTCTGGCTTCCCCTCCCCCTCCTTGTCCCCCTGGGCTGCCCCCTTGCCCGTGGCGGCCTGAAGCTTCGCGGCAAGCGCGTCCACCTCCTCGCGAAGCTTCTTCTCTTCTTCCGTCTCGGGTCTGCGTGAAGGCAGACGAGTAGACGGCCGAAGGCAGGACGGGACGAGGGGAGAGGAGAGATGGGAGAGAGGCAGGACGGGGCGTGGGAGGGGAGTGAGGGGAATGCAGGGAGAGGCAAACGAAACCACTCCCTGTCTCCAACGAAACCACTCCTTGTCTCAAACGGAACCACGAGGGGAGAGCTATTAGACATCTCGAACTGAATGAACTCCGTTAGACATCGTCCATTCAGCTCGAGCTACTCACCGCCATCCGCGATACAGGCAGACCCACCTGCTCGCTCTCTTTTTCCTCGACAAAAAAACACAAGCGCAGAAGTCAAGCACGAAAGCCCTGAACCCTCACATTCTGCCTCGCACGTCGGACCCTCCTCGCTGTGCGCACTGCCCAGCCCAGAACCTGACAACGCTGCGCGGTGATTTCCAGGTTTCTCACAATGTCCACTCGATACGAGGTGACTGGCGAGTCGACTCAAAAGCTGCGGCGCGAGTCGAACTCGACAACCACGCGGTGTGGTGTGGTGAAATGAGATTCAGGTTCCGAACCTCGACACGCCGAGAAGACAAGTGCGAACCTAATCGTTAGGATCTCGTGCTTCAGAGGTAAGGTCCGGAACGAAGAATCCTTGAACAACCCACAAAGCTTGCCCTGGGGAGAAGACACGCTTGGGAGCCGCACATCCGCAGTCCCCAAGCTTGGGGGCCAAGCTTCCGTACCGGATCTATCTCACAGCTTTCCGTGCCTTGGAACAAAAAGTGAAAGGCGCGTCTTTGATGCGGCTTCTTGCCGTCGGATCCGATAAGATAAACCACCCGTTCATACTCGTTATCGATCTTCTGTTTGCACGTCAATGGTACGTGCCTCACGGCACCATTGTATTCAACCTTGATCTATATTTCTCGCCAGTCCGTTCCTCTAATATTCATACGCGTTACAAAGTTCCTCGGTAACACGCACCTGTCAACGCCCTTATGCTCCAACTCAAGGTCCATCTTCCGCCAGTCCATTCCGCGCTCCTCAAGCGCAACCTCCCGCGGCTTCGCTTCCCCGAACGGGTTCATCGCCGGCTTAGACGCCTTAACCTCCGCCGCGGGTTCCGCCGATGCCCCCCTGGCGGAAGGGGAGTCGGGCGCAACAGGAATGCCCTTCTCCGCCAGCACCTGCTCGCGCGGGCGCGCCTCCCCGAACGGACTCGGCTTCTTGGGCTTGTTCGCATCCTCCGCGCTCCCTGCGCTCCCCGCGCTTCCGCCCTCGCCTTCCGCGACAGGCTTGCGCGGCTGGAGATTCAAGCGCGGGCGCTCCGACGGGCGCTCGTCGCTGGGCGCCTTCCCCCAGCGGTCCGCCTCGAGCCCTTCCCGCGGGCCGTCCCTGGGACCGTCCCGCCTGCCGTCCCGGCTAGCGGACGGCACGAATTTCTTCGCCGCGCCCCAGTTGTCCACCTCATCCGCACGTGCGCCTTCGCGATCGTCGAATCCTCCGCCGCCTCCGCGCCCGCCGAACCCTCCGCGGCTGCTCCCGCCGCCCACGGATGCGGACGGTACGTACTTCTTCGCCGCGCCCCAGTTGTCCGTTTCGTCGGCACGTGACGGGCCGCCCATGCGGTCGCCGCGATCCCCGCGGCCGTCCATGGACTGAGACGGCTGAAATTTCTTCGTCGCGCCCCAGTTGTCGACTTCGTCGGCCCTTGACGGACCTTCACGTCCTGGACGGCCGCCGTCGTCCTCGTACCGGCCGCCGCGAGACCTGCCGCCGTCACCAGACGGCACAAACTTTTTTGTCGTCGCCCAGTTGTCAACTTCGTCTGCCCGAGACGGCCCGTCGTCCTCTCTTGGCGGCCGTTCGCGATCCTCGCGACGGCCATCGCGACCTTCGCGACCGCCTCCCCTGTCGCCGCCGCGGAAACCCCCATAACCGCGAAACCCGCCGCCTAATCCGCCGCTTTCCTCCTCCTCGCTGCGCTCCCTAGGGCCCGTAGGAAGCGCCATCTTTTCCTGCAACGTGAGCCCCTTAACTTCGTCCACTATGGCAGTTCTGGATCGCGCTCCGGGACCGACATACGCGCCTGTCGTAAACTCCGAGAGCGAGAGCGTTACTTTTTCCTTCTTCTTCTTCTGCGGCTTGGCTGCGGCCTGGCCGAGAGTCGGAAAGGCCTCATCGGACGGCTTAGATAAGGCCTGCGCGAGCTCTGGGAAGGCGGGAGGGGGAAGATCCTTCTCCCCCTCCTCGACATCGTCTGCCCAGGATTTGGAGCCCCATGCGGACTTCGCCATAGCTGAGTTACTAGGACCCGCTTCCGGGCTGGAAAGAGCTGAGGAAAAACAGCAGAAAGAAACGATTGAGTAGAGAGGAGAAGGGATCGAGAACGGAGGGTGAGAGGGGTTTTGGCGGATGGGAGGAGGATGAGATGCGATGGGTTGGGGCGGGCTGGGGGATGGGGGTTTGTGTTACGCATGTTACCACACGAGATTTCTTGTCATGCAACGGCTGACGATATAACGCGTACAGGCAGATTGGGCGCCGCAGGTGAGGTTGGTTTGTGGTTTGAGGCCACGAAATTTTGTGAGGCTGGACAGGGTCCGCTGTGGCTTGGCTCGGGCTTCTAGAAAAACGGGATTCCCAGGGTGCGGGAGCTGCTGCCACCACCAGCCCGTCAGTCTCCCGCGCGTTTTCGTGGCCCGCACCGCATACAGAGAAATTTTCCTGCCCTTGGCGGGCCCCGAACCGAGTCGCCAGACTCGTACCATGGATGAGATCCCCTCTCCCTGCTCCTCTGCTGCGTCGACCCCTCGATCCTTCGCTATGGGCAGTTGCGGCTGCCACCGTGGTTCGACGCCTCCAATGTATTGGGAGGTTAGCCAGCTGGACATGCCAACAGTTCAGTTCGCTCTTGTTTTGGAGCAGAAGCATACGCTACACCATCTGCTTTGCTGTTCGCATGTGCCTATCTTGAAGCTGACACTCTTAGTGTTTACATCTCCAGGAAGTTTAATTAAAGGGTATCTAGACATGAATTAATCCATGAAAATGGCAAATCAACAGATTTCATACGACATGTGTCCATTGCAAGGTCTTAGTTAATATAGAATATGCCTTGCGGTTCTTTTGTACCATTGTTTCACTGCTAAAAGCGTATGATTTGAGTGTAGCAAAATCTGTGTACACGCCTCTTCAGCCAGAGACTTCCAACGATTTTTTTAACGAACACACACGAGCGGGCACCATTCATCAATCATTGCCCCGGTTCTGTAAATCCAAGCTATGTCACGACTTGCGCCCTGCATGCTGGAGCCGTTTTTCACATCAAAGCTTCCGGTGTACATAGCACTCGGAACCCCCCCAGGACTATGGAGCTAGGGCACCCTTGGCAAGTAGCGCTGTAGTATGTGTTTGCTTTGCGGAGGATTTTCCTGACGGATTGTCCAGCTCGTGGGATGCATACAAGTTGGGCTTTTCTAAAATTATAAAAGGAATTACCCCTTTCAACCAGTTCCTGCCTGCCGTGCCATGGCACGGCAGGCACTCTGCTCCACATGCGACAATGATGCTTTTGGGCAGATGTGGCTGTGGTTTCAGCAACCGACCATCGTTAGCATTTGGGTTTCCGAAAAGGCAGATTTAGTCCCTGCGTGCCTTCCCCGAGGTCTATGGGAGGGGAGCAACCTCACTGGCCAGCTGCGCAAGGAAATCTGTGAGCTTGCGCGCAACAGTTCCACACTCTGAAATGTTCCGCAGCAGCGGGATATGCCAGATGGTTGCGCATGTGAAAATATCGTTGTGAGGCACGCGATTGACAACTCGGTTTAGTTGCTGGCTGACTGCCATTCTTGGAACTCTTGCAGGTGCTGTTCACCAGTGGGGACTTTCCACGTGGTCGTCGGGGCGGTCTGACCTGTCCGCAATCGACTGACTAACGGAATCTGACGGAGTGTTCAACGAGCCAAGCAGCCTGCTTCCGAAGCTCACCTCTCCTCGGGCTCTGCCCCAGCCTCGTGCTTCGCTCTGCTCTCCTGCAGTGCTAGCGCAATTAGTTCTCCCCTCCCCCCCTCCCGTGGTGTGGCGGTTCCCCCTCCTAACGCCCAAACCCCCAATTCCACCTCGGCCGCCACGCCACCAGCCCCTTTCCGCCAACGCGGCCTGTGTTTTCTGTCAGCCACATTACAGTAGCATTCCATTTGATTCCATACCATTCCGTTCTGTTTCGTTCCGTCCGTGCCTCGTCCCTCGTGGATCTCCTCTCCACCGCGCCCCCCTCCAGCCTCGGTTCTTCTCTCATTCTCTCACGCCACGGGAACGCAAACATGTCGGCTCAGCTTTTTGCCCTCCCACACTCGTCCAAATGACAATCGTAACTCTCGTTGGCTTGACTCACCCTCGCCCCTTCACTCCCCCAAAGCTCACAAATGAACGCCGGCCTGCTTGTTCAACCGCAATCTCTCTCCATATCATCTCGATGATGTTTGCTTCTCCGACATTGTCGACGCTGCTTGATGGTCCCTGGTATCTGGTGGTGACTCAGCCTCCTCTACCGCACCTACTTCCAAAACACGTCCCTCACTCCGCCGTCCTCAGTCGTCCAGTCCGTCTCTGTGAGCCACTGCCTGGAATCTAGAACTGCCCGAATTGTAGACGGAGACCTTTCTACAGAAAAAAAAACAGTGAACAGCGGGTTTATATTTCCACGAGAGTAGATTCCCCAGCGGCGAAGCCTCTATTCATAAGTTACCCGTTTCCCAGTTCCGAAAATGGTGCTCTGGATGTCGTCTGGATCGCAGCACACAGCAGCGGTGGCACCATGCTCAGTGCAGCAGCTAGATTTATGGCAGCCCGCCGAATGCGGCACGTCGAGCACGGAAGACCATATTTCCGACGAGGAGGTCGTGGAAATGGCGTCGCTGCTTCTCCAGTGCGAATCCGATTTTATGGGATCTCTTAACGTGCCTCGTTCTAACAAGGACATTAATTTCGACTCTGCTGAAGCACTGCCTCCTCCATCCCAGGAATTCACGAGGAGCCCTCATCGCGGAAACAAGCGGCAGCGAGAGGAGTCGGCGTCAACTGGACCGGCTCTGCCTGATGATCAGAATCGGCGAATTTTGATTCAGCCGTGCAACGTGAAGATAGAGGACCTACTAGGCCCGGAGAGCAGCTCGCTCGAAAGTCTTCAGGAGACGATTGAGTTTCAGATGGACGTCGCCGCGTTTAACGACGAGGTTGCTATTGGGGCTGCTGCGGCGGCGGCTGCGACCGCGGCGCCGGCTGCGGCGGCTGCGGTGAGGGTGAAGAGCGAGGGTGAGGTGGATACACTCGACGGCGAGGTTGACGAGGGCTTCAACGGGTACATTCCAACGGCTGCTGCCGAGAGGTGCGGCCCGCAGTCGTCGCCGCCGTCGCCGGCGTCATCGCCGTCGTCGCCGTCTTCGTCGCCATCGTCGTCGTCCCGCCTGCTGGTTGTGCCCCAGCTGGCCCCACAGCCGGCACTGCTCCATATACCGCAGCTCGCGTGTTCCGCCACGTGCCAAAGCGCCAGAAACGCCGGTGCCTTCATCGAGCCTGATGTGAAACGGTTCAAAGGCCAGGCGGCTGGTGATTTCTACCCCCGTCACCAATTGTCCTGCGCGCCGAGCTATACCGCGCTGAGCCACGCGCCGAGCTGCGCGCCGAGCACTCCAGGCTGCCAGCCAATCTGCGCGCCGAGCAGCGGCCAGGCATCCGCTATGCGCGTCGAGCCGAGCTGCGGGGAGCACGCGACGTCGGCGCCTAAAACTAGAGATTTGGCTGAGACGGAGTCTCTCACGGTTGAGCTTATATCGGAGCATCGCGGCGCGATGACGACGGAGCCTGGTGAAGTGTACCATGCTAACCCCGAGGAAGCTTCGTCGAATGCTGCTGGCGGCGGTTGGGGCTCGGGATTGGATTTCACCAGCCGTCAGCAGCAGCCGCCGCAGTTGGCGCCGCGGCGTGAGGCGGCGCCAGACGAAGGCGGCAATTTGTACCGCTGTATTACTGGCTGCGACAGCCCCCCGCCGCCGCCGCCGCCGTCGCGACGCTGTTTGACGAAGCCGCGGCGATCGTCTGCGTCGTCGGCGTCGCACGCGGCCACTCGCGGCGCAACTAGAAGGCCGGACATGGCGGCCGCTCGCGGCGCCGCAATCCGAGGGGCGGCGGCTTCCGCTGACTCCGCCGCTGTGCCGCGCGCGACCTACTCGGCGCTAAGATTCGGCGAGCCGGGGTACCCAGCGGAATATCGCGGCGCGTTTCGCGACAATGTGACGGCGCTGGCTGCTGACGTCATGCAACGCGAACCCGAGGGGTATGAAGTACCTGCCGTTTTGGTAGCGCCCTCGCGGCCTCGTACGAACTGGATTTTTGAGGCTCCTCAATAGGGGCCTTGTACAAACAGGACCAATTTTGCTGCGCGTTTTTTCCGATTTTTTGCCACATTGAATTCGTTTTGCCTCGTGTCCCCTCCTCTCACATTTCAGTTCCGCACCTTCCGTCCCCCCTCCGCCCTCCTCTCCGCCTCGGCTTTCCGCTCCGCCTTCCGCTTCTCGCGCTGATGCCATATTGACTTTCCCACTCTCTCCTTTCCCCTTTCTCCTTCCCCTTTCGCCCGTCCCCGTACTTCGCGTGGGTGTGACAGTGTCGAGGGCCATCCGACGTGGAGCCTTCTTCTCACCGTTACTCGCGCCGAAGCGTATTCTCAGCCGCCGTTCACGCCTTTCGAGGTGCTTTCGTACCCACCTCCTTCGACGGTTCCCGCGGATCCGCTTTCCCCTTCCGCGCGCAGCCCGCCGCCTCCCGCCACCCCGCGCGCTCAAGCCCGCGGCTATGTTAGCTCCGCGCCAGAACCCAGCGCGGGGAATTCCGCGGCGGGCGCGCTGTGCGCGAACGCGACACCAGCGGAGCAAGCGACGCTTCTGGGGGGCGCGCATGCGGCGCAGCAGCAGGCGCAGCTTCAGGGGGCGGCGCACCCGGCGCAGCAGGTGCTGCTGCCGCTGCTGCTGGTGGCGGAAGCGACTGAAGGGTCCGCCAATCCGCACTGCGACTACTGCCGCAGCTCAGGTATGGCTCCGCGCATGGGGGAAAGCGCAGGGAGGGCGGGAGCGGGGCGGTTGGGGTGGGGGAGATGCTGTGGGGAAAGTGTTGGGGGGGGGAGGGGGGGGATGGTGCGATGGGGGAAACGGGGTTGGCGAAAGTTAGAGGTGCAGCGCAAGGGTGTTGAGGGGAAGAGGAGCTGTGTTCGAGTCATGTTGAGTCATGAACCATGCTGACCATCCGGTATTCCCAGCCTTCCGCCACATCCCCTTCTCTTATCACCCACCACATTCAGGTGGTAAAATATCTCGCTGCCCTTCTCTTATCTCTTCATGCCTCAACCTGCACTTGCGCTCACTCTTTCCCCCAATTCCTCCTCCCCTTACTATGCTTGCGCCACTTGCAGGGTGGTGTCATCACCCCATTGCTGCGCACAAGTATCATTTCATCATTCCAGTGAAGAACCCGCACTCGCACCCACGTGCCGAGGTAACCACTCACTCGCACCCACGCGCCTAGGTAACCACTCACTCGCACCCACGCGCCGAGGTAACCACTCACTCGCACCTACGCGCCGAGGTAACCACTCACTCGCACCTACGCGCCGAGGTAACCACTCACTCGCACCTACGCGCCGAGGTAACCACTCACTCGCACCCACGCGCCGAGGTAACCACTCACTCGTCCCTTGTCTACTTACCCGCTGCTTCAGCCGCTTTGGAAAAAGTCGCAACCCTTCGCTGTCTTCCTCTCAAATTTCTCTCCCCTTCTCCCATTCCTCCCCTCTGGCTCCCCTCCCGTCCCCTCAGTCGCAGGTGCTCCCAACCACAGCCAGTAACATCAGTCCACGTGGCACGCGCAGCACCACCAGCACCAGCAGCCACCACCCCTCGCCCCACCACAACCAGCACCAGCACCATCATACGAGCATCACGGCTGCGGCCTGCCGCTCCCAGTCGCTCGCCTCCCCCACGCACCTCCTGCACGGCGTTATCCACTCCAATGGCTTCGGCCATCTCGTCACGCTCAACGGCCGGGCGGCGGGCTCGCACGTGCTGTCCGGGCGGCAGCTGATGCAGCTATGGGACAACATTTGCACCATGCTGCGTGCGAGGTAAGACATTGTTTGAGCTTGTAAGATGTATCGAGCTGACTTTTGAGTCGACTTAAAAGTCAGCGTGTGCACCATGCTGTGTGCAAGGTAGGACATGTTTGAGCTTGTAAGGTCTATGGCATGTGTTTTGAGTCAGCTCAAAAGTGACCTCGGCTTGCGACTTATGAGTCGACTCAAAATGTTTCGAGTCGGCTCATAAGTGACCTCGGCACGCTCACTCCCCCACGTAGCATTTTCGAGTGCCCCTCTTTCGTATCAACGAGCAATATTTCCCGGGAATGTTGACTGACACGCATATCATTCCTAGCTCTCATCTCCTGTTTTCCCCTGCTTCTCACAGGGTGGTGAGTGTGGAGGACTTATCTCACAAGCTCTCCTTCTCCTCGGACTGTCGTCTCCTCCACACCCTCACCTTCTCGCACTCCTGGTTCGCCCGCTGGGGCTACTCCTTCGCCCACGGCGCCTTTGGAATCACACACCACCGCTACAGCCAGGCTGTAGCGCGTGTGGCCGGCACACGCCTGCTCCCGCTGCTGCAGCACCTGAGGGGCATCAACACGGGGATCGCCTCCCGTGTGGCGGCGGTCGTTGCTAAATACCAGTCGCATGTGTTAGCTAAGTGCCAGTCTGAGGTTGAATTCCAGCCTCGCGTATCACAGGGCTCACAGGAGGTTGACCAACGCTATCCACATGCCTCACATGCGCCACACAGCCCGCATGCCGCTCCACACGGCCCACATGCCGCTCCACCCAACCTCACCCTGCAGCACCTCTTCTCATCCCTCCTCGCTTTGCGCTCCTCCCTCCCCCTGCCACTGCACCACCAGCACCACCACTTCCCCCACCTCCTCCACCCCTCTTCTCTCCCCCTCCCCTTCACTCCCACTACTCCTTCTCCTCTCACTGCTCCCTCTACTCCTGCTGCAGCAGCAGCAGCAGCAGCAGCAGCGCCGCTAGCTGCTGTCCCTTCTCTTGCCTCCTCCCGTTCCCCCCTCCTCTCCTTCTCCGCTCGTCGCCTCGTCGCCCCCCCGCCGCCCCTTACCCTCCCCCCGCTCTTCCCGTCGCTGCAGCCAATGGCGGTGCGCCAGCTGTCCGGCGAGCCGAGCCCCAGCTCCGCGTCCTGCTTGTCCGATGAGCTGTCGCCACGTCAGCAGCAGCAGCGCCTGCTGTGTCAGCAGCAGCAGCAGGCCCTGCCGTCCCTGGTCCCACCAATCAGCTACCAGCAAATGGACATCCCTCCATCTCCCAGCGTCGCGACTCCCTCTACAATCACACCGAGTACTATCGCTCCCAATACTGTCACTCCCAGGAGCAAGCGTACGCTTCTGTTCCTTGACAGTCCCATCAGCAGCGCTTTAGCTGCAGCACCAGGAGCAGCAACACCAACAACACCAGCAGCATCAGCGGTAGCCGCAGCGGCAGCAGCAGCAGGGGAGTATCCCAGGCGGCTGCTCTGCAACGAGCCAATCATAATCAGCCCACTGCCAGCCGACTCCCCCTCGTGCCGCTGGTCGTCCAAGCGCCTCCACCTGGCGCAACAAGTCATCGTGGACGTTCTGTCCCTCCGCCCCGGCGCCTGGCTGCCTCGGCACGAGGTCCGGGAGGCGGCTCGGCAGAGGATCGGCGACACGGGGTTATTGGATTTTGTGCTGAAATCGCTGGGGAACAGGTTGGTGGAGGATGTGGTGGTGAGGAGGGCGATTAATCCGCTTAGTAAAGTGCTGGAGTTTAGCCTAGAGCCGCTGCAGCGGGAGGGCGGGGAGAGAGGTGGGGGAGGGAGAGGAGAGGGGAGGGAGGGGGTGGAGAGGGAAGGGGTGGTTGGGGAGGAGGGGAGAGGAGGGATGGAAGGGCAGCAGGGAGAGGTGCCGATGGGGTTAGAATCGACTCTTACTCTGGGCGGAGCTGAAGACTCGGGAGGGGATCAAAGGCGGTCTTTGGAACCTGCTTTTAGGAGCTCTTGCTTGGGCAGCAACCGTCATAGCGACGACATGGTAGCAGGGGCAGCATCAGAAGCAGGGGCACGGGCAGGAGCAGCAGCAACAACAACAGCCTTGGCAGCAGCAGGGGCAGTGGCTCCGGTGGCAGTGAGTCCCGCTGTGCTGACTGCGGCGCCCTTCACCAGGGCTGATGTGACCCGAGATGTGGAGTTCCTTTACAAGCACCTGCTTTTTACTGTCACATCTGCTCACGGCCACTGCCACCCGCATCAGAGGATGCACCAGCAGCAGCGTCAGCAGCACCGCCAGCAGCTGCAGCAGCAGCACCAGCAGGAGCATGAGGAGCAGGGGGATACCAAGGCAGATATAACCTCTTCGGAATTCTCCTTGTCTGCTTTCTCAGAGGCTGTGCAAACCATACTCGATACAAAGCAGTTCTTTAAGGACTACAAGGGCGAGCTGACCAGGGAGCAAGCAGCACGAGCTGCTGTGGCGGCAGCAGGTGGAGATGGGGGAGAGGAAAGGGATGGCGCTGCTACAGAGAGTGAAGAGGAGGATGGGACGATTCGAGTGCTCTGCAGGTATTTTGCTGTGCAGGTCTTATCTGGTGCAGGTGGTTTTTTTTTTTTTTTTTTTTTTTTTTTTTTTTTTAGGGAGGTTCTTTGTTTTGTAGAGCTTTTACCGTCTGTCGGGCTGATACATCTCCACTCAAACTCAAGTTTAATGTTCTGTTTTGCTGCTCATCTCCCTCCGTTTCACCTCTCCCCTTCCTACCCACCAGCATTGATGCACGGGATGCAGACACCAATCGCGACTGGCCCATACCGCCGCCCGAGCTCATAACCCTGCCGCCCGAAGCAACCGTCGCTGACCTCAAGTCTGCTGCCTGCCGAGCCTTCGCCCAGACCTACCCTGTGGCTCGGCACATGCAGGTACGGCACCTGACTGTCCCTCACGTGTGGCTGGGTTGTCACATGCAGGCGTGCTATGGGATGGGTTGTTACCCTCCAGCATTAATCCTGTCGCGCTTAGCCTTTCCCTCCTCGCCTCGTTGATTCAATGGGATTTGATGGGACATAGTTAGCCAAGCCTTAGCCTTGAATCAGCACCAGATGCTCAGATTCGCCCCAGATTCGCCCCAGATTCGCCCCATATTCACTACAGATTCGCCCCAGATTCGCCCCAGATTCGCCCCATATTCACTACAGATTCGCCCCATATTCACTACAGATTCGCCCCATATTCACTACAGATTCGCCCCATATTCACTACAGATTCGCCCCATATTCTCTACAGATTCGCCCCATATTCACTACAGATTCGCCCCTTGTTGGCCAAGCCTTAGTCTCTATCCTTTCCCTTCCGCAATCCACTGTTGTTCTAACTTAATGTCCGCGGGTCTCTGCTCTGCCCGCTGACCTTGAGGATTTGGATGACGACGACGCGCTCTTTGGTTTCCTCGACTCCGGTCCCGCTCTGCTGTGCAGTGTGCAACCTTGGCCCTATGCTCAGCCCCTCTCCTCACACTCCTCCCTCTCCTTCCTCTCCTTCCTGTCCGCAGGTCACTGCTTTGCCGGAGGATCTGGCAGACCTGGATGAGGATGACGTGCTATTTGGCTCACTCGACTCAGGCGCCTCTCTGCTGCTCGCCATCTCCAGCCTTGATGCGCACAGCGAGTGGCGCTACGAGGGCGGCAACGACACGTGGGCGGTGCGGTGCGTGTGTGGCGCGCTGGACGACGACGGGGAGCGCATGATTGCGTGCGACGAGTGCGGCGTGTGGCAGCACACGCGCTGCACTGGGATCGGTGATGCTGCGCCTGCCCCCATGAGCTTCCTGTGCTTGGCCTGCAGGGCGGGGGAGAAGGATCATTACCGGGAGGGTAAGGTGGATTGTGGTGAGAAGAAAGGAGCACGGAGAGTGGTGAAGAGTGAGCAGGCGCGGTTGGAGGGAGTGAAGCAGGAAGAGCCGCTGCAGCAGCACAAGAGGCAGCAGCAACAGCAGCAGCAGCAGAGGCTACGAGTGCAACCACCCTTGGAATTTTACCAGCACCGGCAGCAGCAGAAGCAGCGCCCACAGCAGTACCAGCAACAGGGGAAGCCTGAGCATCAGGATAAAACCGTTCCGTGCAGCCCCGGCTACACAGGTTCGGCAAGCAGGTTCGGCAGCCCGCACCTGTGCCTGCCGCCACTCCCTCTGCTGCGCAACCTAAGCCACGCCGGCAGCATCACCAAGCAAAGGCAGGGCGGAGGGGAGTCGCAGAGGGTTGCGGCGAGCAAGGGCGTTTCTGAAACTCCCGTGTCCCCCCGATTTGAAACCCCAGAATCACCTGGGGAATCACCTGGCTCTGAGAGCTTGCCCAGCCACGCGGGTGGTGGCAGCAGGCAGAGGCAGGGCGCCGGGGAGAAAAGGCGGCGAGACAGGGAGAGGGATGGTGGGTGCAGTGAAGGATTCTGGTGGGCATTGAGTGGCATGAGGAGGGAGAGGAGGTTGGGAAGGGAGAAGAGGCTGAGGAGGGCGGGGCAGGAGGAGGGGGGAGTGGGTCGGGATGACTCGATTTGAGAGGGGGAGTGGGAGGTCTGCAAAGAGCAGGAGAGATGTCAGGACAGCAGGAGGGTGCAACAGGGAGCAGCAGAAGTGAAGAGAGATGTGCGGAAGAGAACAGGTGTTGATGGGAATAAAGAGGACAGGGGTGTTGATGGGAATAAAGAGGATTGGGCCCTGGGAGAATGGTGCTGATGGCAAGGTCGTGTGTCTCACGAGACGGCAAGGCAGCATCAAGGCTATCCCAGGTGTCCCAGCGCGTCCCAACCCAAGGCAATCCCAAGGCGATCCCAAGGCGATCTCATGGCGATCCCAGCGTGTCCCAGCAGTCCAGGCATCTGTTGTGCGTGTTGCCTGGATTGGTTGAGGTCCACTGTACAGTTCTGTTTGTTTCTTTTGCTTGTATTATATTATCGCCTTTTTTGTTAAGTGATGTGATACAGAATGTGAATGCTTTGCTTGTACAAGGGCATATTAACTATCTTGCCCATTCTTCCCATGTTACTGTAACGAGTATAGAAGAGCACTGAGATATGGTAGAAAGCAGCAGAGTACATCTCAAACACACGAAAAACGAGATGTAATTATCATAACAATTCAGTCAGTGTAGACAAGGTTGTACACGACGAAGTGCCACTTGCAGGCTCTTCGTCAGTAAGGAAGGATGCCAACTAAGCATAGGATTGTATGGAGATGTAAAAAGTATAGCATGCGGTGGTTCGTGCTCAGTGCGTAGGACATACGTTGTTATTGATGTAATATAAGCATTTTGTTGATTGTACATACAAATTAGTGACTACATTATAGAATATCGTGCTTATAATTAATACGTTAGAATTTACAGACAATGAGTGTGTATCTGGGGATGGTGATAAGTCAAACTTAGTACCTGAGGCAACAAAATTTCCGCCCCACGTCATGATGTGGGTAGTGGTTCGATTTTTTTTGGGTTGCGGAGCAACCTATTACAATCGTTATGTACAATTTTTTTTTCAGTCCTCTATAAAAACGACGGATAATATCTAGCGAATGGTAGCTAAGTGACTAAATGCTACATATTTGCCACCATAATTTACCACGTGCCGTAGTGTGTTCCTTCTAGTTTGCCTTGATTGAATCTATATTGTCAAAATGATGTCACCGTGAACGTTTGATTGTGTATCTCGTAATGCATATGCCGGATTATACTATGCATAGATGAAGTATATGGATGGATATAATGAACCATATATTTAATGAAAAATGCATAAATATAATGTATGTGCTACCATGGTGAAATATTACGATATATTCGGTACTTTAGTGAAATAGATGCATAGCATGATAAAAATGCGTAACAGTTAATTGACCCAGACCCTATGCTACCGCATCCCCTGCCTAGCATGGGGGGGAGGTCGATAGCATAGTTGCTGAATCATCCAACTGCTACATAAAACAACACAATCTGTGTAAACTAAAAAAATGATCAAAATCCATCAAATCCAGTTCAAGTGAACACACTCACTGAGTGGGCAAAGAACCTTCTCGGAATTGATAGTTTGATCATTTTTTTAAAAGACACAGACATGCATTGTTAATGCAATGCAATATACATATGGATGAATGCACACACACATACATATGCACACGTAAAGACACATACACACAGACGCACACATATGCACGCGCAAAAACTGAGACAAGTCATTAAAAAAGGCAAAAGAAACCTACCAAAGCAATACAGTACCATCAATCATACAAGTCAACACTGATATACTTCTAGTTTCTATATTGGTCTTGACTTCCCAATGGTACAGCAAAGCCTCTGGAGGGTAGGATATAATAAAAAGGGGGAGCGAGAGGGAGGCGGGGAAAGGAAGGGGCAGAAGAAGGGAGAAAGCAGAGAAATTGAATGACATCATAACCAAACAGAAACAACATACACGGATTGACCAAGTGAAAGAAATGGCAAACCAAACAGGAAAAAAACGGAGAATAAAAAGTATTCTATGATAACGAGAAAAAAAACGAGCACGAAGAAGAATAGAAGAAACAAGAGAGAGAAGAAAGCATGCGATAAACATGAGGTGAAGAATGACAAGGACTGAAACAAGGAGAGAATATAATAGAAAGGAAGAAGGAATGCAAGTAGAAAACGGCGGAGGGAGGAGCGAGAGAGAGAACGAAAAAGGTGATGTTGAAGAATAAAAAAGAAATGAAAGTGCATGTACAGAAAAGGGCTTACAAAAGGGGAAAGAATGAAGAACATAAAATCAAGTCTATAAAAAATGGAAGGAATTGAGGATTGAGTTAAGAGATTGTCAGAATCCCAGTCACTAACCACTGGGATAAAAGGGCTTGTTTATATAGCGGGTGAGTGCGCCCATAACCCCCCAGGCCGACGTGCCTGTAACCCTTCCCTAGGATCATCGGGGATCCCCAGTGGACCTCTGACACCCCCCCGCACTGGGATGCCCGAAGTGCACACACCGGGATTCGAACTCGAGACCTTCGCTCTGATACCATGTCAGAATCTCAGTCACTAACCACTGGGATAAAAGGGCTTGTTTATATAGCGGGTGAGTGCGCCCATAACCCCCCAGGCCGACGTGCCTGTAACCCTTCCCTAGGATCATCGGGGATCCCCAGTGGACCTCTGACAGAGATCTATATTCGAAAGGATACGAAGAAAAAGACCTTAATTACTAAGTTCTAATTTGACCTAGATTTAAACAAAACAGCAACTTCGTTTTTCGTTCTCTTGCACGCTCTCTCCCTATACCCGTGCCATATCCTCTGCCGCTGCTCTTACGTACTCTCCCTCTCTTTCGCTCTCTTTCTTCCAACATGTTCTCACCGTTAAAAAGACAAGGAATTGAGACAACAACGTGCTTGAGCATTTCCTGCAGTTAGGTGGAGGATCACAGAAACAAAAAAACAGGATATTAACGGATGCAGTAGATCAAATTCAATCATCTTCGGCTTCAAAATGACCTAGGTAGTAGATCAATGGATTGTATCATTTATAGTTGCTAGCATCTACATCGCATTGGGCTGCAACCCTTCAAAACGACATAGCAGAAAGGGTTGCAGCCTTGAAATCCGACTCACTATTTGAATGAAAACGACACACTGCAAGGTCGAAATAAGCTTGAAAACGGCAAAGTGAATAAACAAGAATGGAATCAGGCTTATCAACGACCTAGAGACTATTACGACGTTAACTGAAAGCCTAGAACCTATCTTTAACAACATGCATAGCTTAAAAACGGCGAACACGTTAGTAAAAAAGTAGAATACGACATTACGACCATAGAAACAAGCAAAAGGGTACAAATGACTAGTATATAATATTGACCTCAAATTCACACATGGAGTAGATCAGTTTCAAGATCGATGGATTGTATATTTGGTCGTTACTAGGATCTACGTCAAATAGGGCTGCAACCCTTCAAAACGACGTAGCAAAAAGGGCTGCAGCCATTGAAAACTGACTTAATATTCGAATGAAAACGAGAAAATGCAAGGTCGAGAGCTTAAAAGCGGCGTGAATGAAACAACGGGAATGAATGCAGGCCTATCGACTACCTAGAGACTATTACGACATAAACTGAAAATTGAGAACCTATCTTAAACAACTTGCACAACTTTAAAACGGCGAACACAATACGCAAAGAGTAGGATACGACACTAAGGGAAATATAGTTGGACCATTAACTACCGGTAATAGTTGAGATATTAGTTCTGACCTTGAAGAGTTAGGTGGAGCGGGAGTGGGAGTAGCTTGCGGGAACAGATCTGGATGAGTTAGACGAGGGAGAGAAAGGAAAAACAAACCCTAGAGAGGTGAGTGATTTCATCGCGTCAAAACACAACAGTAATTTAAAACAACTTCGCAAGACAGAAGCATGTCAAATGATATATATGTGTGATATATATTGGTAGGCTGTAGTGGGGTAGATGTTATAGGGGATAACACTTTAGGGTTGTGTTATTTGTACCAAACTCTCCATAGTGAACTCAACCTTGCCTGATTCTCTCGACATGGCATCTAGAGCAGGTTCCTAGACCTAAGCTTAAGGGCCCACCATGTGCTAAGTTACCTCCCCAACGGCCTACCTGCCTGCCTGTCATACGTATCTGTCTAGCCTGCTGCCCGCGCGCGCCTCGGCTGCGCGCGCACGCCTTTTTTTTTTAGCGCGCACAGCTGCTGCCAGCCGCGTCGCGCCCCGTAGGTCGCTGGTGCAGCCCGCCCTGAGCCCGCGCGGCCCGCAGCTGCCCTGCGCACCGTCCGTGCAGCCCACGCCGAGCCCGCACGGCCCGCACTGAGCCCGCGCAGCCCGCGCGCAGCCCGCGCCGAGCCCGCGCGGCCCGCACTGAGCCTGCGCAGCCCGCGCGCAGCCCGCGCAGCCCGCGCGCAGTCCGCACGCGGCCCGCGCACCGCCCGCGCAGCTCACGTCGCGCCCCGCCAGCCTACACGCGGCCTGTCACAGAACTGCGTGCTTCCTTACCTGCTACAGTTGCCTGCTGCCTGAACCTGCAGTCTTTGCCTGCTGCCTGAGCCTGCTGCCTGAGCCTGCTGCCTGAGCTTGCTGCCTGAGCCTGCTGCCTGAGCCTGCTACTTTTGCCTGCGCTGCAACCATGGCGACCCTTACTGTTCTCGCCTTTGAGCCTGACGGCCGCCCCATC